ACCAAGAGAGAGATTTCTATCACACAGAAATCAATGTATCAAAATTGGTTCTCATACTTGGAGTCCAATAAGGCGTGTTCTCAGGAACTCTTTTGCTTCACGGGCATATGGAGCCGGCTTTTCTTCTCTACGAGGATTGCCCATTTTCGGGCACCTAATACTTGAAAGATTAACTCGCCTCTCTGCTAGTGGACTGCCGAATGGAACAGAATCATCAGCAACAATGACACAGTCCCCACTAACAACCTCCACAACCTGGAAGAAAGCAAAAATCAGTTATGTGCGAATACACATGATAAATTTAGATAATCATAGATTCAAGTAAATACTACCTTGCCAGTGAAATTCTGGTCATGAATTGCCTTTGAATTTGTAACTGGGGGTACGTAGTTTGTCCAGATCCTCAACTTGCTTTTCTTAGCTTCAAGCTCTGCAGCCTTCAGCCGCCGCTTTGCATCTTCTTCCATCATGTTAGCACTCCATTCAACGTATTTTGCATAACCCTGGACAAGCATTGACAGCATTCCCCTTAGAGGTCTTACAACAGATAACTACAAGTCTAAGAGAGGATATAAAAGATCTGCAAACTAACATTAAAGCATGGAAGAAGCTACATGGAAAAGATCGAAAGCATGTGATAAGTATTCCAAATTTCAGTAATATGAACACATTAGTCATCGTCAATGTTATATGTGAAATCACTGCAAAGTTTAAGCTCTTACATTTTCAACAAGCTCCAGGGCCAGGTCTTTCGCTGAGTCCCCATCCGGGTAGTATACTGACCCAATCAAATTGCTGAATTTGTCAACACCTTCCAGAACGATGCGGACCTATAAATCAACCACAATATTCATAAAATTGTAATAAACTCACTGTCTAAGATAACCTAAAGCTGAAATTTCCTTACATCTCTATGCAGCACACGAGTTTCTGTAAAATGTTTAGCTTCCAGTGCAAATGGATCAGCAGCAATTTCAACAGATGATGTTGTTGAAGCTACAATTCTTTGGGCAGAAGTTAGAGGGGCTCGAGGCTCAGTGGAAACATCACCATTTGTTTTATCGGAAGTTGTTTCTGGTTCAGCAACAACTTCTGAAGCTATAGGTCTCCTTCCCACTGATGGGGCCTAATTGGAACAGAGAAAAATATGTTATATATTCATATTAGTACTTTGAATATGAAGTAGATAGAAACCAAATTTTGTGCACACTTGTCCAGATGCAGAAAGAATGCATACCTGAGTTCCTGCAACGAATACTTGAACAAACTGAAAATCAGGAAGCAAGTAGACCCGAACTGTGCTTCCATCACGAACTTGCTCAACGATACCTTCCATGGGCCTGCCCTTATTTGCAGCCAACAGACTCATGGCATCTAAATTGCTAGGATCACCAATGGCAGAGGGAGGTAGAGTCCTAATGGATGTGTCAGCAGCACCAGGAACCTGCAATTAAGAACAAATGATAATGCTTATGTAACAAATTTAAAGTTAACTTCCAACATGCTGTAACAAGTTATATGTACAACATAAGAAATAAGGAGGGTAAATGCATACCTTGCTCCAGAGACCAAGGCCCTGGGTGTTAGCTTGTTCTTGGAGACGTAGCAGCTCAGCAATATAAGGACTAGCTTCTCCTTTCTGTTGGTTCTGTTTAACCTCCTTGACCTGCACACAAAAATAAAAAAAAATAAGATTCAGCTTACACCCATTCAGATTAAACATTAAATACAAAATTAGCAACCAATAGATGTAGAAACAAAAAAGATAAAAACCTTTGCCCAGCCTTCAGCAACAATCAGCATTGCAACATTCTTGCCACCAAGAAAAACAGAGCCAAATTCTCGCCCTATCTGTTGTACAACGTAGTCCACTCTGAAAGCCACCTCCTGTTGGGAAAATATAATGAGGTGGATGCATAATGTTAATTGTTTTTAAATGAAAACTATTATGATAACAAAGCAAAAAACAAGTATTTAAAATAAGCACCTTTCCAAGACAGAGCTTCCTCAGAAACTCTCTGCTGTCCCATGCAAATGGCTCATCCTTGGTAGTTCTACGAGCCTAGCAATACAAAACAGAACAATAACAACAAACCACCAAAAGAACGTCAACAACCGGGCAAATCCATGACTAATGCAGAAAATTGAGCTAAAACAAAATCATAACACATAACAGCACACCATGAATGATGAAAAAGACCAAGAATTTACAACAACGCTACGAAAACAGGAAACTAAAAATACATGGGTGGATGGAACACAAAGGGATGTTATCTGTTTTACCAGTTTCGGAGCCATAAGCGATGACAAAGTGATGGTTCTCTCGGGTGGGGGTCCTGCCTTGTTGGCTGTGAGGGCCATGATGACCAAGGAGTCCCCTGAAGGAACAGCCTTCACTCTCCCTCTGTACCATCCTGTGGCCGCAGCTGTTGATGATGCCATCTCAACAGCCTTCTTGTATTGATAGAGATCTACACCACCGAATCCAACAACACCAACCCAATTAAGTTTCAAACATCACATCATTATCATCAGCACTATTTACATCTTCAACCCAACATGCATAGCCACAATCTTTACAATTACCAACAATCACACCCATATCACAACAACTTCATTCAGATCCAAAGTCCAAACCAACAACATCATGCATCAATACGACAACGACATTTTCAATATCACATGGCCAAAAAAACAGAATTGAAAAACCAGTTTGATTATTGGATCTACCAACGAGTATTCAGTCAAAATCTTTGTAATTACGCTTAATGTAAACAACAGCAATCCGATTAATGATCCAAGAGAAAATTCTCAGAGAGCGAGATCTATGAATGTGAAGAAGAATACCAAGCTGGATCGGATCAGGCCCTTCGGATCTATCCGGATTGAGGTGGTTTTCCGGATCCTCGGTTCGTCCAACGGCGTCGTCGAGCGGCGGATCAGAGCGAAATAGAACGAAGAGAGAGAGATTTCGCAATGTGATTCATAAGCTGCATATATAGACGACGATGAGCTCTGCATCCAGCAATACGTTTATTATATACCCCGCGTTTTGGCTCGAAATTACCCAACGTACCATTACGGTCTTTAAATCCTAGTTTGAATAAGATTTCCTTTTCTGGATTTATTGGGATTATTATTAAATATTAATTAGATATTGGTTATTTTTAGTGGGTGATAATTATGAAATTACGATCCTGTCCAATCCCCCAACTCAGCTCTTATCTAAATTCTAATCCCAAAAATATTCTGACAGAGATTGGGACAAATTAACCGGCCCACTTTATTATGTCATATTTTTGGAACCTTGATTTCCTCTCCTCCATGGAGTTATTTAACTAATTACTCAATTAAGACGTCACCAACTCTCATGTCCCCAACAAACAAGAAAATAATTTCTAACAAGTAATCACAACGATTTTCTCTTTCTAGACAAACAAGGATAATATCATCCCTAAAATAAAACATGAAATTTAATGTAATTAATCAAATATAAAGTTTTTCTACGATAGATCTATGCACAACTGGGATCCACGTTTGTTGGCCGAAAAGATTAAAAGATCAAAATCAAACAACCGATAAAACAATGCACTTGCACATTGTATAGCACATAATTGCACTTAGATGAAACTTAAAATGCAAACTTTATACGGATAAATTGAAAATACAAACTTTTTATCGCACAATATTTTTCCTCTGACTTTTTTAGGGATGGGTCCTATGTGGAATTTTTCTCGAGTACATTTCCTAGATCATCTAGTGATGGGTCCTACGTGCACCCCCACAATATTTTAGATTTCTCATAATGTGAGAGAATTTAGAAAGTACTCTAAACATTTGCCTCTTCTATTACACTGGAAAAATGCTATATTAGTAATAAATAAAAAATTACAAAGACTAAAGTTTTTTCATGCATAAAAATTAAAATGGTAAAACCCTTTTTATGTGACCGTTATAATTTTGTATTATTATGAAAAATAACGATATAATTTTGTATTATTATGAAAAATAACGATAAACTTGTCATCACCATAAATACTTCATCCCTAATAGAATCTCATAATGCATTAAATTCTGGAAATTGCAACGGGTTTAATGAAGAAAGTGGAAGCTGCAAATCTCTTTCACTTTTCTTTTAAAGAATTCTGAGTAATCATAGGCTTGACAGTGCAGGCGTCACCACAGGCCTAACTTTTTTACCACTCTTGGGTAAAAATCTAGAGGGATAAATATGGAAGAATAATTTTTTTTTAAATTATCTGCCAGGGAAAAGAAAAAGACAATCGCAGTGTGCCGTGACAGAGGCAGTGGTACTTTCCTGCCACTTCCACAAACTGAGTTTCTTTCTGTAACTTTTTTGCTTTGCTTTGAGTGAAAGATAGCTTACCTACGCATGCAATCTGGCTTTAAACATAAACAGTGCACAGTAATGGTAAAAAAAAGTGCAATTCTATTTTCTGCTAACAGTTTTGGGTTTTTCACGTGTTTGATTAGATTTAGAGGTGCAATCTAAATAAAGGAAGGTTTTATTTTCATAAGACTTTGATCATGGGCCTAGATTAGTAAACATTTCCATATATATAAAGAGACAATTTTCAGCTTTTTTTACGAACTCCTTTCCCGTATTCTTTTATTTTATTTTATAAAAAGGCAACAGAATTTTGTTAGATCAATAGAAAAAAGGAGTACAAAAGACAAAGTCTGTGTCCCTCTCCCTTTTCTTATTTTAGACTATGTAAACAAAGATATAAAATAAATATTTAGCTTGATTTTGATTTATATGGATGGAGCACCAAGATATTGTTTCATATAGAAATACACATTAACCCATACTTATGGGCCTTTCTTTTTTTTTACACATCATATGTGCTGCAAAGCAGGCATGAAATTAAACTTGGGCTTTAAAATGCAGCAGCCTGGGAGGGTAGGAAAATGTGGGTGGATTTGGAATTGAGTTCTTTGGTCCAAGATCATCAATAGGAGGCCGTTGCTGATGGTGATCACTGACCAGTCATAGACTGGTATGCCATTGCCACTGCTAGAGCCTGCATATTAAAAAAATGATGTATCGGAACCTGAAGGAAACAAAACACTCACAATGTGATCACGATGAGGAGGAGCATAAATGCCGGTGGTGGTCAAGGTGGATTAGATATTTGGGAAAATCCTGCTGGAACAACAATTACTGGCATCCCTACAAGGTTTCCCATACAAACTCTCTCCCAATCAGCTGCATTGCCAATGAAGGCATCAACGATAAAATTGTCCCGTACTTTTCGAATTAGCTTTCCCGTTGATGCCTTCATTGGCAATGCAGTGATTAATCATCTCAGATCTATAAAACAAGACAATAAACTGATGGTTAAATATTTAATGGATTAGTCACATCAAATCTTTGATGATCAATGACCTAAGGATCACTTGGGGTCCAACCATCAATATTTAATTGTATAAGTAAAAGTTGAAAATTTGAGCAAACGTACTGGAGGAATAGGTAGAGTCTGGACCCTGCTAACCTAACTAGTAACTTGGTATCTGGGGTGTCATTTATTTTGGACCACAAACCTCCGTCTCAGCGTCGTCAACATATCCAACAGTAAGCTTTGTTATGTCAACCAAGAAAGGATCCTCAAGGGGGATGTCTCTTGATGAGAGGTCATCCGGGTCCTTTCCTCTAATAGCATCCAAAATAACAGCACAATCTGCAGCACTTCTACAGAGAGGACCAAGCTTATCCTGTTAAACAGATGAGACCAAGAAAGATGAGATTCAGAATTTATTATTAATGCAAGAAAAACTGTGTCAAATGCATACCAAGCTTTCTGATAGGCTCATGAAACCAGTTCGACAAACAGCGCCAAAGGTTGGACGCAAGGCTGCCACGCCACAACGAGCAGCAGGTAAAGTCATGGAACCAACGGTTTCTGATCCAATTGCAAATGGCACCATACCTGTAAAAAGTTCTTGTTTAAAGCAACAAACATATTCCAAAATGCTTTCCTCAAAAGTACAGCTTTTTCAGTTTATGTTTGTAAAAAGGAAATTCGATGAAGTTAAAAGTTCTTATAAAGGTACATTTATAAGCCACATATAATCATGAGGAGCACTTGAAGATTTCTAAGCTAAGCAGAGATTACTCAAAACAAAATTGCAGGACAACAGATTACGATGAAGGGAATGGAAATGCTAAGCTGCTCACAACTACAAAAAGTATACCTGCTGAGGTGCAGGCAGCAGGTCCTGATGACGAACCCGTGGTGAATTCCTCAATATTCCACGGGTTCCTTGCCCTACCGCCAAACCAGATGTCATCATATGCTAGTGATCCAGTTACAAGCTTTGCAACAAGAACTGCTCCTGCAGACTTTAACCTGTACACAACAAAAGTCAGAAATATACAAGCTAAATGCCGTTTAACGAAAACACACGTAGCTGGAATTCATTTTCAAAAGGTTTAGCACCTCTTGAACACCCAGGCTTCACTGTCAAGAACTTGGTCTTTGAAACTTTTAGAACCCCATGTTGTTTTGTAGTGGGAACTGACATTATATACTTCAATCCATAAGGAATCCCATTGAGAGGACCTAAAGCACAAGTAAATATGTAATTCTGCTTAACATCACAGCATTAATTCATTAACAAAGCAGATTACTGGAAGGAAACTGGTTCACCCCAATAACGTTGCATAAGGTGCTATACTATTCATTAAAAACAAACAAACAAAAGAAAACACAGTACCGCTGCGTGGCTATACTCTTTTTAAAAAAATAGGAAAAATGGCGTATCGCCGAGCGGCTATACTATTTATGAAAAAAAAAGAGTAGCTGGATATCGCAGGTACGTGTCAAAAAAAGCATAGCCGGTGGCTATACTAATTTTTAAGAAACATTAATTAAACCGAGTATAGCTGGGCTGTTATACTATTTTCAAAAAAAATAAAAATAAAAACCGAGTATAGCCGCGCGGCTATACTATTTCTAAGAAAAGTAGAGTATAGCCGGACGGCTATACTATTTATTGAAGAAAAAAAAACCACATTTAGCGATTTGGCGCCCACGTGTCAAAATATGACGGCTATACTATTTATTGAAGAAAAAAAAACCACATTTAGCGATTTGGCGCCCACGTGTCAAAATATGTATAGCCGCGGCTATACAATTTTTAAAAAAATATGCGGCTATACTATTTAAATAGATTATATTTAAATGGTATAGCCGCACGGCTATATGATTTAATTTTAAAAAAAATGAAGAAAAAAGGACCCTCCTAGTTGCATTAGTTTATACTTTATAAATATTAATTTGTTAGTTTCAACATATCCAAAGCAGATATTAATAGACCACTATATAATATTTTAATTTAATTTTTTTAATACATATTATTTTTATTCAATGATATATGAGATTTTTTTAATATATATTATTCTGTGTGTCTTATGGGGGTGTCTTATGTGTGTCTTATTAAAAAATACATAAGTACGTGTATACAAAACAAAATAATTACGAAGAGAGGCCAAAACTGAAAGATAATGCAAGCACGTAGAAAGGGAGAGAGTGTTACCATATTTGAGAGAGAGAGAGAGAGATGATGGTTGTGGAATTACTGGAATTGAATTAAAGAACCTGCACAATTGTAACCCAAAAAAAAAATTACTGCACCAAAATAACTGGCAGTACCACGTAGCATGAGTTGGACACTTGTGCTTCTGCATGCCGACTCTCATCTCTTGTATTTATCTTTTGCTTTGTCTCTGGTGTGTGTCATAATTAGAAGTGGCCCCTTGGGGGTGAGTGTGTGCCATTTGATTTTTTATTTCAGAATTAAGAAACAGAATCCAACCACAAAAAAAAAGATTATTGAGGCGGCATGAAAGAGCTTTGAGTTTGAGTTTTGTGCAGCCACGGATATCATCACTAGCAGACTTGAGAGAATTGAGCTTATGATTTATGAGGCACATAAAAAATATATATAAAAAAGAGAGAACATATCCACGTCCATTGTAAAATTTAGGATGCCTTGAACAGAATCAACTGTGTAGTTTAGCTTGAAAGGGATCATAATTACACCTTTTGATGCAAGAACATGAACAACCTGTAAGAAACCATCTGTATTAAGCTCTAAGAAAAAGAATCAATAATGGATAATGATCATTACACCAGTTCGGCCAACTCTGCCGAATGTTGGGCGCAATGCTGTCACTCCACAGCGTGCAGCCGGATAGGTCACAGAACCAGCTGTTTCTGATGCAATTGCAAATGGTACCATACCTGTGAAAGCTATCTTGTTTATACACATAGCAATGGCATTGTATAGGATCTTAAATAGTATCGCCGGTCGGCTATACTAAGATTTTTTTCTAAAAAAATAGTATAGCCGGTCAGCTATACCGTTTTGACACGTGGGTTTAATCGATAGAGGTTCTTCTTTATTAAAAAACAAAAAGGGAGTACAGCCGTACGGCTGTACTCCATTATATATTTTTTTAAAGCCACGTATTGACACGTGGCGCCTAATGAGTCAGGATTTTTATATATATTAAAAATAGTATAGCCGCACGGCTATACTCAGTTTTGAAATTTTTTAAAAAAGACATGTATTGACACATGGCGCCTACTGGCTGGTGGGTCCTTTTTTATATTAAAAAGGGAGTTTCACTAAAACACCCAAAATGAGGGTTGAAATTATAAAAAAACTCAAGCACTATTTAAACATATAAACACACCCAAAACCCATCATTACACACACTCAAAACCCATTTATAAACACACTCAAAAAGTTGACTTTTGGGTTGATTTTGGGTGTGTTTCTATGTTTAAATAGTGCCTGGGTTTTTTTATAAATACATGTCTAGGATTGGGTTTTTTTTATAAATTTGTATATTAAAAAATAGTATAGCAGCACGGCTATACTCAGTTTTCGAAAAAAAATTTATAAAAGTATTCCCGCGCAGCTACACTATTTTCAGACATTGGGACTACCACGGGTTTTCTTTTAGAAAATAGTATAGCTGAACGGCTATGCTGAGCTATGAAATTTTTTTGACAGAGTATAGCCGCACGGCTGTACCATTGCCACACATTGAGGCTGCTCTGCTTTTTCTTTAGAAAATAGTATTGCCGCGCATCTGTACTATTTTGTTTTTTCCTAATTTTCTTTGAAAAAATAGTATAGCCAGGCGCGTTACTGGTTTTTTAAATATTTTAATTGTCTTTAATACATAGTATAGACCAGCGGCTATAGTCTTTTACATATTTATGCACACACACACACACACATATATATATATATATATACATATGTAGGTACGTATTCTTCAACAATACATTCGTGTTCTATACACGTCTCACGTTTTCTTTAAAAAGCAAACATACAATAGTCGTATTGTACATATATGTAAGTATTTCTAATGTTTTATACACGTATTTTCTACAAACTTTTCAGTAAGACACACAAAATTCACGTATTATTCAAATAATTCTCACATATTATTGAATAAGAATAACATATGGTATAAAAATTATATTAAAATATCAAATAGTGGAAGATTAATATCTACTTTGGATATGTTGCAAATTAATATCCATAAGATACAAACTAATGCAACTAGGAGGGTATTTTTTATTATTAATTTTTTAATTAAATAGTATAGCCGGGTGGCTATAATAAGGTTTTTTTAAATAAAAAATAGTATAGCAGGTCGACTATACCTTTTTTGACACATGACTTTAATCGATAGAGGTTCTTCTTTATTTACTTTTTTGGTTAAAAAAAAACCTTGAAATTTGACAGCAACCCCGTATTTAAGAAGATTGTTTTTTCCCTTTGTCTAGAAACAACTTCATTATATATCGGCTCCTCAGAAAAAATGACATGGGTAAAAACAAAATAATTACAAAGAGAGGCCAAAAATGGAAGATAATGCAAGCACATAGAGAGGGAGAGGGAGAGTGTTACCATATTTGAGAAAGCTGGAGAGAGAGAGAGAGAGAGATGGTTGTGGACTACTGGAATTGGACTGTAAGCATACAATTAGCTGAATTAAAGAACCTGCACCATTGCCCAACCCAAAAAAAAAAAAAAAAAAAAAAAAAAAAAAAAAACAAATGCACTGCACCACAAAAAAACAAAAAAACTAACCAGCGTGCCACGTGCCACGTTGCATGACACTTGCGCTTCTGCATGCCTCTCTCATCTCTTGTTTTTATCTTTTGCTTTGTTTCTGGTGTGTGTCATAATTAGAAGGAGCCCCTTGGGGGTGAGTGTGTGCCATTTGATTTTTTATTTCAGAATTAAGAAAGAGAATCCAACCAAAAAAAAAAGATTATTGAGGCGGCATGAAAGAGCTTTGAGTTTGAGTTTTGTGCAGCCATGGATATCATCACTAGCAGACTTGAGAGACTTGAGCTTGAGATTTATGAGGCAGAAAAGGAAAAGCTTCAAAGGGAGGAAACTCTGGGGGATTTCTGGGAACACATGCCTGCTATTGATCCAATTCTCATACGAGATCGTATGCTCTCTCTCCAAAACCAAATAAGCTCACTCGAAAGCAAGAAGAAGGCCCTGTTCAAAGAACAGCAACATCTCCTTGTGCAGGCTGTTACTCTTGGGTGAGAAATTCTAATTGTCTTTTTTATTGAAGCTTGTACAAAAAATCTATATATATATATATATATATATATATATATATATATAAAGAAAGGGGACATTATTTCAAGGCTTTTGGAATTGAGAGAGACTGATCCAAAGTACTTGAGACAGTGTTCGAAAAAAAAAACCCCTAAACCCGCCTAGGCGCTAGGCGCCCGCCTAGGTCCTTTTTGTTTTTTTGTTTTTTTTGTCTTGACTTTAAAGAAAACCTACGTCTATAACTTGATGATCAGAGCATATGTGTGTACAAAAATCAGTGCAGTGGATGAAACTCTTTCTTCGTTTGGGTGTTGATGCTGCTGTATAAGCAAATTCTCTGCGATGGCATTTCCTGTAATTGTCTCAGTTTTCTTGTTCCTTGTAAAAGAATGCACGAGTAGGGTTGATGGCGGCACACAGGCGGGAGCTTCCATGCACAAGTTGTTAGGTATGATGTTTTTAGTTCAAAATTCGTTGATTGGTATGTACTCTGCATGTGGGTTTTGAATAGTGCACGTACATTGTTTGATGAAATGTTGGAAAGGGATGTTGTTTCATGGAACTCGATGATTAAGGCAATGAATCTGTTTGGGAAGATGAACAAGAGAAACATTATTACTTGGAATTCCATGATTACTGGGTTTTTTTCAAGGTGGTCAGCCATGGAACTTTTCCATGAATCACCAGTGGTGATATGGTTAGGCCGGATAAGATCACAATTGCCAGTGTCCTTGTAGCTTTGTGCTCATCTGGGTGCAATTGATCATGGGTGCATGGGTACCTGAGGAGTGCCTGGAGAGTGATGTGGTCATTGGGACAGAAATTCATGTCTTCCCTCAAAAGCCCCTTTTTGTTAATTTGACTTGCTTGCAGAAATACACGTCTATATGTTGAAGAAGAAAGTTCTTTCCATGATTGAACATGTGGTTTCTGTTTGTAGTTTCAATTGTTCAAACACACACAAATACACGTGGACACCCTGGTGTTGTGAGCAAACCGATAACTGTTGTATATTGTATAGCGTTTTAGGGTGTCCATGATAAATAATTCAACGTCAATATTTATATTGCTTGCATCATAAGTCATTGTTGTTTGTTTAGCAAATTGGACATTTACTGCTTTTCATGATATAATATTCTAGCTCTACTGTCCACTCATCTATGATTTTTTGGGTGCAGAAAACTCAAGTTCATTCACTCAAATCACACGATGCCGCTCCACCTCATCTACATTGTCCTCCTCCCAAAAAGGCCTCTTTAGATCTAGCTCCAGAAGTTCTTCGAAACTGACTCATTTCAATGGTGGTCTTTTTTATGACAATGGAGCAATGGGATCTAGATGCCATTCGTTAACACTAGGAAAGCTATATTCTTGGGAGAAAAAACTCTCTGAGGAGGTGAAGATAAAATATGAATCTAACAATTGTTTGCTTTATTCAGCTTTATTGATTTCTCCTACTGCACAACCTAGATAATTTGAGAATAACTTGAATCATCTTTAAATTTTGTATGCTCAAGGCTGGAGAGGAAACCATGAGAATATATGAGCGAAAACACTCCCAATCGAGACATGGCCTAAAGACCGGGGACAAAATTGGAGTTGAAGATGAGGAGTTGCGTTCCAGAATTTTGGTTGCCATAAGAAATTCTGAATAATCAGTCTTCAAAAAAATTCGAGAGCTGAGAGATGAAGAGATGCATCCACAACTTGTTGATTGGAAGATAATGTCAGTATCTCATGAAACCCAAAAGAGAATCATGTCTGAACTGAAATTTCTCAATTGTTCATCCTATGGAAAGTTCTCTAATGAGTCACACCAGCTTGCTACTCAAAAGCTTGAAGCAGAACTTCAAAATTGACGTGCATGCATTGCAGAATATGTTTCTTCGCAGATGTCATATATTGAAGCTCTTCATGGCTGGCTACACAAGTTTGTTACCCCTGAAACTGAATCCTACACAGAAGCTTGGCCTTCACTTCGACCGTGTAAAGTCAACATGATACTCACTTGAATTTGTCACAATTGGTTAGTTTGCCTAGATAAGCTGCCAGATAAAGACGTGACTTGTGCCATGAAAAGTTTTGGGAAGAATGTACAAGCCTTAATGATCCAACAAGGCAAGGAGCATCAACAAAAGAGGAAGGTTGATGGGCTTGCCAGAAAATATCCTAGGAGGGTTTTGGCATTTGAAATCATGAAAAGTATTCTTCAGTTGAAGTTTTTTGAGAAGGAAATGCAATTGCATGCACAAAAAGGCTTGAAAAAGATGGAGAACGAGTTGCCTGGAGATGGCGAAACATCATACCAGCATGAAGGACACACAAAAGGGGTCAGTTTTTGAATCCTTGACTGAGTTTTCAAAGAGTGCTATGAAAATGTACGATGAACTTATGACATTTAGTGAGAATGCAATGAGGGTAGATGACACAAGTAGCAAACCACCTGGCAGCATCCATGTTGAAGCCGATGACAGTTGAAAAGAAATATGTTTCAAGGGATTTGAGAATGTTGGGAACTTTTTAATTTTTATTATTACATTATTTTTAGGAAATTTTAAGAATTGATTCATATGATTGGTTGTTATATCAGCAACGTCAAGATATCCAGCAGTAAGGTTTGTTAACTTATGTCAACCAAGAAAGGATCCTCAAGGGGCTCATCTCTGGATGCGAGGTCATCCGGGTCCTTTCCTCTAATAGCATCCAAAATAACAGCACAATCTGCAGCACTTCTACAGACAGGGCCAACCTTATCCTGTTAAACAGATGAGCTTCCGATTTTATTACTCACTGCAATCCCCACCCAAATAAGAAAGATAAGATTCAGAATTTATGCAAAAGAAGAAAAACTGTGCAAAACAGATGAGATTCAGCTTAACAAAGCAAGAAGAAGGCCCTGCTCAAAGACGTCTCCTTCAGTGACAAACTTGTGTAGGCTGTCACTTTCCATGACAAATTTATTTAAGCTGTGAGAGAACGGACCAACACTACATGAAAGGCGGATAGATAGATGCAGTCTCACCCTGCACGATCACTTTTTTGTTCGACTCTAAAACCTTAAGCTAATAGAAAATGTGCCAAAATGTATATCAAGCTATGGGATTGGTTCTTTGAATGTGAGCTACATCAATTTTCTTCTTTTTTCCTTTTTTGTTCATGCACATCTCACAATGTCATTGTGCTGGCACATATTGACTATTTATGCATGAAACTTACACCAAGTAGAGGCTGAGGCTGCAGCAACAGTTCCTCTAAGACAACGATGATGTGGGAGGACTTGGGATTGGGTCATTTGGTCCAAGATCATCAATAGGAGGCTGCTGCCTATGGTGATTGGTGACTGATTGGTAAGCCATAGCAAGTGCAAGAGCCTGCACATAAAAATAATAAATATATATATAAAAAAGAGAGAAAAATATTAAACAGTTAGTATTTCTGACTTAAATTAATTCCATAGGAAAAAAATTAATTAAGTTGGCTTGAGCTTACAATATGGTCACGTTCAGGAGGAGCATAGATACCGGTGGTGATAGTGGTTCTTCTTCGAGTGGAGTTGTTAGGAGGTGGATTTGGTATGTTCTTAAACCCTGTTGGAACAACAATTACAGGCAAACCAACTAGATTTCCCAAGCAAACTCTTTCCCAGTCAGTTGCATTGCCAATGAACGCATCCACAGTAAAACTCTCTCTTACTTCCCGGATTAACTTTCCCCTTGCTCTTTGTGCCTGTAAATAATTATGATTAAAAGAAGCCTAGGTTTAAGTAATTTACACTTAGGAAAAAAAACTTAATTAGTTGATAATTAGAAAGTGGAGACAACATTCACCTGCACATAGTCTACTGCTGGAATTACACGTGCACGCCGGAGTTCGGTAGGCCATTGTTCTTGAGCTTCATAAACATCATCCTTCCCTGATCTCTGCCACTCATCAAAGTGAGCCAACATATCCACGTCCATTGTAAAATTTAGGATGCCTTGAACAGAGTCAACTGTGTAGTTTAGCTTGAAAGGGATCATATTTACACCTTTTGATGCAAGAACATGAACAACCTGTAAGAAACTATCTGTATTAAGCTCTAAGAAAAAGAATCAACAATGGATAATGTTAATGATCAAAGGTTCGGATAATCTATTTTGTTAATTTCCAACTAATTAGCACTAACCTCCATCTCAGCATCTTCTAGATATCCAACAGTAAGCTTTGTAATGTCAACTGAAAATGGATCATCAAGGAGAATGTCTCTTGATGAAAGATCATCTGGGTCCTTTCCTCTAATGGCATCCAGAATAATTGCACAATCTGTGGCACTTCTACAGAAAGGGCCAAGCTTATCCTGATAAGAAAATGAACCATAAATTTCTTATATTTACAGCAATAAAGAAATACATGAATGGAACTCGCAAGAGAAGACTAGCACTACCAAGCTTTCTGATAAGCTCATTACACCAGTTCGGCCAACTGTGCCGAATGTTGGGCGCAATGCTGTCACTCCACAGCGTGCAGCCGGATAGGTCACAGAACCAGCTGTTTCTGATCCAATTGCAAATGGTACCATACCTGTGAAAGCTATCTTGTTTATACACATAGCAATGGCATTGTACAAGATTTTAAAGGAACTTCCAATGAAGTTTTATATATCAACTCCGCCTATACGTATGTAGAAGCCATATATTTCTATTAGGATGAAGAGCAACATGAAATGCATTTCAGCTAAGCACAGAGCCACCAAAACTAAGAGAAGATCTGAGGGCTCAAATTTGAATAGTACCAGCTGAAGTGGAGGCAGCAGGTCCGGCTGATGAACCTGTAGAGAACTCCTCGATATTCCAGGGGTTCCTTGTTCTACCACCAAACCAGATGTCATCATAAGCCAGTGATCCAGAAACAAGCTTAGCAACAAGAACTGCCCCAGCAGACTTCAACCTAAATTGAACAGAGATCAACTAATGAGCAAAATGCAATTTAAGCTGCACTGTGTTGGTATATGAGTGACATGTCATTTTCTTGGCACTTTACATGCCAAATCATGGGGATAGGAGGATAGTATATGTGAGATGTCAGCTCAACTGCCACACCAGTTTGTGAAAACAATTTTTCTCAAATCCTGAAATCTTCAATACTCAAGTTTCTTTGTAACCTCTTGTACACCCAAGCTTCAATGTCCAGGACTTGATTTTTGAAACTTCTCGAACCCCAAGTTGTTTTGTAGTGGGGAACTGCAATTATATCCTTCAAACCATAAGGAATCCCATGCAGAGGACCTATAAAGAAAGTCAATAATAAATGAGGATATTATAATGCATAAACCGACTCAAATGCCACCTAAGAAATACTTTTCCTATATCATCTATTTATCCTAATAAGGTGATACCCTAAGGTAGAAGAATGCCTAATCTTAAATAGCTCGGGAAAAGAATTTGATGATTGTCTCTCTATCTCAACACAAGCATTTGAGGTCTAGATATTATACTGCAGGATGAAGATATATGAAAGATGATGGCTCAAATAATGACTTTGCTGCCCAAAAAAAGACAGGCAAACATGACTGTGCATGATATTGATGACATTAATAAGAAAAGAGATGTACCCAAATATACTCCTTGGGCAAGAAGTTTATCAGCCTCTTTCGCTTGCTTGTATGCTAATTCTTCGGTATAAGTTACCACCGCCTCAAGAGCATGATTGTACCTAGTTTTCCCACAATGCATCAATAACATGACTAGTCCTGAGTATTATAACAAAGCAAAGAAAGTATTTTTAGAGCTCACTATTACCTTTTAAGTCTTTTCAGAAAAATTTCAGTAAGCTCCTTAGATGTAAGTTGCTTTGTCTTAATGAGCTCTCCCAATTCAAGAATCTGATGGACACCCAACAAGTTAACTAACTCAAAATATAATCACATTCATTCATATGCATGGCTTTGCAGCAACAGACTTACACTCATAAAGGCAATATCTTGTTCACTTCTGGGTTTTTTAATGCCAGACAGAGAAGGGTACTTGAATCTTTTAGTTACATGCTGTGATTGCTCACTGCCCCAAGCAGAATTGAATACCAAGTAAGACGGGTCATACAAACCTCCATTCACTGAAGCAATTAATTTTCGATTAGCTGTGAATATAGGGATGTTGAACTCCTTTTGACCCTTCACAATCTCCAGCATCTAAAAAAGTATATAGAAAAAATCTCCAGCATCTAAAAAAGTATATAGAAAAAAGGTTCAAACTTTATCACTAACATGGTCCATAGATAAAAGGCACATAAATACTACAGAAGCGATCACCTTTGTGTTATTGAAGAAACTGGAGTCAAAAAACTCAAATGCACATTTAAGTGGGTAAGAATGACCAACTCTTGCCCAACAAACACTGTGCTCATCACTCTCCTAATCAAATTACACCCAAAAATAATAATTACACAACTGAAATGTTAAAGAATTTTTTTACTCTCTTTTTTTCACAAGATTCAAGAATCCCAATTGACCATGAATTTTAAGAGAGTTGAAGAGAAATAGTTACCGCATTTTTAACATCTGAAGCAACAGTGCGGCAACAGATCACAGCTAGAAATATGACACAAGTGATACCACTGTGGGTCCACCCACTTACTAATGGAAGATTCTTCTCCTTCAGCATCATAGCTTAATGGCTTCCTTGCTTCCTAATCACTGCAAAGCACTGGTCTAGTGGCCTCTCTCTCTGCCCATTTGCATAGCTAATGGTCAAAACTCAAAACACGTTTGACGTTATGCACAAGCTTGCTTGTTTTCACAATTTCAACTTTCAAAGATGCTGCTGACTAAACACTTCACTTTCAAATAATAATATTTTTATGGGGGACCATAGCTGGCCCTTTTTAAAAATAAATAAATAAATATTGTAAACAAAATTTGAACAATAGAAAAAGAAGAAAGCTTTACACCTTTTCTTCTTAGCAGCTCAGAGGCACCATGTGGTTGGAGCCTCTGAAAAACCAGAAGAAGCCAGTCATGGCAAAAATGGAGGTGAAAAAAAAATTGGTGGGTTGGGGTTCAGTTGGTAAATTATGAGAGTAAATAAATTGGATGAAATTATTTTTTTTCTTTTTTTTTAAGAATTTAGTGAGGTGGGAAAGGGTGAATGGGTAAAAAGCTTCTTCAATCTGTTTGGCGCCGACAAATTTACAGCGCTGCAGCTTTATAAAAAAAGGTTTCTCTTTTGCTGAGAAGAAGCAAAGGGAGTCTCTCTTTTGGCCACTAGAATCCAGCGAGTGAAGTAAAGGGTTGCTCTCCCTCGCAGTTATCGCCAGCCATTACAGGTATATCGTCTATGGGTCTCTTTTTACGACTTTGCTGTGACGATTTATCTGAGAAAGTTAGGGTTTTGGTTCGCAATCACAAAAAACCCTAAACCCACTTTCTTTTGCATTCAAATCAAGCTACATTTTGCCCCTTGTTATGGCCAATTGATATAATTTGGTTATATAGTTGAGGTCTAGTGTGGATGGAATCTGCTTACTGCTTTGCCCATTTTAGATCCAATGCATCTCAGTTTCTCTTCTAGTTTTAGAGTAAAATATGGCTCTTGGGTTGACTCTGAAAGTTAATTTTGGTCCCCTTTGCTTTGTTGTATGCTTGTCAGAATTTGCTTGGCCTCAAAGCTGTATTTTACTTGATTTCTATATGATCTCATATAGAATTTTGAGTAGTTAGATGTGTTTGTGTAGTTACTTTTGGAATTCTTTGCGTTCCTATTTTTCTGTTTAGTATCACAAGCGCTAGAAATTTGCATTACTGGATGATAATCAGCCTATTGGAAGTTCAGAAAACAAACTAAATAAAATAGATTTATAATTGTAAAGCTTCTAATCTGGCTAGCAAAGCCTGTTTTCCAAGCCTTTATTTGAAATTTTGTTGGGGCTCCATGAAACTTGGAAATAATAAAGATTGATGATAATACGGCAATATGAAACTAGGAAACACAATTTTCTTTACATATAAGGTATTTGACAAGCCCTATATTAAACTTATTCATCCAACCAAAAATACACAGAGGGGTTCTGGAGGTTTTGATTTTCTGGAGCGTGTCACTAGATATACAGCTTTGGTATGTAAACATGATAGCGGGAATTTAATAGAGGATGCATAAAGTTTAAGCAACAGCTGGTATATGGCTAAACCTGGGAGGATGCCTAACGGTCAGTCGATATGGCTTTTGAAATTAAGCATAATAGTGGACAAAAGGTATGTGACCAAGTAACGGAAACTCAGTCCATTGTACCTTGAATGGTTGTTTGACATGCCCGGTAGTACTCTTATTAGGAGACACTAAGTTTCGGGGGTGGTCTTTGAAAGTTGAGATGTGAGGTAACTCTTCAGTTGAGTTTTCTCAACATTAGCTTAGTTTTGCATTTGGATTTACTCCAGCATACATCTTGCTATCATTTTGTACCTGCTTTTCTATAGGGACTAAGAAAGCATTAATTATCTTTGAATTGAATGTGCTAAGTTGGTGAGTTTTAGCATAATAGGGAACTCATAAATTGGCTAAGTAAACTATCCTTGTGATCTAGTGTTTAAAAAGCGAGCCATCCACATTATGTTGACAAGTTTGCTTGGTTTGATTATTCTATATTAGGAAGTGCAGAAATGTGCCATCTCACTTCTTGAAGATGAGAAGCTCGTAATTGATATACTCAAGTGGTTTCTTTATTGCTAATAAAATTTTCATCCTTGAATTCATAAGGGCACTATATTTATTGTTCACAAAATCTTAAATATTAATTGTCTACTGCCTACAATGACAACCTCTTTGTAATTTGATTACATCTAATAATTTTCTTTACATTCTAGTTATGCTTAAGGTCCCAGATCATCAAGTTGCTGGCCACCAAGCCGGTGATGGGAAGCTTGGCCCTCTTATAGATGATTCAGGGCACTTTTACAAGCCTCTTCAGAATGATGGGCGTGGATCCCATGAGCTAGCATTCTATACATCATTTTCTACTGATACGAGGATTCCAGACCACATCCGCAAGTTCTTCCCTGTCTTTTATGGCACTCGGCATTTAGAGGCGTCTGATGGTTCTGGCTTGTATCCTCACCTTGCATTGGAAGATACTGTCTCAAGTAGAATCAATCCATCTGTATTGGACGCAAAAATTGGTTCCAGAACATGGTACCCGCAAGCTGCTGAAGATTATATCATAAAGTGTCTTAAGAAAGATAGAGAGACCACGAGCCTGGAGCTGGGGTTCAGGGTATCTGGACTTCGGGTTTATGGAAACAAAGAAACTGGATTTTGGAAGCCTGATAAGAAGTGTGTTCTGAACTTTAGCATTGAGGATACTAGGTTAGCTCTGAGGAAATTTGTGTCTTCTAACCCATCTACAGATTCAGATATCAAACCAGATTGTTCTTTTGCATCGGCTGTCTATGGTGGTCCTGCTGGGATATTGGCACAATTGTTGAAACTGAAGTCATGGTTTGAGGAGCAGACCATTTTCCATTTCTATTCTTGTTCAGTGCTGATGGTGTATGAGAAGGAGTCAATACTGCAAGGGAGGAATTCAGGTGCTGAAATTAAACTCGTCGATTTCGCGCATGTCATCGAAGGCAAAGGTGTTATTGACCATAATTTTTTGGGTGGGCTCTGCTCCTTGATAAAATTGATCTCAGATATTGTCACCAGTAGTGCCTGAACCAAAGCATGTCAGCTCTGTGAGAAGAACTGCATTTGTACTCATTTCGTGCTAAGAACATCATAGATTTTGAATTTCTCTTCTCATAATGATCCATTTCCTTATTACTAAAATAAATAGACCCAGCTCATGATTTCAGGTATTGATGTTTTTTTAAATTTTTCAACTGGAAAGTTGAAAACATTTTGATTTAATTGCCTCCACACAATCTTGTTACCTCCATATAGTTGAAAATATTTACACAACTCTTTTACATGCCATTGCTGGTCCCCTCAGATGGAAACAGTGCAGCTAATAACTGACATCATATCTTTTTATTTGAATTAAACTAATGACAATGCTTTTGTCTGTTTAATTTTTATCCATTTCATTGTCTAAAAGTCAGTGCAGCCATTTCCTTTCCTGTAATGGCAAGGAAGACTGTCTGGGGTCCACTATGGAGCTTTCAATTGCCGACCTAGGAGGTAAACAGCAAAAATATGAGTGGTATTTGAAGCACAAGGACACCCAGCCATTCAGGCAAAAACAAAGATGATTGTCTTTTAAGCAATGCACTTCCTACAACATAATCCATTTCAAATCCAGCAGTGAACTCCAAGCTTAACAAATTACTTCCATTTCTTGCAACCTCATCATCATTACTTACTATTATATATACACATTAAAATCAAATACTGATAACCACACAAAACAAAAGCACCGAAGATGAGTTCATCTTTTTCCTGCTGCATTGTCTTTCTCTCTGTCATCTGTTTTTGCACTAAAATCTGCTCTGCAGATTCTGATAATCTCCAGGACACTTGCCCTACATCCCCATTAGCAAAACAAACCATTTGTAAGCAAAGGCATAGTGCTTATTATATTCCCTTTCTTCTTGTACGGAGGCGTCTGTCATTTAATGATCGAGCATGTATTTGGTTAACAGAAACTAGATTACATGCAGTTTCTTGTTTCCACAGAATGGAAGTCAACATCAAAACCATAACTCTGCCCTTCGTACTGCACATAAAGGTACTCTTTTGGAGATGAGGATGGGGGCGGAATTTGTAAGATTTCAGGTATGTCTGATGTGGGGGGTGAAGGCATGTATTTTTTCTTCAGAGAACAGTAGACATCAGCTATAAGAAGCCAAATAATATCAGGGTCGATAGATGCAAGACCTTGAAGGGCATTTACAGATGCATCACGGAGACCTTGGAGGGCATTTAAAGATGCATCATGGAGACCTTGAAGGACTTTAAATATATTTTCACATTGCACCAACAATAAAAATATAGATTTCTCTATAAGCCTATCTTTTGAGGTGCCCTTTGTGAAAATCCCACATCGAAATTCCACACTCCTATAAAGGTGTTTATAAACAAAACACTGTGATGGCTTGGTAAGTGGGTTGGCTTCCATTAATAATTATTATATTAATCAAAGACTTGGGTCCTGGGGCTCTTGGACTATGGGGAAATTTAATTAAGACACTCGAATGATTTCACAAAAGACTTAATAAATAGAAATTAATTATTTTGTGGACTTTTTTTTTATTTTTTTATATTAAATAATAATTAAAATGGACATTTTGGAAAAGGCCAAAGGAGAGAGAAATATTTTTAAAAGAAGTCAAAATGGACAAAACTGCCTTAATTTATTTTTGGATTTCCTAAGAAATCCTTTACATTTGCATGTCTTTGGTTTGAAAGTTGAGAGGTTTTTATATCTTTTTTAAAAAAGTTTTGGCTTTTTTCAAAAGTGAAAGTTTTTTTTGTGGCTAAAACCTAAATTCACTTATTTGAAAATATAACTACTAACTAGAGTAATTCAAAAAGGCTAAGATATTACTTAATTACATATATTAAATTAAAGAAGTAGGAGAAAAAAAATATTATATATATATAAAGAAAACCTCTCCCGACAAAAGTTTGTAAGCACAGATCTATGCAGGCAAAATTTTCCGGATTAAATTCTTTTTAAAGAGTACAGCCGCACGGCTTTACTATGTGTAAATTAAAAAGGACGTGCCCAACGCCAAAGTGCCACGTGTCGAAATAGTACAGCCGAACGGCTATACTATTTTTTAAAAACATTAAAAAAAGGTATAGCCGATCGGCTATATATAAAGAGCCGCCCAGCCCTAAGCGCCATGAAACGGTAAAGCTGTGCGGCTATACTATTTTTTAAAAATTGCGGAAAAAGGGCAGTATAGCCGTGCGGCTATACGCTTTTTAAAATATACATTATTTTTATTCAGTAATATGTGAGAATTATGTGTATAATACATGAATTTTGTATGTCTTATTGAAATTTTTGTAAAAAAATACGTGTATTAAACATGAGAAATATATGCGTATGTGTATAATATATTATCAAACATGAAAGTGCTAAAAATTTTATACGGGTAATAACTCTAGAAAAGTAAAAAATCAAAAAGGGACAATAGATACTCGAGTAATGGCCAAATAGTAATGGAGGCTCTTGGGCTATGGAGAAATTTAATGAAGACACCCAAACGATTTCACACATGTCATCGAAAGCAAAGGTGTTATTGACCATAATTTTTTGGGTGGGCTCTGCTCCTTGATAAAATTGATCTCAGATATTGTCACCAGTCCTAGTGCCTGAACCAAAGCATGTCAGCTCTGTGAGAAGAACAGCATTTGTACTCATTTTGTACTAATAACATCATAGATTTTCAATTTCTCTTCTCATAATGATCCATTTCCTTATTACTAAAATAAATAGACCCAGCTCATGATTTCAGGTGTTGATGTTTTTTTAAAATTTTCAGAACATCTATTGATCCTAGATGTAAATGTGCCATGCTTTTTCTGGCAAACTGGAAAGTTGAAAACATTTTGATTTAATTGCCTCCACACAATCTTGTTACCTCCATATAGTTGAAAATATTTACACAACTCTTTTACATGCCATTGCTGGTCCCCTCAGATGGAAACAGTGCAGCTAATAACTGACATCATATCTTTTTATTTGAATTAAACTAATGACAATGCTTTTGTCTGTTTAATTTTTATCCATTTCATTGTCTAAAAGTCAGTGCAGCCATTTCCTTTCCTGTAATGGCAAGGAAGACTGTCTGGGGCCCACTATGGAGCTTTCACTTGCCGACCTAGGAGGTAAACAGCAAAAATATGAGTGGTATTTGAAGCACAAGGACACCCAGCCATTCAGGCAAAAACAAAGATGATTGTCTTCTAAGCAATGCACTTCTTTGAACATGATTCAAATCCAGCAGTGAACTCCAAGCTTAACAAATTACTTCCATTTCTTGCAACCTCAACATCATTACTTACTATTATATATACACGTTAAAATCAAATACTGTGCACCACACAAAACAAAAGCACCGAAGATGAGTTCATCTTTTTCCTGCTGCATTGTCTTTCTCTCTGTCATCTGTTTTTGCACTAAAATCTGCTCTGCAGATTCTGATAATCTCCAGGACACTTGCCCTACCTCCCCATCAGCAAAACAAACCATCTTCATCAATGGCTTCCCATGCAAGAACCCAAATAACAACATTGCCCCTGATTTCAAAACTTCCAATCTGACCAAAGCTGGCAATACAGACAATTTCTTTGGCTCCTCATTGAATATAGTGACTGCTGCAGAGTGGGCAGGCCTCAACACCCTTGGCCTCTCAATTGCCAGAACAGACATCAGATTGGATGGCTTGGTACCCCTTCATTCTCACCCCAGAGCTTCTGAGCTGTTCTTTGTAAACAAAGGCATAGTGCTTGCTGGGTTTTTTGACACCCAAAACCGGGCCTTCCAGAAGATTCTTAAGGAAGGAGATGTGTTTGTGTTCCCAAGGGGCCTGCTTCACTTCTCTCTGAATGCTGGGTATGATTTGGCCACTGCTTACTCAGTGTTTAACAGCCAAAATCCAGGAGTTGTGGCCATCGCTGGTGCCATGTTTAAGACTGATCTGGATATGATATACAAGATGACAAAAGGGTTTCTCTCTGATCACATCAAAAATGTCACTTTTCCTGATTCGTCAAGTCTCAACAGGCAGCAATTCAGAAACTTCAATCCTATCATATGAAGATTATATAAATATAGTTCTTTGTATCTACTAGCATTTACATGCATAACATTGTTTCAAGTGTGCCATTATAGTCTCAGCAGTTTGCTGTGGGCTAAGAACAAGAGTGATGATAATAAATTCTAAGAAAGACTGTCCCCTATAATATTAAGCTTTGTGGCCTCTTTTATGGCAGAATATGTAATGTTTTGATGTTTTCTATTTCCACAGTGTGCTGCAGAATGTTTTCCATTTCAAAAATGTTTTTTTATTTTTTTCGTGCTAGTTATTTATTTATTTTGATTACATTGGAACGAATCGAAACATTAACCTTTCGTTTCATCCTCAGTTAGGAAAAATGACTAAATGTAATAAAAAGATGAAATAGAAATTAGGAGAATAATAAAATATTATTTTTATGTAAAATAGGTCTGAAAATTGAAATAATTTGCAAGTTTGATATCATTATCGGGGAGCCCAGGGGACAAACTTAGCAACAAACAAGGCTCGGCCTAAGCAACATCGGCCCAATCTTACTTTTAAGAAGGTATAGCCGCGGGAAAAGAAAGAGAGGAAAACAAACAAAAAAAGGTATAGCCGACCGGCTATAATCTTTTAAAATATATTAATATTTAAACAGTATAGCCGCGGCTATACTCTTAAATATTTTAATATATCCAAGCCGTATAGCCGGGCGGCTATACTCATTAATATATTAAAATTTAAAACATATAGCCGCACGGCTGTACTGTTTAAATATATTGGAAAGTATAGCCGTTCGGCTATACTATTTAAATATATTAAAATTCAAAATTGTCATTATTTTAGGGGGCCAAATTTTCTCTAGTTCCCAAAATATCCCAACACTACTCATTTATCAGAAATCGCGCCAAACCAGTGAGCTTTTCGAGAGCGGTTGAAGAAGAAGCGCAATGGTAGAGTTGTGCTTTGTACTGGACCTACGGAGCTTGCCACCTCCATTTCTCAGAGACCTAAAGCTGGTAATCATTCATAAAATTTGCCCATACAATTTCTGCTTCAATCCATAGCCTCACGAATTGCATGCGTTTTTTTCTGGTAAATTTCATCAGTCGCTGTTGCAGCTCGCGAATCTTTATGCCATTTCGTCGACCCCGTCTTGGCGCAGAACGGAGTCGCTCAGAGATCGCATAGGCCTTTGCTACGTCTTTCAAAATCCGATTTCCTTGTCTGATGAGGTAGGCGATTTCGGGCACGAAACCTGTTTGCGTTATGTTCCCTGAGAATCTGAGAGTGAAAGATTGAATATATATCGTTTTACAGCTGAAGATCGTATACACGCCGAGTCCAAGCGGAAGCTTCAATCTACGTGACTTCCACCATGCCGTTAACAATTTGCCTGCTCATGGCTTTCAGCCTCAGATTGACGATTCTGGTGCTCTCTGGCCTCAACTATTTTCTCCAGCATACTCATTTTGTTAACTGTGTTTGTTGATTCATAATTTGTTGCAGATGTGAAACTTTCCACGGTCCTGAACGATCAAGTTTTGTACCAGTGGGAGGGTAGAGATATCATGAGAAAAGTGATTGTGCTAACCTCCTGCTTACCTCGAGATGTGGACTGGATCATGCAAAACACTCTCATGGTTAGCCTTTCATTGCTTATTTTTGATATTTTTGAATTTCGCACCATGTTTGCTTCTGCAGCTTTGTTTTCATGGTTCTCTATTGGTGTTGGCTTCTTTTCCGCAGGCTGCAGCGGATAAGTGTGTTTCGGTGGATTTTCTACTATTTGAACAGAAATCATCCCACCTCAGTAATACCAAAGAGAATATCAACAATTTTCAAACATGTATATCTGATCTTGATAATTGCTCCTTTCAAGCATATCTCCCAGGTTTTCCACTCCTTCCCTCCCTCTTTATATGTAGGAGAGTAGGACACACCACTGCGATTACCTCCTTCAATTGCTCTGCTCATTTCCGTAATTTGTTCCCTGTTTTTTGATAGTTATTATTGTTACGGTCTAGGAGACTAGAAGCACAGTAGGCTTTCGAGGTAGAAAGCTGGGGACAGTTTATGTTGACTATTAACCAAATTTTCAGATGTCAAAGTACTGCATGGCCTGGTAAACCGATGGTTGCAGGATTTAAAAGATGACATGGAAGAACCACTACAAGCTCGTTTTAACTTCAAGAACAATCTTGTGGGCTCTGTGAACCAGATATTCTGCAACTTGTACATATCAGTCAATCCAAATATCGATGTTTTCTATCCCTGTCAGGTACTATGTAAATACTACTTTGTCAGCTTTATTGCTCTTCTACTTCTGAATCATCCATGTTGGCTAAGAATACTTCATGGATGGTAGATTTTTATGGTCATTTTTACCATCGCAATTTATGAACTGAAAATCACTTTAAGATCTCACGTTATTTTCTCTGGTGTTACAATTGAAAACCTCTTAGAGATGCTACAAAATCATCATCTTGCCTGAGCCTCTGATATTTCTTAGAAGTGTAATATCTGGTTTCGTAGTCTCTGGATCCAAAAGCTAACTAAAATAGCCATCATGGTTGATTATCATTGCTTCAACAAGATTATGTGTCAATAGTGCGAACCATAAACTTGGTGCAATCATATATGTGCTGTGATGGACAGCCTGTGTGGTTTGTTATTCCAAATCCAAACAGCTGTTATCAGTCTGCTTAATGAATAGTTAACACGACTCACTGTTGCTCTATCCTCCCTACGTGGAAGCAAAATATGGCAGACAGATTTTCTTGTTATATGATATACTCCTCCATCCCTCTGTTTTCATTTCACCATCACACCTCATCTCTAAATTAAGATTTTGATGATAGGTTTACTGCTTATAGGCATGCAGATGTCATGGCATTTCTCTGGAAGATGCTGTTAGAAATAGAGCCGAGGGACCTTCTTGTCCAGTCACAGGCTGTAATCTTGAGACATGTGATGTGATTGAAAATTCTGTGAAAGTTGGAGAAAAAACAATCCTTTTACTGCCCTCATTTCCAAACTCTATGAAGCTCAAGCGTGCTTCTTTGCCACTTGACTTCAATGTCATTGAGAGGACTAACTTGGGGTCTCTAAGTGAAGGTAAATGTTAAGCTTGAAGCTCAACATTTATTAGTTCAAGTCTGAGCTTACTAGGAAATTGAAAGCCTGATTAGTCCTTTTAGTGCTTGGTGTTAACATTGACAATTAATACTACCCCCTTTTTGGCAATTTTTCCACAGGTGTTATAATGGGTGCTTCCTATGTTGTGATTCCATCAACTTGTAATGAGATAGAAACTACTCCAGATGAGATTGATCAGTCAGAATTGAATATTCAACGTGTGTTCAAGGCCTTCCTCTGATTCTCTTCTTTTTAGCTGCTACATTTTTCCAGGACAACCAAATTCAGAGACTTTGTGAATGTCTAATAAGAGGCCTTACATGAGGTCTCAGGATGTGTCCTTGACTCTTTATTGTATCCATCTTTCTTCTTTTCTCTAACCAGGCTACAAATTTTGTAGTTTTCCAAGGGCTTTGCAGTGCTCTACAGTCACTGGACCAGTGTTTGGTATGTTCTTCAAATTGTAGTATAGAAACTATGAGGCAGGCCACTTTGCACAGTTATTATATTCTTCAACCTTCAGACAACGGGCCAATGCTTCTCAGGGTGAACATTGAACTTCTCTTTTAGTTTCTATACTTCCATTCCATCTTCGTCTAGTTGTATGCATGATATGTTTTGGCTTATCTTTTCTGCATTTATTGTCTTGACTCTGTTGTATCTTGTATCTGTGTTAAGCATTGCTATAATATTTGCAGCCCGTTGCAGGATCAGAGGAAGTTTTGCATGTTCCTGATCTCAATCAATTAACTATTTCTTCAGTAAGGAAGGAGATTGAGAACTCCATTAAAGACTCTTTGTCAAAGGTATGAACCAGAAGCATATATATGCTTGCATTCTTCTTCTTGAACTCATCTTGGAGAATTTTTCTTTTCAACCCTTTTGTAGAGAGAATGACGTGACTGTCTTTAAGTAACTATTTGACAATGTTGTCGAGTTTTCCAATTGGATCTAGGCCATGCAGAGCTGCATGCCAAGCCACAATTTAAACCAAATTTGTTGTTACTATCTTAAATTTCTTGGTCCAAAATGTTGGTGAAGAGATCATATATGTAGCAGATTCATGAGAGTTTAGATTACTGACTTTTCTATCACAAAACATTTACAAATTGAGTTTTCTATCAACCTTTTGCATTTAAGTAATTAGATAAAGCGTATTAGATTGTTGAATGAGGCAGTGATTCAGCCTTTCCTTCTCTGAACTTTTTGCAGGTTGATGTAAGAGACTATAATCCGATGCTGCATGAGAGGGGCTTCCATCAGAAATTAAACTTGCTTGTAAAAGAGAGCTTACAGTTTGGGTAATTATTCTCGTCATCCACCTTGAACCTGCATAACATGTCAAAATAATCATGCAGATCGACAGGCTTTTAGTGCTATTGTGAACAGGAGAAGAAAAAATTAGAAAGAAAATGATGGAGAAACACACTTTTAGCTACAAAGTTAAATATGCCCTTGTTACTCTCGACATGCATGCTTTATTTTTCTCTATTATCATTTGAGATATTTAGGCACAATTTCAATCAATTGTAGGCTTTTGTGTTTAAGGATGGCCTCATTTTCATCTATTCAAAACAATAACCAATTGGTCAGAAATTCTATTATGTATAGAACTTCACAACTGATGGAATGAGATGAACCCCTGAGTTCTTGCACATGTTTAGGACTGAGTTTAGATTCGCTATTGTTAATCAAGAAGTATAGCAACTATATCCGAACTTAGGGTGAAAGCTTCCTCTGATAATTGCTTTGTTGATGTGAATATTCCAGGCCAATATCCCTTATATTTAAAGAGGAAACCTGTGAGCCAAACGCAACCCAACCAAAATTTCCAGAGGTGATTGTACAGCCAAATTCAACAAAAGATGTTGCCTTCATCAGAGAGGAAACCTCAGAACTAGACCTAACAGCCCAAGAAGACAAAACATCTGCTTGCATTACAGAAGAGTGGGAGAAGCTTATTGTCAATGAAGTCTCTGAGATACATTCTCCAGTTTGCACTTCCAAACCCAAGCTAGACCACTCACTTCTTCTATCACCACCAGATGGTAACCGGCAGCTCGACGCCAAAACCTCAAGGATTTTAGAGAGGCTTGAGGTGCCAAGACAGTTCAAAAGAGAATCAGTTTCTCCAATTCTCGCAAACACCGGCGTGAAGAATTTTAGTGTTGAGGTAAAGAAGCCTTTGGTCGAGTCCCAGCCTAATTGTGCTCCACACCAATACATGGCCACCAGCCAACTAATGAAACCGAATTTCCAGAGGCTAAAAAGGAAACATAAATAAAGAGTGGGCAGCCCTATGTAAAGCATGAACTTAACTTCAGGTATGTGCCATTTCCTACAAGTTGAAGAACCTGGTATGTGGGAATGGAAAACCTAGTTTCATCGTTGTTATGTTTTTTTTTCTTGGGTTACAAGGCGGGACGAACCTGAAAACCAAAAAAAAAACTAGCAAAGAATACTTGGGACCGGCCTAATCTATCATCATCGTTGTTAGGTTCTTTAGATTCCATGATAGCATAGTTTAAATATCAAAATCATGATAGAAGTTCAAGAAAATTACAAACTAGCCATTCAAACTTGATAACTCATACACAGATTTATATTCTAACACAGGCTGTCTAGTAGTGATATATAGTATATAATAAGTCAATCGTTCATTCTAGAAACATGCTTTGCACAAGCTCTCTGCATCTCTCTCTCTCCCCCCACCCTGCAACTTGTATAATTTAAAATGACCATAATGAGCTTAGGCCACATCAAACAAGGCATACACGAGGATCACAACTCAGAGGCCTGTGGCCTAACCACCATCTTTTTGCCTGCTATGTAAAGCGAAGAAGATAAAAAAAAGACTGAACTAATAATTTACATAAAGCAGCAGCTCAGATCAGAATCTCTTTGTATTTTGATGGAGAAAGTAGGAGGATGGACATGGATGGACCATAAGGTACATGGTGGGGACGCACAGGAAGACTTTGTTTTGTTTTTTACTTGATTTGTGATCATCAGAAATTCTCTTTATGGAAATCAAATTGGGTGGTGGTCTTGTGAGAGAAATCATGAGATAGCTGTCGCAGCTCATTGGCAGGCGCTGGTAGCCCACAGTAGAACACCCCTGCACGACACAAACAAACACCTTAAATTATCTCCCTAAAAATTAAAAAGAATAAAAGTTTAAATAGATAAATAATGAATGATTAAGACATGGATATTTTAAATGTTAATCATCCACATTTCGACAGCAACAGAAAGAACAATTAACATGTGACACGGAACAGAATTCAAATCGCGAATAAAAGCCAAGGTACTATTTTGTTGCTTACGCAGATAAATACAACTTATATTTAAAACGTGATTAGTAATGTAATCAGTAGATGTAATGAATAAATAATTATTATTGATGGAGGGAAAGAAAGGACTCACCAACTGTGGCGTTGGTGTGATCAAGTGCAATGCGCTTGTAGACCTCACGCCAGTTAGGCTTGGCAAAGTGCGACTTGACACGTGTCCCAGACACAATATCAACGCCATTCTTTGCATGACTGAGAGACTGAAGCATGTGAATGAGGGCAGAACGTGCATCGCCTTCCTCATAAACACTGGTGCAATAATTGTGAAACTCAATAACCCTGTTGTGGTCCAATTCAGCCACCTCGTTCATCGCCCCTTTGAACCAGTCAAAAGAGCCTTGCTCTCTTGTCACCCAATAAAAATAGGCCCTCTTGGTCTTAAAGTTATGGAGCCCCAGTTGGCTTGACCCGGATCCGACTTTTGATATCCTGCTTGGTGCCCCATTTTCTAAGGCACCCATGTCCTCCCCCTCCTCCTCTATGGCCTTTATGTTGTTCACTATGTCCTTCAAAATGCTGATCATTGGGGTTGCCCCAATCCCTAGCCCTACCAACAACACCACTTCATAGTTCTTGTAGTCTTGGGCCGGTGCTCCATAGGGCCCATCTATCAACACTTTTGGAAATCTGGTTTTGCATTCATTATCATCACATCAATTATTTCCACCAACATGGAAAAAGAAAAAGAAAAAAAAAGTAAAAACCCATTATGAGGTTGCTATCGTTAATAGACAAAAAGCAACTTTGTTATCAGTAAAGGAAGGGGGAAAAAAAATCAAAGCCCACTCAATGTTCTACTTTAGAGAGAATGATAACACTTTGCCTAGTGACCATGTTTGTTAGAGTCTATCTATTACTATATAATATCTTTAAGAACAATCAATAATAATCTACTTTTTCTTCTTTCGTCCCCAAGTGAAGTACTAACCCATCATAATAACCTACTTTTTTTTTCTTTAGTTGCAACAGATAAGTACTGTTTTGTTATTCCCGACCAATAATACTATGCCACATAGAAGTGTTATCACGCGTGTCACAACATTATTACCCAGTAACCAGGCACTTTCACTTTCTATAACTCTTCATAGATTTCGACATTAGAGAAACGTATCTTTTTATGCATTGTGGTCCACTAATATTAATATTAATACAAATCCATTAGTTAATTAAGGTTGCTTACATTAAGTTGTCAGCTCCTTGCATATGGTCAGCTCTGAGAAGTCCGCTTTTCCCACTAGGAGGAGGTTGGCATACCTAAACAAATCAATACAAGAAGATTAGCTGCCCATGTTTAGTGGATAATGCATTTACATGGCAATATTTGTTCTTTTGTGATAAACTATAAGCTTTATGTACCAAACCAGTATCTTATTTATGTGTTTGTTGTTCCTTATGGTATACAAACTTCTGATGTACATGAGACTGTTCTGTTCCCAGAGCAATTTGCAATCGGAAACACACCTGAGAGAACACAGTTTTAAGTTGCCGGGTCCAATCTCCGACGATTCGAATATGAACACTAAGGTGGTTATCTCCAGGGGCTGAGGTGATGGAAAATGGGTGCCTGTGTACATGTCAAACACCAAGTACTTATTAACATACTGAAATGGATAAGCACATGAAGAAAAAAAACGTGTAATGAGAAAAAGGTTTGGAGATAGACGTGACTTTATGTTGTTAGCCTGTCAATCTGAAGAGAGCATTTTAACATAATTGCACTTCGTCCATTAGTCATGATTTACAGTACATGACATATATTAAAATGATGTTTGTAGGGATCTTACCATTCAAATGGAGACACAGCAGCACACTTAACAAACATATATTGCCCACTGTGGTATCTGAAGCCTTGAGGCTTGGACAAATGAAGGGCCAAGACATTCCCAGGATGAGCCAAAATAAAAAGAAAAAAAAAAAAAAACTAATAACTATATATTATGGTTTTTATGTTGATTAGGTATGTTTTCACCAACATAAACACAATGAATATATAGCTTTTCAAGTTGTTCACCTTTAGTATCTTAACCGGCTTGATGCTGGATCGAAGTGCCCGAACCAATCTTTCACCAGCATAGAGGGTGAGTGGCACAGCCAGGTACATCCAGGTCTGTAAAATCAAACAGTAAAAAGATTAATGTGCTGATTAAGATCAGGTGAAAAGTAATTAGAGGTAATTAATCACCAGGTTTCGTACCGTCTTCTTATACCATTCCTTGGTCAGGTAAAGATAAACACCATGGATGATCAACAAGACATAGACTATGATGAAGAGGTGGTGTGAATACCAAAAGGCATTGAACCCAGTGAGCTTCTTTAGAGGTTCAGTGAGCTTCTTTAGAGGCTCAGGCAGCTTGAGCTGACCTTTTCTGAAACAAGGGGCAGCCAATGTGAAGGCTATTGCCATTAACACTACCATAACAATCCCAGTAACTCCTTCCATTGAGTTAAGAAAGTGCCAATAATTTGAAGGTTGATCGTCCCCGAAAAAGGGCTTCATCAGCTCATACTTATCGCTGCTGGCATGAATGATGCGAGGGAAGTCACATGCTAAATGATAAATTCCATGTATGCCAACTCCAATCCCAATTCCTATAGCTATGACCTTGTGGAAATTGAGGTTGTCGTCAAAAGGAACGACGATGCCTAGTTTGGTCTTGTTCCTGAGCAAAGTTATGGTGTTTCTGCAGACTGGTAGCAGAATAAGAGCCATGTTGAATTTGAGTGTCTCTGCTGCACCTTTGGCCATGCACACACAATGCCCCATTACTTCATATGCAGCTTTGTTTCGATACTGCACGTACTTGTAGGCAAATAGGCCAGCCATGATCCCAACCCACAGTGTCACTACCCAAACTCTCTTCCAATTGTCTTGCAAGAAGTAATTGACGTTGCTACACCATCTCCTTAATGGGTGCTCTCTTGTAGGCTTAAGCTTCTGGCTCAGCATTTTGCTTAGGTTTCGGCTATCTTTTCCTCTTACTGCAGTCTCTTCTGGTCCTTGCAACAAGAGAGTTTCCAGGCTGTCTATCTGTTCCCACAGTCATCACCAAATGATCAAGAATTAAGAATCTAAAGACAAGAATTCCAATTTCTAAATTTCTAATTAGGAGTTCAATTATCATCTTTTCATTTATTTACCATGATGTATCCAAGATTGTCTGGATCTAACTCTTCCATGATCAATGCTGCATATTCATCTGCTTGGTTTTGGATGTTTGAGAGTTTGTTGGCAGAAGCACTGAAGCTAATAATCTGCATTTTATAATTGAACAATTTGATTTAGAAGATGTCATATATTCTGTCTGAGAGACTGACACAAAAATCACATGGTAGCCAGGATTGGTTTAGATTCACATGGCAGATATGTCATACCTCTTTGACCTCCTCTATGGTGATTCTTCCATCTGCATCTTTATCAACCCTGAATTTTACATATTTACCACTCAATTCAATTTCATGTTGCTCCATGATCAATCAACCAATCAATCAATAGAGATGAGAATAAGGGAGAAATTAAGCAATTCCTTTAGAAACTCTCCAGAAAAACAAAAAGTGGGTTGAGAAGATATTACATGTCAAAGAAAGTTTGAAGCCTGGAGTCAAATCCCTGCTCAGAGATTTGAGCCCAAAACTCGTTCAACTGTTCCTTGGTGATGGAATCATCCTTTATATCCAGCTCTCTAGCAAGAGCATCGAACAGCTTCCCGGCAAACTCTTTCGATTCCTTATTCATTCCTACATGAGTTACATCCACAGAAATCAACAAAACATCAAATACTGTAATGCAAACAGGAACTGAAGCATCATTAGGAACAGCAATAAGTACCTATACATTCACCGAAAAGCGAACGAGGAAGCAAGCCATTGCTTGAAGCAGTGAGCTGATTGAACTTCTGCTCAACTGCAGGCCACCCAGCATTACCATCTGTCTTGCTGATGAACTTGAGGCCCTTCAAGGCAGGAGCTGCTGCTGACTGTGTTCGATCAAACCGCCTCCTTGGATGAGGGGCTGCCACTGCTTGTTTTGAAAATGAGGCCAGGCGCTTCAGCTCCTGAGAAACCTGTTTGATACGAGCTGAAGCCGTCCTCACAACTGATGAACCTTTAGGAGATTGATTCTTCTCCAACCCTTTTCCCAGTAAAGTCATCTCCACATGATCTTCATGATCATCAGCAGAAGGCTTAACGCTGTGCACCGCCACGGAGTCTTCTTGAACATGCAAAATGACCTCAACATAAGGCTCTTCATCGCTTGTGCTAATGCCAGGCTTCACAGCAGAGCCTGCAGGCTCAGCTATGTTGAACTTGGCAGTCTTCTTGTTGCCTGATCTTTTGTTCAGAGGTCCACTTAGAGGACCGCTGTAATTCACCATTCTTTCGCTGCCAAGGATCTCTGTATCCGAGTGATAATGACCTCCTCCAACCTCATTTGTTCCCATTTTCTCAGGGACCAAACAAGCTTCTGTGAAGCAGAAATTTAAGCTGCTGTGGCTTGTAAGGTAAGTAAGTCTCTCAGAATTTTGTATGTTCTCTCTAACAGAGAAGAAAGGCTGGCAATTCAAAAATGAGTGCAAGGGTTGTTAGATATGTTCTGTTTTCTTTCATTTCTTTCTGTGTCTTAGTGCTGGGAGTGTATGAGTGTAAGGTGTCTTGCATCATCAACTATTATTTATAGACCTTTTGAGACCATTTTCCACTGCAAAGAAAGTATATGCTATCTATCCGATTATGAGTTTTGGGTAATCTCATACCAATCAACGGTTGTCAATTATTCATGCGCATGTGAACAACTAAAGCTAGCTTTTTCTCGAGAATATGACGTGCCGTTAATTATGTCATTAATTCTACATCATAATAGTATTTTGGTTGGTACTACGAAAGTTACACTTGTTAATCACTCTTTTTAACTTTTCACTTGTCGCAAAACAAAAATGTTTTACAAATATCAACTGTTGTTTCACGTGGTCTGCTCTTCTTAATTTTGGTATTTTTAAAGATCAAATCAAAGCAAACAGAGAAAACCACTCGTCCTCATTTCCCAATTTCATTTTTCCTTTTGTCTTGAGATACAATATCAGAAGTAGGGTTCCAGGAAAAACAAACACACAACTTGATTGCTTCATGCTTACCAAAAAGCACCTAACATTTCTATTTGGAAGATGGGTTTTCTTTTTCTTTTTTTCAGAAATAATTAAATGTATAGATGCAATGTATTGTCCTTTCACTTTCCCCATGATCCAAACAAGAAATGAAAGACAAACCACCAACCACTCTGAGGCAGCTTGTATAAAACAAACACAGTATGTGCAGATGCCTGATAAAAATATTACCCAAAAAAGATGATTAAACAAATTAATTAATATAGAGTCAACATTAAAGCAAGTGCATAAATAAAGAACAGGACAGGTTACAATATTCAAACCCACATTATTTTTTTCTTATATTTAAATCAACTATGTTTCCTGATTTTATTTTTATTTTTATTTTTATTTTTTGGCGTGATCATAGGGATTTAAAAGATAAAATAAAAAGATAACGATTCACCAGTTGTACCTCAAAGATGGTGGTAAAAGATCTAACCAAGCAACTTTGCCTGCTTCTAAATCATAAATTAACAGATGAGTTTTAACAAAAAAATTAACAGAAGTAGTTGACTTTATTGGAAGGAAGGTTATATATTTAGGAGCAATGTGTCGGTGGTTAATTTGGTTTGAAAATTGAGATGGCAGATTAGTAAAACCAGTTTGGTTTGGTATATAAGCAGAGACTTTGTGAATGGCATTTTCAGATGCATCGCTGGAACCAAGTAGAAGCAGTGGGGTGCACATCATTGAAAGAAAAAAATAATCAGTCACCGTATATATAGGAAGCCTGCCATGTTTATTTTTTGGATCACAAAGAAAAAAACAAAATGAAAAAGAATCTTGTATCTGTAGATGAAAAAGAATCGAATGCTATTTTACTTTCTTTTATAAGAATCATGAAGATGAAAATGGAAGAGCAGATTGAAACGTGAGCTTTAAAGGGCCACAAGTAATGGTTGTAAAATGGATTGTACTGAGTATACGAACTAGGCCGAATAATAGCGTTGGTCCGAAGAAATTCTACTTTGGTCTCTTTAGTTTCAATTTTTGCGGTTTTAACTTCGCAGAACAATGATTTAATCGCAACACCAGTCTTTTTATTATGGTAACTAAGCAACTGTTGATACCTCTTTTTTTGGGAGGTACCATATTTCAATCTACCTCCTCCAATGCTTTAATTAAAGCACAGACAAATGGAAGAAAAAGCGGAAGTGTACCAATTGTTTGTTTCTATAAATGACTTGTAACAAATGCTTCATTGATTCTTATATACAATTAATAAATCACCTGTGCACTTCAACAAAACTTGTGCGCATGCCTATAACGAAAAGATCATAAGATTATATGGATTAACTACAAGATGGATGTTGTATACTGGTATTAGATATGTGGACACTCTGATCTGATCCGTTTCTTACAAAAGGGTTTCCAGTAGCATCTAAATCGATAATGACAGTATCACCTGGCTTGTAACCTCCGGCAAGAAGCGCTTCGCTCAACGGATCTTCAATTATTGATGTAATTGCCCTCCTAAGAGGACGGGCACCATAAAACCGGTCATAGCCTTGCTCACATATGAGGTCCTTCACTGATTGAGACACCTCCAATCCCATTCCCAGAGACATTAGCCTTTGCTTCACCTCTTGTAGCATCAAATTTACAATCTCGAGCATCTACGATAAACAAATTATGTAAATCAATCGTGTAACTCAAACATCAAGCCATATTAATTCAACACTCATCTATAGTTTACATTGATTCCTTCAAATCAACGGAAGATGACAAACCTGAGCCTTTTGAAGGGGATGGAATACAACTACTTCATCTATCCTGTTCAGCAGCTCTGGACGAAAATATGTCTTGAGTTCTTCCATCACTGTTGCTTTTATTCCAGCATAAGAAGTTACCTCATCATCCGCAAGCAAGAAGCCAATGGAGCTCTGTCTACCCTTTGCAATGATAGTAGATCCCACATTGGACGTCATCACTACCAATGCATTTTTAAATGATACTCTCCGACCCTATCAAACACAAATTTTACACGAAATGAGACAATGATCAAAGACTGTAGTAAGGAAGAAAGTAAACACAAAACTTACTTGAAGAATCTCCCTCCCCCCAGCCCGACCCAAAAAAAAATTATGGAGCAAACAAGTAATAATTTTCCTTGCATTCAGCTAAGAATCTAACTAACTAACTAAATGACAAAGGCTACAAACCTGAGCATCAGTGAGGTGGCCATCTTCAAACATTTGGAGAAGGATGTTGAAGATATCTGGATGGGCTTTCTCTATTTCATCAAGCACAACCACTGTAAAAGGCCGCCTTCTAATAGCTTCAGTCAGAGTGCCTCCCTCTCCATAGCCAACATAACCTGGGGGTGACCCTATTAATTTGCTGACAGAATGCCGCTCCATATATTCACTCATGTCAATCCGTAGCATGGCTTCTTCCTGTAACAATAACATCAAGGATCACACAAAAATTGATTTAGATTGAATGTAAGCCTACACCTCATCTCACTCTTGACTCCATCAAGGTTCCATTGCATTTTTAGTCTAAACAATTATCCAATGCAGAAAGAATACCTTCTAAATAAAGACTGAAGACTTACCGATCCAAAATAACATGCAGCCAAAGCTTTTGTTAATTCAGTTTTGCCAACCCCAGTAGGACCACAAAAGAGCAGTGCCGCGATGGGTCTGTTAGGATCCTTCAGTCCAACGCGGGATCTCTTAACAGCTCGAGAAATGGCATCAACAGCCTCTTCTTGACCAACAATCCGCTTCCTAAGCTTCTCATCAAGACCCACCAAAAGCATTCTGTCATCAGCAGTGAGCTGCTGAAGAGGGATTCCTGACCACAGTGAGGCAACTGCTGCTATATCATCTGATCTCACCACTGTAGGTCTGAAAAATATATTAGCAAGAAATCCAGTTAAATATCATTCTGAGACCTAGGGGAAAGGCCGACTGCCCTCCATACATGCTTTCAGGGCCAAAAACCGTACTCATTGTCTGCTGTGGAAGATGAAAAGGAGTCTAGAATAGGTTCTTTGGTATCATCCACACTAGGGGCAGTGCCATTTTTCAGTTCACTAGCTAGGACCTGCTTATATTAAATTCATAACACTAACATTATTAGAGGATCATTTAACGAGGTAAGTATATGATAGAACTCAGGAGTGATGTCATTACCACTTCATGCATAGCCTGAACAGTTCGAATTTCTTGCCAATAATCATCCGGTGACTTTGAAAGTATACCAATTTGCTGTTCTCTTTTCCTCTTAAAAGCTTCCATTCGAGCTCTACTTCCCGCCTCATCAATGAGATCAATAGCTTTATCAGGTAGATATCTATCAGCTATATATCTTGCTGCCAGATACACAGCGGCATCAATGGCTTCTGGTTCGTATCTGCAATTGTGATGGGCCTCGTATTTCTCACGCAGACCTAATAGAATCCTAACCGCATCATCCTAAAAAATTTCATATAATATCCAGTTATGAATTATACAATGACTAACCACTTTACTTATGATAAGATGAAAATATATATTGAAAAAGACCTGGCTTGGTTCATTAATCCACACAGGTTGTAATCTTCGAACAAATGCTTTATCCTTTTCAAGATGCATCCTGTATTCATCTATAGTGGTGGCTGCAATACACTGCAAACAGTGGAATGTTAATGCAACTTATACTATGCTTAAGGAACTTAGAAAACAAGCAGATATCTTAAACACAGAAGAAGGACATGTTTCTCTAGCATCCTCTTTGACTTCCCCTCAATTCATTGTATGAGGCTCTTTCTTCATAGGATCTCTGGGTCAAACACTAAGCATAACCCCATAGATTAAGTACTAAGCAATATGCCATAGGCCAAGCATACAACAGTATGCCTTTTATTTAGAAGGGCAAGTCTATGACCAGTCATGTCGATTACTAATGGGTGCCATTTAAGTGTTAGGTGTGCCTTCACTAACTAGATTTACTATTAACTACTAGAGGCACACTTGCAATGAAAATTACAGATGGCATGTCAGTATAGGAGGACTTTAATGGTCACTAAGATAACATACCAATTAAGATTATATGAACCGGGAAATAAACAGATAACCTGTAATTGGCCCCTCCCAAGTGACGGTTTTATTAGATTAGCAATGCCAAGACCAGACCCCTTATTTCCTCGTCCAACTGTTCCAGACTCAATAAGGGTATGTACTTCATCAATAAAAAGAATAATGTTTCCTGCAATGTAAGCACATCATGAATGAGCACAAGGGAATTGACTCTTTTCCTGTATGAAAACACAAAAAAAGTGTATTCACCTGATTTTTGTATGTCACTTAACAATGTGGTAACACGCGCCTCCAATTCTCCCCTCTCCTTTGAACCAGCCATTAATAGAGCTATATCCAAGGACATCACACGTTTTGTCTGTGGAACAATAAAGCTAATTAAATATGTAATATACAGCTTTATTAAATTCAATAATATGTAACTGCATTTGGATGAGCGTGTAGAGCTAGAAGAACTATACAAATATGATCATATGCGAGAACACACCAGGAGAAAAGCAGGGACATCTGCCTGTGCAATACTAATCGCCAGTCCTTCAACAATGGCTGTCTTTCCGACCCCACTTTCGCCAAGAAGAATGGGGTTATTTTTGGATCTGCGACAAAGTATCTGAATAATTCTCTGCACTTCAGTATCTCGGCCAATAACAGGATCGATGAGTCCCTCACTAGCACGGGCAGTAAGATCCACACAGAATTGGTCCAAAACACTTTCCTCTGGAAGGACAGTGGAATTACAGGGCATCCCCTTTGATTTTGTAATTTTTTTTAAAGAAAAAAAACTAAACAGAGATGAGCAAACTTACTTCTTACCTTTTGTATTCTCAGAGGATATCTTAGCAGACGATTTTTTGGAAAAAGTTTTTTGAAATCCACCAGATGGTTCTCTACCATCTCTGGCAAGCTCTACTTGAAGTCTGGAGGTTGCCTCAGCTAACAACTGGTTTACATCTACCCCCAGTCTGAAATCACATTCATTTAGTAGGTTTCAGAATTGAAATTGGCATGTATAAATTTGAACCTTAAACCCCCATATCTAAAATCATGTAAATGCAGCTCATGCACATGGCAGTGTACTCTCTCTCTCTCTCTCTCTCTCTCTCGGGTTATACAATTTCACTAGCAAGATAGAAGATTTTGGTCATATAGCATGCAAATTTATTGAAGTATGAAAAATGTTTAATGTAGTTACAGCCCCACACATAGGCAGATAATATGAAAAATCCACAAGGAAAAAAGTTTTTGTCAGAATCTGAAATCAGATTATCCTCATTGCCTTTCTAGGACAGCAGGGTATTAGATAAAGAAGAAAAACAACATACTTATCAACCCAATAACCAAATACAGTTCATAAATGGAAATTAAAGCTGAAAGTGGCTGAGCAACAAAAGTAGAAAAAAGAAAATGGAAGTGAGAAATGGGTCACAACTCACAAGAAAATACCTTTTAAGGACCTGACCAGCACTTCCATCATCAGCAGTGAATAAGCCAATGGCAATGTGCTCTGGTGCAATGAAATTATGAGCTCTGGCTCTTGAATACTCAAGCGCAGCCTCAAGCACCCGCTTCGTGCTTATTGAAAAGGGGACATCAGTAGCAGAAGCAGCTCGACCAGGACTAGCATTAGGAACAAGGTCAGCAGAAGCAGTTTGACTTTGACCATGGTGATGCCAAATGCTCTGAACAGCTTCGCGAGCCTGGTCAATGGTGATGCCAGACCCAAGAAAGCCATTGGAAGTAGGATGAAGATGACGGTGCTGTTCCTCCTCGGCGATCAAACCCAGAAGAAGATGTTGGGTGAAGACCATGTGTCTGCCAAGGGCTCTGGCTTCTCTTTGGGAAAAGATGACGGCTTTGATTGCTCGCTCTGTGAATCGTTCAAAGACCTCAGAGACGATTCGAAGCTTGCTTCTTCTCCTGGCGGTTGAGCCGCTGGGAAAGGGACGAGCTTTAAATTGAGAGAAGAAAGAAGAGGAGAAAGGGGTTGATGGGTTGATGAGGCGAATTGGGTAGATAGAGAAGACTTGGCTACTGCTGCTTCTGCTGCGATCATGGTGGTGATGAAATTGAGCACAGCAGCAACTGCTACTACAAGTGTTAACAGATTGTAATGGAAAGTAAGGAAATGATGTCTGGTGAGATGGAGCCCTCCATTGAAGTGATGGTATCAGCACAGAGGATGAAGACGATGACACTTGCATTCTTCTGAACTCTGAATTTTCTCGGGGCAGAGAGAGAGAGAGAGAGGGCTTTGAGGTGGGAAGGTTTTGCTTCGCTTTGCTTTCAAAAATAGTATAAAGAATAATGGAGAATTTTCGTCTAAATATCTTATATTGATCAATCTGTTACTAAGAGCTCAAGGCCGAAGAAAAGTGTCTGATGCTGTAGTTAACCACGTCCGACGACATCCCTTCATTTGCAAGCAAAGACTTGTTTTTTGCTTCTAGTTAATGCATTTCTCCTGTCCACCCTCACATCAATGCCACTTACACCAAAGTAGTCAAAAATCCCCCTAGTATACTAATATAGGAAGAAAAAAAACTTGAGTCAGAATGTAATTTTTTATGAGGATTGAAATACTGCTTAAAAGGTATTGAAAAAATAAAGAGTACTTTTTAAAAGGGGTTTTAGCATCGAATTTTGGCTAAGTTCTACTTCTCTAATTTGATAGTTAAGTTGTGATTATTTACGCCAAAAACTCAATAATCGTCATTAATCATTTGATTTGATGATTAAGTTGTGATTATTTACGTCAAAAACTCAATAATCGTTATTAATCATTTGATTTAGTGGTAAGAATAGTGGAGTGTTTGAATCAAGCGTAAAATTGAAGTTTTCATAAGTTTATTTTAGGCATCTGGCGCAAATTATTTGTACATTTTAGCCTCGCGTAAACCCATACAATAAGAGTTGTTTCTCATGTGTTTTGCTTTTGATCGCCATCTAGTCTACCAAACTTGAACACGTGACAATATTGTGACCAGATCTAGCTCATACAAAAGTCGCACATGATTGCCTGCCAAAACAAAAGAAGTAGCTTGTGATTGGAAGAGCAAAGTCAGATTAACTTGGTTTCAAGTTTGGAGCTTCCTGTGAATTTAACAAATACGTCAAGGAAGATGGGTAAGGACAATAGTGACAAGCAGCCCCCAAACTCAAGAATATTTACCACACAAAATATAAAAAAGCAATTCGTTTTTTGCTTCTGCTTCCATGTTGGGTTTCTTCTTAGGAACAAAAAAGAACAAAATAAGTAGGTTCGAAAATTAAATTTTGGAATGCAAGCAATGGAAGAAGAAAGAAAGACGAAAGGTATTGAATAGAGTAGGGCGGCACGTCAACGCCAAGAACCAGCCAAGTCAATCTATCGGCAACCCTTTATTGTTCCTTTCCTCTTTGTACACGTCGCAAAAGTTACTTGTCCCATTAAGAAAAATAATCTTTCTTTTATTCTTTTCAACAGATTGGGACGGCTGACTTGGCAGATGCCTATTGGGGTGCTGGGCTGGGTTGGTTTTTTTGTTTTTTTGTCAAAAGCTGGGTTGGGTTTAATTGGGCATGCGATGGGTTAAGTCTGCGTAAGCTTGCAACATTTTTACCTAACTTTCCTTCCAGCATTTATACATGTTCTGCTAAATACCAAGTTTCAGCCCTAAAAGTTTGGTATGCAACATTTAACTAGCTTTCCATCCAGTCCAGCATTTAAAAGTGTGTATACGTAATACATATACACATGTCTGTTAAATATCAATTTGAGCCCTAATGGGGTGATTATAGAATACTACGTATTCAAATGCAGGCCTACTGCTTTTATTCGGGGCCACAGATCATAAACAAGTATTCGTATCATAATGTAGAAGGCAAAGGAGATTTTAAAAAATGGAAAACTGTACCATTATTTGTAGAAGCGGCACCATTTTCAGCTGACTTTCCAGGACCTGCTTACACAAAGAACATGAAACTAGAGTTACAATCAGGCTAGCAGCTCATTAATCAAAGGTAATATACTAGAGGATCGATGTAATTACCACTTTGGGTTTGCCTATTCTTTTATTTTTGCCTATAATGATCTGGTGACTTTGAAAGTTGCTGTATATTTTCCTCCAGAAGACTCAACACATAACCTACTTCCTGCCTCGTCAATGAGATCAACGGTTTAACCAGGAAGATGTGACGGTGAACATCTTGCTGAGAGATGCACAGAAAGATTTCTATCTTGCATAAATAAGCAGCTATGGTCCTTAACTCTTTCTGCTCCGAGTAATCAAGCATTTTTGCTCCAGACAGGGATTCAACAGCTCTGGGATGAGTCTACTTGGCTCCAAAGTTTCTCAGCATAAGCCTTCTCCTCTTCCTTCTCTTCTGCAACGTAATCAGTCGCCTCAACTACTTCATCTTCGTCTGGCTCTGGATTCTCTTCCATAATTTCCTCGGTTGTAGCTGCTTCTATAAGCCTTTCTCTCTCTTGCTCAGTAAGTTCAGCTAATGCCTCCCTCATAGCCTTCCTTGTTGCTGGCCTGTCTCCTGGGCCATATTTTGGAGCAGGCACAACATATGGCAAAACAATATCATCCAAGTTTATGCTTTTTTTTTGGGCACTACCATCTGTCTCCGTTTGGGGAAAGGTGAAAATGATCCCAAGTTCATAGTTGCAAATATGAAGCATTTGACCCAAAGAAGAGTTGGCATTCCCTAGTCCATTCATGTTTAAACCAAATGGACTATTAATTGGTCGTCCCCAGGCAGCTGCACTGAAATTGTGTGAACCGCAATAAACCCAGCCAAACGAAGATGCATCTGTCCTTGAGTGGAAGCGTCTCCGTGCCACCTGCATATATTAAAAATGTAACGCAGATAAGATGCTACAGTCGTGAAATCATATATGCAATAACTTAGGACAAAGAAACAGTTTTTATTTGATGCCGATAAATTAGAGGTGGAAAACATGAAGAAACTGTAATCATTTAAAAAACAGAGATATTCATACCTTGATGTGCATTGGATGTCCTACTCTATCATAGGGATAAGGAATTGCATCATGAAGTATGTCTAAAGTCCTGAGCCTTTGCCATGTTTTCTGCATAAATCAAAAAATTTGTATGGTCAACAAATAATAAGATCTAGACTAGAGATTACAAGAGGCTGAAAACGATCACCATACCTCGGAGAAGCAAAGAATGCGTTTTGAAGGAAAGATTCCATTACATGCATTCTTCACTCTATCAATGGTTGGAAAAAGTATTCTAATGGACGGACTTTTTGATTCTTGACTAGCACTCCAACAGCCCCACTGTTAAGAGATCCAATGAATAAACATGGCATAAATTTTTCAAGAATTTCTATAAAAGGCAAGAGTGTCTAATTACCTCTGGATCAGACTCTTCAGACTCGAATTCTGATGATCTTTTTCCTGCAGCTGCTGAAAATGCAGCTACAAATTTTGCATTGATTGACCCAATAGAAGATGCGCCTTAAATTTTATATATAAAAAAAAGGCATCCAACAAAAAATAATCAGAACATGTCTTTGGAGTTCCTTTTTTCATTAATGAATATACATCTTCCAATTTCTTACAAACAAATTAGGATTGTGCAAGATACACTCACCATAAACAAAATCAGAGTCAAGTGATTCAGGCCATTTATATTGACCTAAAACCTGATAAAAATAAAATACTTCATCAGATACTGAAATAACATCATACACTAGAAAGCCACTGAACAGCATCATTTGCATGTAACTACGTAATTACATCGACTGTAAATGCAAAACAGATCTTAGTGAGGAAGTATATGATAATCAATAATCAAATACACTGTTCAGAAATTTGATGATTACCTCCTGTAGTCGCCAGAGGCCTGTACACCTTTGAATTGCAGCAATCAGAGAGCTCAATGCAATAACATGCTGAGATTGCATGATCTTTGATATATCCTCAAACTTAGGTCCCTGCAAAAGCAGCATCATGTCTGATATATGCCCACTCCAGAATCCAAAACATCATGCTACTATATAGAGTGAGCTCCAATCTATGACCCCACAAAGTATATGCAATAAATGCTGAATACCTGCGACACATGCAGTATCAGTTGTACTTTCTTGCTGTTTCCTCCTAAAGCTGCAGCAAGGGCTTCTTTAGGACAGACATACCCAGAGAAGCTGAATAATCCAATATCCCAAAGTGGAGAGACCCATTTTGCAACATTTCTAGGCAAGAAGCCAAGTTGAACACAATCTACTACAAGGAAAATGCAGTTATTGAAATATCACAACTTAAAACCACATTCACACATTTCGGCAATGCTTATTAAACTGTCCTGCATGCAAGAAGAGCAAAACAACCCCCATTCACACAGTTTAATGATTATATTAGGCAACCACCTAATACCAAAAGTATAGAGTAATTTTATAAAAAAAATCTTATCAAAGTGAGGGTGTTTTTGGACCAAGCAATGTGAAATTTACCTCCCTCATAGAAATTATTGGAGTCAGGAACAAGAATGTTCACTGCATTTGCATCTGCAGGTACATTTCTGTTTCTTGTTAAAACAATTGATAACGCTTTAGCTTTTTCACATGATTTCCTGAGGAATGAAGCCAGCTTCTTAAGCTTTGCACCATTTGAGTCTTTTGCATTGTGAAAGAGGTAGCTTAGACCAACCACAGATGCTTCAACTGATCCAAGGAATTTCGCACCAAATGACCCTGGTGCACCATGATCAGCCTGACATGAAAAATTAGCTACAAAATCAAAAACCTAGTTTGATTAAGCAGCCACTAAAAAATCATATTAAGTCTTCCCTGTTGAAACTTATTAAATGCATCTGCTAAAAGTGAGTTAAATTCTATCTAGAAAGCTTTCTTGTATCCTTGAAAAGTTGACATTTACTGAATTCCCTACCCACAAGAGAATAATAATAATAATAATAATGGAAGGGAGAGGTTCCAAGAAAAACATTTAAACATATTACTATCAATTTAGGCAATGGCTGAACTCAAGTTTCTGGGTAACTTCCCAAGCCAATGAACCAATAAAAAGACAAAAGACTGTAATTATAGATAAGGAAATGTAAAGGTGCCGTTGACATTTGCAAATCAGCTTCCCATTCAAACAAAAAGATGTTGGACCACACACAAATGAAAACACTTACACGCCCGAAGTGCCTGGATTCCAATATATAGGGAGTCTTATAAGAATGAACTCCGGGAACAGAAGCAATCAAGTGTCCTGTTGCCCCTCCAAAATCATATTTTGCTAACTCGGCAATCCACTGGGCCTGACTAGGTACATCAGTTAATAGAGATGCCATAAAACCAGCCAGTTGAGAAGCAAAATCAGTTTTTGTGGCTTGATTTGTTTCCCCATTGTGAAATTGAGTAAAAAGGGATAAAAAATCAGGTGCGCTTCTACGAGGGAAATCTTGCCACCAGATGGTATTGGTCACTTCATTCCACTGCAAAGTTATAACAAGCAATTAGTAATCTGTGCATAAGATTACATGCTGGAAATAATAACAAAATGTTAAATTAGTAAAAGGGAAAAAGAGTTTGTATGTATCCATCATCAAGAGGCTTTCTACTAATAAAGATAAAATCACAGCAAACATGAATTGCAAGTTGCAACTACATCACTCCCAAAGTTCTGCTTAAATAAATAAGCAGTGACATTTTGCAAATAGGCAATGCAATCACATCAATAGAACGGGAATGACAGGAATTCCAACTAAACAAGCACCTGTGTTGCCACTAAATTTGCAGAGGTAATGATGACACGTATACTATCATCCCTTTTTAGAACCAATAATTTTGGATGATGGCAAGCAATGCCATGTCTTTCGCGGTCTTTACCGAAAGCTATGACCTCAGGAAACGGGGGATGCCTATTTCAATGAAAATCATTAAATAAAAGTAATGTTTGTGTGCGCCAATACAAGTGCCCATTAAAGAATGAGATATACGAAAAAAATTACTCACACTATAATTAAATTAGGAAATTTTGGATAAGGTGAAGATGTTCTTTTATCAGGACTTGAACTCCAACATCTCTCAGTATTATGACAAGCAACTGTTACTGGCAGATGGCTAGGAATCTCACAGGATGACAAAAACCTATTGATACATAACATCACCCTTAGACAATTAGACTGGTGAAACACAAGAGTTAAATATAATAAGATAAGATCAAAAACTCTAAATGGTAGGAAAAACTACAATGATGGTGCATAAACAAATGATAGATGGACATGCTGCCAACAAGAAAGTATGGAAAAGTTTCTGGTTACCCTACCACAAAATGTCACTTGTGAATGTTGCAATAAATAATTGTGAAATACTTTGGACAGGATAAAGAAGCTCCGGCAAGGATATAACGGAATGATGACTTGAAGAGTTGTGGCCCATAAACGGAAGGCGATTCAGGTAAAATCTCTTGCCAGGCGGTGAACCAACATTGCTATTCCAATTTTTTTTCTTGACAACACCATCAAACCTGTGAGGGTAATCGCTGCTCAAAATATTGAAAGAAGAAGCCTCCAGACTCCGATCAGCAACATCGGTCTCAGAAGAATCGCATGGAACTGGGACTTCATTGTCTTGCGGATGTAAAGGGTCACCATGAACACGGAGATGAGCTAAATCACCGTTTGGCTCTGAAACCAGTACTCTTTTACAGTGATGCATGACTGAAGTTGACTGCATTTTACTTTCCATATTGCAATCTATGTCTGACGTGTGACATAAAAATGATTTTTCCCCCTTAACAGGGAGTCTATCAACATCAAAACCCGGAGATCCAATCACATTACTTGTTATGGATCCATTGCTAAAAGAATATGTACCACATTTTCGAATGTAAGATGTAGGATCATCGCTAAGCAAAATGCGCCTGCACTCCCTCGAGAGAAAATTTGCTCTTGCAATGAGGGAAAATGAAGAACCGTCTACCCGGGAAGCAAAAACCCTTTTACATCCCGATGCACATATAGAGACAGATCCTTGGGAGTCACTAAAATCTTGAACAAGTTGATCCTCAAAAACAATCTCATCAACAACAAACCCAATCCGAATCGGATTACAGCAAGAATTTTCAGTTGAACAAGTAAGTGAGACCTGATCTCCATGTGACAACTCCACCGCCACGTCTTCCCTAACCCTAATCCCATTCACAAAAACCCCATTCAAAGAAGCCTTAACTACACTACAACACTCTTCCGGTCTAAATTGAGGACCCGAAATCAATGTGCCGTCAACAATATACAGTTTTCGATTGAGAGAATCAAATATAATCTGACAATGCTGCTTACCAACGCGGCGATCGGCGAAGACGAAGTGGCATCGGTTGGTGCTGCGGCCGATCGTGTAAGGGCGATCCGGATGGAGGCGAATGGAATTGACAGGAGAGCCGGTGGACGGAGACGTAAGAGGAACATCCAGATGCTTAACTTCGACCAAAACCGTCGAGCCTAAAGCGCTTCTCGGCCTCTTGGGGTGAAAGAGACGATTTTCTGAAATTGCAACTCCGTCTCTCTTGTTATTATTGGTATGGTCATGACTGTGCTCTGATAAATCTGTCATGACAAGAATATCAGTCGAAAGAAATCTGCAATGGATAAATTTGCAGCTACTGGATGAGAAAAGGGCAGGGGAGAATGAAGAGGGTGAAGAGGAAGCCCTCTATTTTCTGGCTGTTAGATTTTCATTTCCCTCCAAAATTTCTTTCTTATTTTAGCGCGGGTTAAATGTTGTTACTTTCGCCTGGATCTGTATATTTTTTGAAACTGGAGGCCAGGCCTGCTTCTAAGAGATCCCACCCAAGTCTATTATTTATTGGATAAGCTCACATCCGGCCCATCATCCAACCAATTCTTCCAACTTTTTTTCCAACCTACGTCCGTGTCATGCATGATGTGCACGCTACATCATTACTTTCTCTTTTTCTTTTTTTAAATACAAGTTATAGTCTAAACTACAAGGGGAGATGAATTTCTCACGCACACAGAACCAAGGTATCATAGAGGTTCGAACCTAAAGCTACTAGTCTGCAAGTCAATGTCTTTTTTAATTGAGCTAGACTCTGTTAACAACCCATTACCTTAAGAGAATAAAAATTGAGCTGTTATTGGCCCTCTCAAATAATTTTTACACATGTATCAAAGTACAATCTTTGCATTATGTTTTTGTCATAGATGAGCGTATGAGAACTTTTTTTGAGTGATAGTATCAATTCCTATAGTATGACAGTACCTAATATAAAAATTGCACATAAGTAAAATGAAAAATAATCAGGAAAACATGTGACTCATTCCTTTGGAAGTATGAATCCCTATTTCCTGCCAATCAAAGTTTGATATGTGTGTTTTTTGTGCTTTTGATGAATTATATTTTGTGCATGTGTCAAACCATGACATATATCATCACTCCCGAAACTAAGTGCTTAACATATATGTATACCTACATAAATTTTTTCCCTTAAAAAATTTACTTTGCTTTCAAAACCTCACTTCTAAGTTCTAACAAATTCATCCTCCATGTTCAATTAATTGTTTTTATCACGAATAGTATACAATAATGTGTCTATCTTTCTCATTACATTATTCATATATATAACAAAATATACAAATACATCTCTATTGAGGGATCCCTCAAATAAAATTATTTGAGGGACACCATTTAGGGTCCCCTACGAATTTTTTTTCAATAATCAAAACCATATATTTTGTAAGTCTACATTCATAAATCATCTTTACAAAAAATTATACAAATCGGAAACCATTTCGACATCCAATTGTGTCGTACAAAATTAATGAACACGGTACTTCAAGAAAATATTAATATTTCAATATTTCAATTGAGTGGTCAAATGATATCGGATTCAAGTATTTTTTGTAAAGATGATCTTTAAATAAATATCTACAAAATAAATGGTTTAAATTAGTGAAATACAATGCAGAGTATGCCCTATAAGAATGTCCCTCAAATAAACTTATTTAAGGGATCTCATTTCTCAATGAAAGCTATATATATATATATATATATATATGTTGTAAATGCATGAGTTGGTGGATGACCACCATACCTCTTAGTATTCTACCGTTGGATTTTATATAACCAATGCACTAAGTATTTATAATTAGTGTTTGTAACCTATAGGTATATTGTAAATGATAGTATTCAATCTCCTATCTTGTAAGTCTATAAATAGGTGGTTCTACCAAAGATTAAGAAAAGAATAAACATGGTGAAACTTTATCTTTAGCATATCACTTTTCTTTACATTTTCTCCCTCTAGTTTTATAACACGTTATCAGCACAACATTGCTCTTGGTATGTTTTCTTTCTTTGAATTTTCTTTCTTCTTATATGAGCTAGAGTCATCACATGGTATAGAGTTTCTTTGTACTCACCATTAGACTTCATCATGTTCGTTTGAGGAAAAAAATTATTATTCTTATTACACATTAATATAATGCCATGTTTTTTTTTGTTTGTTTATTTAATTTTAAGTATGATCTTAATTATTATGATGAGTTTGTATTATACAAAAGATCAGGGCCTGAAGTTCCTCGATCCTCATCATATAACTATATTAGGACCTAGAGTTCTTTTGATTGAATTAGAACTTGAAATTCTTTGATTCCAAATAATTGAGGCCATGAAGTTCCGCAAATTTAAAGAGCACTAAGGACATGAAACTCCTCGATTTTGTATTAATCAAAATCAGAATTCCATGAGGCCTACATATGTCAAGAACCCGAACCAAAAGTTTCGAGTGCATATACATCGATTTGAGTATAAAGTTCAAAGCACAACTATTAATTCAATTTATTTAGATCTACGTATTCGAACTTGAAGTTTCGAATATATATTGATATGAACCTGAAGTTCATAGTTTTTCATGGATCTTAATACTATACATGAACCTGAAGTTCATTACTTATTTGAGCCTATATGAACCTGAATTGGTTGGAAATCCAATTCTTAAACTTATAGTTTTATCTGCATATTGAATCCACATTAATATTGGATTATCTTCGAATTTCATAGTCTTTAATTTATTTATTTTATTCCTCATTTATACCACTTTACTTATTTTATTTTATTTTATTTTATTTATGTTGGGTTATTAGTTAATTTCATTTTACAATGGTAATGTTTTGTATTACCGCCTCAATATTGACTGCTAGAGGCGTCTATTAGAGAAATTTCCTACTTTCTTTTGTGGGTAGGAAATTTATGATGTCATGAACCAAAAGTTCATAAGGCCTCAATATTACACAACTATTAAAGTAGAAGATTATGATATCATGAACCAGAAGTTCATTGACCAAATAACTTTTATGTTGTGGCATGACTATATTGGCAATCCATGTTCCACAATGATACATAAGATTTTTATAAATTTGTAAGGACATCATTTAAAGACTCAAAATATTGTATTGTCCAACAAATATCATTACAAAGAATGCTCACAAATAAAAGCTGTCATAAGATCATCTCAATCAAAAATTGACTTTGAGGCCTCTTTCTTGAAATAATTAAAGGGGATATTTGTGAGCCTATACAACATTTAATTATGGATCACTTCACCAGTTTTATTGAATGTGCCTACTAAAATTGTCACATATTTGTCTTTTGTCAAGACGCTTACGAGCACAACTCCCACATTATCCAATCTAGTCAATTTGAATTGATAATGATGGTGAGTTTATTTTCCTACATTTTGAGAAAATTTTCCCACCTTAGGGGGAGGAATAACATTTCCTGAAGAACGTCGTAAAATAGTGTTGAATCAGTCCGTTTCTGTCTCATCAAGATAATGCATATATATAGTTATGAATATGCAAGTATGGATTGATATTCATGTATTATAATCCATTAACATGACAATAAGTGACTATGAGCATGACAAAAATATAGGTTCTAAAAACTTAACTCCCTAGAAGTTGAAATCATTTGAAAAATTCAAGCCCTATAAAAAATAACGCTCTATGTGAGGTTATGATCCACATATTCTAATTAATTCATCATAAAAGAGATGTTTGTCCCATAAGTGACAACATCAGCTCCTGAAGATGCATTGGTACAAAGCAATGAGATGCTTATAAATTATGCAGCACACATGAGAATTGTGGGATCATGAATTGATGATACATCTGGTTTATTAGTAACTACTACAATCATCAAGGGCTATGATTATATTAAATCGCCTTATGAATGTCGACAAGTTAAGTGATTGGCCAAAATGGAAATAGGCAATTCCATTTATCACTAAATATGAAGTGTGAGATATTGAACTTATAGCTCAAACACCAAATTACAAATGTTAAGTATGAAGGTTACGAATTGATGCTTGTGAAGTGAAATAAGATCCCTAATATGATATAAGGTTTCCTGGTAGAGACATGGTTTTAGTCTCCCATCTCATCATAGATGCATCCACATTTCTATAAGTATAAGTGTTATTTTAACGCGAAACTTATAACATGTGTTAAATGCATATTTATTAAGACTATATAGTACATGAAGATCCTCAAAGCTCATGAAATATTTGAGATATATCACATGAAGCGACCCCTTGAAAGATATAAAGTACCACAATATTCTTATTTAAGAGTTAACACTAAGAGTTTGAGTATTTTAAATTCAAATTTGATATTGTTGTAACATATTCTAACTATTAAATTAGTTGTTGATGCTCCTAAAGAGTTCAATCATTTGAAAAGTGAAAAGCAGGACGAATAGTGTGATAGATGATCATGTATGAAGACAATGTTGCTTGTATTGCTCAAATCAGAGAAGAGTTCATCAAGGGTGACATAGTTTCAGAAGAAAGCCAAGAAATTAGAGTTGAACAAATTCGTTCACAAGATAATCTGGCGAACCTTTTTACCAAAGCTTTTTCTGAAGCCTAAATTCCAAAAGTTAATGAAAATCAAGATGAGATATTAATCAGGGAGAGATATCAATCAGGGGGAGCATCCCAATTCTACTACATACAGGACATATGCGCGTTGTACTCTTTTTCCCTTCGACTAGGTTTTTGTCCCACTGAGTTTTTCCTAGCAATGTTTTAACGAGGCAAAATAAGTGCATCCAACACCATATCATTGATCTAGAAGAAAGTTTCACTCTTTTTCCCTTCGCTTCGGTTTTGTCCCACTGGGTTTTCCAAGCAAGGTTTTTAATGAGGGAACTATGTCATTGTATGGTGAACATCTAAGGGGGAGTGTTGTAAATGCATGAGTTGGTGGATGACCACCATACCTCTTAGTATTCTACCATTGGATTTTATGTTACCTATGCACTAAGTATTTGTAATTTGTACTTGTAACCTATATGTATATTGTAAATGATGGTATTCAATCTCCTATCTTGTAAGCCTATAAATAGGTGGTTCTACCAAAGATTAAGAAAAGAATAAACATAGTGAAACTTTATCTTTAGCATATCACTTCTCTCTACATTTTCTCCCTCTAATTTTATAACAATATATATATATACACACACGCACGCAGGGTGCTTCTAAATTATAATAATATTAAGAAGAAGCAATATATTATAATGCAGTTTTATTGATGATATAATAGAGAAAGCAATATACACAGTTTGCTTTCCATACCCAAAACAAGAAGAAGAAAAAGAAAGCATCACACAAAGCAAACGAACAAAGCCAATCCAAAGTCTTCTCAAAGGGCCCCGGACAAACACCAATCACATACGTTTCAAAGGCGTCCATCCAAGACAACGACCCTTGTGAGATGATGCCCGTCGCGCACACCAAACCAGCACACTATTTTACAGTAAAAAGCCGCGGGCCAGGGGAGGGCAAAGACTTTGTGTCACATCCTATATATATATTTATATTCCCAGCCCGCCCTTATTCTTTATAAAATCTGTCTTAAGCTATCACTTCACTATCATCAAATATTCCTATAATTCATACATAATTGCAAGGACCATGCATATAAAGGAATATTCTCTTGTTTTATGTTTGTCATGTTACGTTATCAAACTGTCAATCAATAAATGTGACCTAAATTAACAGTCGAATAACACAACATGTCAAATTATCTAACAAGAGATTATATTTCTGCATATGCACTCCTCTTATATCCATCTAGCGACGGAAGCTCCTGGCCTCGCGCACAGGCTCGTCCACCTCATCTTCACGGAGCTTCACTGCCGTGTAGGTACCTGCCCCGGCAAGGGCTCCAAGGGTGGGAGCCACCAGGTATATCCACAATTTGGTGTAGTTTCCGGCGGCCACAGCCGGGCCTAGGGTGCGGACAGGGTTCATTGAACCACCACTCGACGGCCTGCCACGACAAAATAAAACAAAAACAAATATTAATATTATTGTTATCGCTATTATTAGTACTACAATCCGTTTGGAATCTTTTATCTATCAAGCTTTCAGTGTAGGGCTAAGCAGCTAAATGATAAAATGATAACAGAAACAAACATCACACCACACCCAACTTTTCCCTTCAAAATAATGTGACGTTTCGCCAGCGTGCATGAAAATTATTTGTTATAACGAATGAGTCATGACCCTTCTGGATTGCCCATGAACTGCCAACTTGCCGACCCCTAAACCCCAAAACAAAACAAACATATGACAAGCTTTTGTTTGTTTGTTTGTAATCAGAGATGTATAGATCAGATGTGGCTTCCATAATGGGTATCTTTTTCAAGTACATGTTGATAAGAATCTAATATTAATTCATATTCGTCGAGCATTTTTCACTTTTTTCAGTAGTGGCCCATGTAATTAGAGAATATAAATAAGCATTCCGAGAGAGAGAGAGAGAGAGGTGGCAAATAATTTAAGTACTAACCCTGCAATAAGAATATTCAGCATGACAGTAGCTCCAACTGCTAAACCAGCCAACTCTCCCAACTGCATGTCACCAAAAATTCACCCCCACATGGGAAAAGATAGATTAATGCTAAGAATATGTTATGTGAATAATCAAATTGCATTCAAGGTATATATACGTACAGCGCGGGTATCAGTGGCAACAGCAGTGACAACAAACAGGAGATTGAAAGTGATGATGAACTCAAGTGCAAAGGCCTGGCCAGTGCTCACAGTAGGCACCGTGGTGCCGCCCGACATGTACGGATGGAAAGCTCCTTTGAGAGCAAATGAGGCACAAATGGAGCCTGAAACCTGAGCAGCAATGTAGGCAGGGACTTGAACCCACGGGAAGTGACGCAGGGCAGCAAAGGCAATGGTGAGAGATGGGTTTAGATGCGCACCAGAGATATGGCCCGTGGACAAGATCACGATCATCACCCCAAGTCCAGCACATGCCGCATTGCCAATCAGTGTCTCTGCGCCGTTGTACTTTTGGTTCACAATTGGTCCGGCACTTGCTGCAAACATGAGGATGAAGGTTCCGACAAACTCAGCTCCTAGCTGAATATAATACGTATCGTAGGTTCGATCAGAGAGAGTATTTTCCCACATCGGAAAAGAAAAGCCTTGCATAATAATATAACACGTTATGAGCTTCTCCCGTACCCATTGTCAATTGGGTTCAGGGTTTAGTGCAAAAACATGTAATATTCTTAGTGCATAAACAAGAAGCTTTTGACCAATAAACATGTACTAGGATTAGCTTCTTTTGATTTCTTAGGTCTCATATCCACCATCCATCCATCCATCCATCCATCCATCCATCAGTAAAAAAGTGCTTCGCACAATGAGTGGTCCTAGCTTCTTAACAAAACATACAAAAAGCAATGTTTGAGTGTTCCTCATCACAAGCATATTCTCCGAAAAGAAAATTAATTTTCCATTGTCGTCGTGATGGTCGAGTTACGACATGCAGTCGTCTTTTTTGTTCTTGAATTCGCTAATATAACAAAAAAATGCAGGTGGACCAAACCCTACCAGATTTGGTTACAAGTAGAACCGTCCTGGATATATTTTAATTGTGTGGTTGGAATAAGGCAGGAGACTGACTGATAAAATTGGGCCGTCATGTTTTAGTTACATGCATGCGTGTATATATATATCCATATTTTATTCAAATTATGGGTTTGTTAAGAATTGACCAAGTCGCTTAAGGATGTTGCTTCGTAAAATCTATTGGGTTAGGTGAAAATATTTAATTTTTAATACATGTTCTTTTATTTATTTATTTTATTTGTGTTGAGAGAGTTGAACAAAGAATTATCTTTCTACCAAAATAATAATATCTTTTATCTTTTTTGTACTTTTGCAACTCCACGTTTCCATCCAACAGTAAAAAAAAATACGTCATTCCGCAAGCACAATAATGCACACACAAAAAATCGAGAAATGTTTTTTTGTCCTGAATGGAAAATTTGCTTAAATTATAAACCCCAATTTTATCACATCAATTGTTATTAAAATCTAAAGTAAATTAACAACGAATCGAAAGTTGACACAAGTTGGAGGATTTTACATCCCTTTCATCTTGGGTGTTTAATTATCTGAAAAGAGTTTCGTGTGGTTTAGTTTAAATGCAGGTGCAGCCATCTTGAACAGAAAAAAACCAGGTACAAACAGATTTTCATAAACAAACAGGTTTGTTAAAGATTATTAAAGATCAGGCACAATCTACAACTTCAATCTTTATTGTTTATCCGTTACATAAATATCTAGGCTTGTGTCTATATCTTACACAAAAAGTGATATTCCTGTTGCATGTCATTTATATGTAGAGAAGGTCGTGAAGGAAAGAAATAAAGGAGGGGAAAGAAAATGAAGTGAGAGCAAAAACTTGGTTGGCAAAAGAAATGTCAACCCAACGCCGAAATCATATCCACCTAATGATAAAAAAACATTTTTTATTCACCGCAATTACTTTTCACTCGACATGTTATGTTATTAAGCTGTTAATATAAATTATGAGGTGGAGTAAGAATCTCCATACTCGCAAGTTTATGTCCTCTGACAACACAACGAACCGACGAAGCAAGAGCTGAAAGCCTGAAACTAACAGAATCTCCTTTATGGGTTGTCCTAGTCATTCCAAGCTAAGCAAAAGCCTAAAAGCCTAAAAAGCTTAATGACCATTTAGCTATGTTGTTAAGCACATAATGACTAACAAAAACATATTATATTGTCATTAACAAATAAAAAAAACCACATCTCCTAAACTCAAACCAACAATCGATCATATGATCAAAAATGTCAAATGTTGCCTGTAGCTAGTGGTTGCATACCTTGCGGGTGAGAGAGACAGTGGGAGTGGGGAAGTCGGTGAAGCACGTGTGAGATTGACCCCACGTGGGAGCGTTCACAGGCAAGCACTTGCACCGCGGCATTGACTTGCGATCATAGGACATAGAATCCACTCTCGGCCCTGAAAACAGCGGCACTGGCGTCCCAGGCGTCGCCGGCGCCGACGCCGACGGCGTCACTGGCTTCCGATTCCGGCATCCCTAGCTTCTTCTTTTTTTGGTTTTTTCTCAATATATTTTTTTTGTTTTTTTTTTGTGGTTGTTTTGGGTTTTTGAAGGATTTGGGGTTATGAGAATTAGAGAGTTACATTAATTTGATGATTTTTATTATTAAATTGTTGCTACACGAGCTTTTTGATACTGGCCAGGGCGGGTGACACCAAGAACTACAGCTAGTACATATTGAAAATAAATTTAGCTAAAGATTTTTTTTGTTTTTTTGGTTTTTGGGTTGGGGAATTTGGATATGGGAAGGCTGAAAGTTACATACTTTGGAGGTTTTTTTATAAATGTGTTGCTAAGGGGTAGAAGAAACGAGCAGAGCCAGAGTGCCCACTATAAAGATAACTCTAAAGATTCATACAAGCAATCAAATTGAAATTTTTTTTTGTTTTTTTGAGAAATGGGTTTTGTGGGATTGGATTGAAAAGACTGGATTACATAATGGAAATGATTTTTTTGATGTGTTGTTAAGGAAGATTGGGGGAAATGGAAGGATCCAGGTTCAAAAACAGAGTCTTTTCAAAATGCAGAGGATTTGAAAACAAGAGGCTGAAACTGAAGATTGAAACTGAAACTGAAACTTAGGCCAGAGATGAAGAAGAAGAAGAGAAAGGAGACAAAGAAACAGAGGGATTACAATAATGAAGGTGAGCTGAAGATAGAGATATATGACGTGGGGATTGAAATATAACTCAGAAGCAATCACCAAGTCAGTGTTGGGATTAAATGCAGAGGCGTTTATATATAGAGAAAGTCGAGGCAGTCCAAACTCCAACCTCACCCAAATTAATTTTTAAAATGGAAAAAGTCAATGCCTCCACTGGGCCATGGCATCCATTTTTTTAACAGCTTCGTATACTTTTTGTACAATGCTAATGTCACTGCCAGTACCACCCGTAAAGCTCGCTAAGACCACAGCCAACCCCACTCACAGACATGATGGATTAGCTTTTAGTTCAGTGATATTTTTCTTTTTCGAGTTCTTAAATTTGTCTCAGTGTTAGAATTAGGGAATTTTGTCGGCAATGGAATTGGGTATGTATGATAGAAACGGGTATAGAGCCATGTTGGGGAAAATTTTCTAATAATCCCAATCCAAATTCTGTCTCATTTAGAGTTTACATTATTTTAGCGGATCAAATTTGTTTGGTGTTATGGTTTTTCATTTCAAATTTATGATATTACTTAATTTCATAGTTTTTATATGTTTTATTCAGTTGCCGAAAAATTGGATATATACGTATGTTAATCTCATAATGCTTCTTCGTTCGTGGGGGGGGGGGGGGGGGGGGAGACTTATTACTCAATGAAGATGAAAGTGAAACGAAATAGGGATGGTAATGGCATATCCGGCCCTTTTGTCATCCTGTCACTCATTGATTAAAAAATAAAAGATAAAAATAAAGAATAAAAGCCTCACTGCCGTGTGATGATAGTAAAGAGGGATTTGGCCCCCTAAGGCTAAAATTGCGTATGAGCCACATTTTGTGCACGCTTTTATTCATTGACTCTGATGAGAGAAATGCAAATTGCAATTGGCCAATGGGCATCTTTCATGACCAGAGCATAACCCACATGGCCCTGTGAAACTCTGTTTAAAGCCCCTATTTTTGGTCCAGTATAATAATCCCACCACCCACCCAATCATGTTTTAAACAAAACATAGACTTTCTTTCTAAAAAAATATTATATATATATATATATTTCATTTTCAATCCATTATTTAAGCAAAACCAATCACTGTTTAATTGAATTATTAAATATATCTGGACGAATAATTTCCCAATACAGATATGTATGTCCTTGTTTCCTCATGTCATGCATTATTTAACCTACCTTCCAGAAAAAGTCGCAGAGCTTCATCTCTTGACTTGAATCAAGTTGCCATGGCGGCCTATAGGCTTTAGGCCTCTACGTACCCTGCTTTTCTTCTTACAGCCTGCACCTTCAAAAGTTGCCTCCCTCTCCCTTCTTTTGTTGATCCGTTTTATTGAAGAACAAGTAAAGCTGTGGGTGTAAAATTGTTAATGTACAACTTGTTTTTTAGCTGAATTTATGCCGATAACATAAGAGGAATGTGATTCCAATCAGCAAGCATGCTTACCTAGTTGATTGATTAGACTCACAATAAATTATATACCACAATTTTTATAGCATTCGAATTCCGTACTTGAATATGAGCGCATCAGTAACCATTAGAACGACGAGTTCACCATTCTCTGTCACAACATAAACGAAATTATATCAAAAATGCACCCTTCGTTTATATATATATATGGGTTAGGAAAATCCAATTGGTGCCTAGTTTTTCTTCCTCTTTTTTTTCTTTGTGGGTCATAAAGAAGATCAGCCTAGGGTTGGTCCAATCAAACAGTTTGTCAAACTTCCATGTTCCTAGCTAGCCATAGTAATGGAAAGGTGCAAGTCAAATAACCACCTCATCCTCCTATATGGCAACTACACACTACATATATAAAACTTTTGATTATGTGTTAAGTCAAACTTGTTTAATTTAGTTCACATTAATTTTACACAATGCATGGATTGTTTTCAAAGAAATCATTACCATTGATACCAATACTTGAAGTTATAGGACAGCTATATCTCATGCGCCCAGCATAGTTGGCTCCTAATTTTTTAAAAAATCTGGCCCCGAGACGTGGTTATGAGTGACTGATCCATCATACATTCCTCCTCACCATGTATACGGGATGTTATATTAATTAATTATATTTGTCACACTTCACACAGATTAATTCTTAAATAATCATAACTATTTTCAACTCTCCAAGTTTTGAATTAACAATACATATATTTTCACAGAAAAACTGCTCATAGCACAAGTATATATATATACGAAAGTGCATAATGTATATGGGGCACCCAAAAAATAAAACCACTATAATAATTAACAATTATTGTTTGGATTAATAAGTATTAATTAAGTGTCACTTCTTAATTATATGATTAACATCGTGGAATCCTGAAAAGAAAGATAAAAAGAGAAGAGCAACGAAACCAGTACATGGAAATTTCTCGAGTGCCAACCCTTGATTTAATTATTGATTATCTGTATTCCTAGGTTTTTGAGTGGAGTCGATGGCACTTTTTGCTCACACAAAATCCTATTTTCATGGGAAGATTCGTGTACCAGTCTATATGGTACTAATTTAATTAAGTATTTGATCATGCCTCATCCATAGCAAAGCAAGCATAATCAGAGAATAATCAGGAGAATGCTTGATTAATAAGTTCCTGATCACCTTCCTAGCTCAGTCTCTTATTGGTTACCGAGTTAGCTAGCTTGGTAGGATCAAATAGGTATATATTATCCTCACGATGTCTGTGGCTCTGCATGTGTATAATGGAAAATTGTGCCCCCTCCCTGCTTTTGATTTTCTATATGCATTCCCTTTTGTTTGGCGACTGATTGCACCCATTTGAGTTGTGTTCACCAAATTTAATTTATAATTTCAACAATTGAAACCGAAGCTCAATCGAAAGGGAATCTTTCGCTCGTAATATGAACTTATAAAGTTTACGAGACACTAGCTTCTTGAACAGACTTTTTGACCGGTAATAAATTAGGTTTAAAGTAGATTTGGATTTGAATTAATCAAATACTGTCAAGGAATTTTACTAGTACAGATTTTTATGTTTGGTAGATTATAAGGACATAACTTTAAATGGTTAACTATACTACTGGTAGGATGATGGGACAATCTCTCTTAGCTTTGATGTCTTCAATTCAATCACTGGTCTTCTCTTCGGGAATATTTGGTTTTGATTGTGATTCATGTGTGTGTGATTCATGAATGTTCCATTCCAAACTCATGATCCAATTGATCTGTAGCCCTTTTGGACAAAAATTAGGTGGTAACCTTTAGAGCGGGGGGGGCCTTCTTCAATGATGAAAGTCGGGAATTTTGATATTAATAAAGTGTTACAAAATCCCACCCTTCTTTTCTGTTCCCCAATTTAACCCTGAACCATTGTTAGAGGAGGAGCCGCAGGTAGAGATTTTGTTTGGGAGTGCCAGAATGCGAAAGAGACAGACAAAATCCAACCCTCACCTTCCCCATCTACGAACCCAAAAGTGAAATGAGACCTTCCTAATGGCCAATGTAGTGGGTTCACATTGCTGCATAATTTAATACTAGAAAAAGACATTCAATCTGATTCATTTGAAACTTTTTTTTCAGCCAGCCTATGGAACCCTAATTTCTAGCTCTATGCCCCACAAAACCCATGAAAAATCACTTTGGACTGGTTGGACTGGTGAAGTGCATACTTGATGCTTCCTTTTAGCTTGAAGTATGATGATTGCATGTGAGAAAGCTAATGTCACAATGTCTGACATTAAAGTATTAATAATTTATTTTGTGTGGCAGAAAAAACTTTGGGATGGTGATTGTTGAGTAGAAGATACTCAAAATGATTCTCACTCTAAGAAGGTCCATTAATTTTCTCTTCTTTTCAGGGAAGTGGACATGAACTTTATGGGTGTTTGTTGTCGCCAGCCACAATCAGAATGATGAACCAAGCAACACCAACAGTAGGTCACTTCCTCACAAGCATCACCAGAAGTTTCTGACTTGTACACAATGAAAAATCGGTTTCTTTTTCTCTCTCATCAGTCAACTAAGGATATGGATAGGCATAATGAAGGACATTGTATTATGGGTAAGGTAAGCATCGGTTGATATTTGGAATTTTGTGAAATCAATGTATTTGATGGGACAAGCGAATCTCAAATTATTCTTATTTTTAGTTAGAAACCAAAAGAAAATGAGGGAGGGGGGATGTAGCCTTTTTTGTTGAACCATACAATTAGTCACATTATTGTAGTTATTAAATCCTCCTAATATCGTATTATTGGGTTATTCAAATCTCGCATTAAACTACTGTATAATGCACTTAAAGAAAAATTAGGGTTAAGTGTGATGTTTAAATTATTTGAGGAGTGTGTAATCAATGTGGTGTCTTTTCAAAAGAAAATTGTGGTAAGCAGAAAAATTAGGTGGGTGGAGGTAGTATAATGGCGGTTGGAGCCGAAAATAATAGAAGCACTCGTACTAAAAAGAGGTTAGCACCAAGTCATAATTCAAACCCAAAACAGAGAAAAGAGTTGGAACACCAAAACTGAATTCGAAAGATACCTTACAAGTCAAGTCCTCGTCACATTTACACGAGGTACACGGTTTCTAAGTAACGTTAGAATTAGTGACTATCTTGTAGATATGCTGATACAAACACAGCCAATGCACTAAGAGAAAGAGCTAACAGAGGGCCTGCAGGAGCCAGTTTCCGGGTAGCGGCTAATCGTATACCTGAAACCGTTTAGAGAAAATTGGAAAATAAAGAAGAAGTCTAGAGGGAGTTGAGGTTCCATTCTAAGTACAAGATCATAGCAGATATTCAAGTCACTATGCACACACTTGTTACTAAATACAGAGACGGCCAGGCAAAAATCTTGAACAAAAAGCATAGCATATGCTTACCAAATACCGAAGCGAAAAGGAATGCTGATCCGAACCCGAGGGCATCACCAATAGCTTTTGTTTCTGGTGTTTGCATCAGATAGTAAGCCTACAAGCATACCACGAAATTACATCCATCTCAAAAAGGTAAGGAAATAGAAAGGAACAGGAAGCTCATTTAGATGAACAAAAACAGAATGTGGCACTAAAACGATGAATTGTGCTTATTTTGATAGACATTCTTCCACATTTATCAGTGAAATGAAAAGCAAGAGTATGGTTCCCAGGTGTAGTTCATTTGGTGTAAGGAAGCTCATCTGCGGTAAACCAGAAACAAAGTTTATCTTCTGCTATTCTGAGGAAGATAGAAACTAACTGTATCATTCGTCAATACAGCAAACACACGGCCCTCTTTTCAGGCGGCTGCTCCTTTACAGAAATCTGTAACTTCTGTGGCTTGTCAAGTGTAATACCAGTATAGCCATTATGGTTGGAAACAGGAAATGCAATGTTTCCAAATGCATCATGAATGAAGGCTGCCAATTAGTGCTGCAACGAAGGTTGCCAGCGTTGAAACACGGAGGCACCCCAACCTTTGTTTCTCAAAGTTCCTAAAGATTAGATGCTCTTTGGCCCATTATGAACAAGAAATTAACCCCAAAAAATAAAAATAAAAATCTCCAGCATGTGAAAACTTGGAACTAAAACACAATTCAGTGTTGTTAACTTGTCACTATGAAAGCAAGAGTCTTACAGTGCCCATCAGAGCTGCTCCTGAAACCCCGCCGAGAATTGACCCCTTGCTTCCTGATCTCGCATCTGCAAGCAAAAAACCCCTTTGATTGAAAATTAAGCAAAAGTAAATAAAAAAGAAGATATCTTTGTTTTATAGAAATAAATGAAAAGCTTACACGCAAATAGACCACCGCTGAGAAGCAGGAACCCGTATACTGCAGAAGTAGTTGGGGAATACTCTGCTAGCTGAGAAGTGCACAAGAATCGACGACGCTGCGTTTTGGGTTTGGTTTTGAAGCTTGCATTGTTCATTGCCAATTTGCCATTTCCCGCATTGTAATTGCAGTGATAAGGATGAGGATTGGAAAACGCAGGAGATTTGGAACTGGGAATTCTGGGATTGCGCTCATACAGGCATCCCCTGGTTACTGCTGAAGCAAAATGCAAAGTAGACGACGACATAGTTCGTTAATTTCAGCGAGTTTCTGAGTTGTGTTATATACTTGTGAGTGTGCACTCCATGTGTTTGTGAAAATGATAAGGCAACTGAGACAGGACGCTGTAGAACGAGGGCGCCAATTTTTACTTAGCGCTTGAGATAAACCCAATCATATCACAAGCCCACACCACTTTGTTTCTTTTCTTACGTGGCAATTAGGGTAGGTGCGGTCCGATTTTTCTTTACAATCAAATAAAAATCGAAAAATTTATACAATTTGGTTTGGTTTGGTTTTGACAAAAAATGAATGAAACTAATATCATCCGACCGAAATAAAAATCGAACGTAATATTATTTCCTTGCTCACTTACAATAATTATTGAGGAATTATTCATTTAATTTCTAATTACTTTGTTATTTTTAGCTTTATCTTCCTCATTTTAATCATTCCACCCCAACATTGTGTAGAACAGACATATATGATTGGAGATTTTGTGCCCTTCATTGAATGAGGGGGCATGAGTTCAAATTTAATTACTAAATAAATAAGAAAATAATTACAAAATTTTGCAAAGAATATGAACACATTAACTCCAAAGAAAAAAGAGCCAAAAAAAGAAAAAGCAGCAAAATAAACATAAGATATTGTGTATATAATCTTTCATTTTCCCCTACAAATTTGGTGAATGCAAATTTACATCCGAATCATTATTAAAACTTTCTTTTACACTAAAACAAAATAAAACCAGACAGACACCAATTTCTACATTTCTATACAACCAATTCACCAAGGTCGTCCAAATCAACGGTTGGGATCGATCCATCAATCAATCAAATCACTCAATTAGTATATGATTTGTTTCTGGTGCGACTGTAGAAACGAAACAGATGGAATTTTCTCATGAATTGTCTGCAATATCTGAGCAGCCGAAGGCCTCAGTGTCGGTGACTGCCGCAAGCACATGGCCGAAACCGAAAGCATAGTCTTGGCTTCTTCAACGTCAAACCCCGCCGCGCCCAGCCGCGGGTCCACCATCCCCGCCGCCTCCGCCACGTCAGCGCCGCCGTCCCTCAGCCTAGGCCCGACCATCGACGTCAAAAACTGGCCCTTTTCCGAGCAGAAGGCTTCCATGCCCGTCACAAGCTCCAGAACCAAAACGCCAAAGCTGTAGACGTCGTTTTTCTTGGAGGCGATCCCGGTTCGGAGGTAGTGCGGGTCGGTGTACCCGGGCGAGCCCATCATCGTCAACACGTGACTTTTCATCGACGACGAAGGCGGCCTGACCGTCGAGGAAAACCCCATCTTCGCCGACCCGAAATCGCAGAGCTTGCAATTGAGATCTTGGTCGAGCAAGATGTTGGAGGCTTTGATATCCATGTGAACGATCTGAAGAGGGCATTTCTCGTGGAGGTACTCTAATGCCTGTGCGATTTGGAAGGCGATCGCCATGCGGTTCCTCCATGGCAGCACGGGGCTTGATTCTCCGCCGTGAAGCTTGTCTTGTAGGTTTCCATTGGCAACGTACTCAAAAACCAGAGCACCCTCCTCTGTTCCACACAAAAACAGAGATATATATATATACATTAATTATTTGATCAAATTGAATCGAACCCAGAAAACAAGATAGCATTTTTAACACTTAAATCTTTAAGGGGTTAATTTGGTACACAAAACTGACCTTGTTTATCGCAGTAGCCGAGAAGCTTGACGATGTGGGGATGCTGAAGGTGGAGGAGGATATCGAGTTCTTGCTTGAAAACTTGATTGAGGCGTTCGCTGCCATTGTTAATCTTAATTGCCCAAAACCCAGATGGGTTACGAGCCAAGTAGACATTGCTGTACCCTCCAGATCCGATCACCTTACAAAAATTGTTGGTGGATCTTTCAATCTCATCCCAACTCAACTTCCTCACAGAAAAATTCCCACTTTCACCCGCCATATCATCCTTCTGATCAAGAGGCTCGTGGCTGATGCCTTCAAGACTGCTAAGACTGTTAGAAGTGACGCGGGTTTGCTTGCGTTTTAGTTTGAAGCCGAAGCACCTGAGCACAGCCATGGCTGAAACAAGGAGAAATGCGAGGAAGGCAGCAGAGGAGACTGTGAGAATTATGATAATGGTGTAGTCAACGTGGTGGGTTTTTGAAGTAGAAGCAGTGGTATAAGTAGTAGGAGAAGAAGAGGAAGAGAGAGTGGATGTTGGGATGGAGCGAGAAGCCTCGGAGAAGGAGAAGAAAGAGAAAAACAAGAGAGAGATGGAGGTGGTGAAGAAATAGTAGGTGCTGTTAGACCCACAGACAGAATGGCAAGCGTGTGGGATTTTGGCTGGGCTTGATATAACACCACCAACCTCCTCTGCTTCTGCTTCTTCTTTTTCTCTTTCTCTGACCTTAGATTTGGCCATGGATGGAGGCACAATCTGACAGCCTTGATCTCGATCTAGACATAAAGGAAACAAATGGCAAGCTTCCTTCCTACTTTCTCCACAGAAGAAAATGAATAAAAGGAAAAGGACAGTATATTTAACTCTGACCCAATCAAAATCAAGATCTTAGTCTCTGTTTTTTTATTTGTTTCATAAAATGAAAAAGAAAAAAGAGAAAAATAGCAGGTCTCTGTCCCCATTTCCCCAGCTCCCACCAACAAAAAAATATATTTGTACTATTATTATTAGGGATTGTTTAATTCTATGGTCTTTGATTTTTCTTATCAGAATTTAATACTGTGGTCCAGACCAGACCAGTCAAAATAACCTTTTGCAGTTTGAACAAGGTATTGTTTTGTGAACACTTCTGCATCATGCATCCACCCCCACCAGTCGGTGAATTTTCGCTCAATTCAAAGCTAACATTTATTGTGTTTTATCTACCCAAAAAAATATCATCCATTTCAACTTCGTTTTTGAAAAGCACTCACTAATATAGTGATTTGAAACAGATGCTCCAGTCTTAATATATTAAGAGTATTATCATGGTTTTTAGTTATTTATTTATTTTTTTATAGAAAGAGTATTATCAATGTTTAACAACTTATGGTGTATACGAAGATAATAATTCACTATCATAATTTCTCCGCACAAACAAAACACTAATATAAAATGAAATCGCACTTTTATATCATATTATGATTAGGTAAAAAGTAAAGGTTAGGACATCTAATTAATTAATAATCACATTGAAAATGAGGCCAATATCACGTGGCTTGATTTTCTTGTTTTTCCTTCTCAATTACGCATACAAACGAGAATCACAGGGTGAGTGAAGCTTGTTGATTGATTGAGAATTAAAATCATTTCCCCATATTTCTTTTTAAAAGGTGGGGACTTTATTTGAAAAATAATTAGCACGAACCAATAAAGCAAAGCCAATAATATATATGTGACACATCCATTGAATTTTTGCAAGTACAGGAATGAGAAATGTGTCTATTTATTTATTTATTTATTATTATTGTATGTGGCCTGCAGCTATTATCTTATTATAAATCAGTGCCCGCGCAGAACCCAATTGCGTATCAACTACATTAATTTTTTTTTATCCGCATCCATTTCCTTGCTAATTAGACCAACCACATACACACAAAAAAACCCTAATTACTCTGACTTTAATATTTAGGGTTTAAATTACATGAAGGTGCAGGCACGACGTCGTATTCATGATCATCTGTAGCTATCTACTACATCCCGACATCAATATATATTTAGAGATATTTATTCAAAAACTCATTTTAACATGATATATTACAAATGCATTGATGGTTAGAGGTTGTGTATATATTAATATTTGTGCAATGCTTATGTTTCATCTACTGCGTATGTATTGTTTATATTATAAAGTTGTGGTTCGATTATGATAACGTAACCACAAACGAAAGCAACTTCGTACCCAGCTGCAGGGCAAGGATTGTCTTCATTGTTTAGCTGACGAGGGGACATGACATGGATACACAAATACTTAGATAAAACTATGTTCGTTAAGAAGACAATTAAGCTTAAATATTGTCATTAGTTTTATAAAATGATCAGTTGCTGCTGATGTTCTATATAGTTCTTTTGTATTTGTTAATTTGCACGTTGCTAAACCTCTGTCTGTCTTGAAACGAATAAGGAGAGAGACGATCAATTCTTGGAGTTGGAATATGATTTTTGGAGACTTAAATATAGGTGCTTTGAATGTATAATAGTTGCAGTTTGGAGTTGCACAACTATGGAGACTTGTGTGCCTGTTGAATTTTGGCGAGGGTAGAGTTGAACTTGGGAACATTTCAAAAGAGATATAACATTACACAAATAGTTAATTGATAACCCTTATACAAGGTTGAATATATAATCATAATTCACTAATCCGGGTTAGCTAGTTGGATTGACTTAGGTTTTTGGTTTGCTCCAAAATGTTATTGGATTCAAACTCCAATGATACCGGTGTGTGCGAGTTTTCCTCCCTCTCATTCCTAACTTTTGCAAAATAATATATATAAAATTCCCTTGCATAAAACTATATGGACTACCTTAATATTGCTTATGTGTCTTATTTGGGCCAAATTGTGGCCAAATCCAATGGTTCAACCCATTAGCTTGAAAATTGTGTGAACTAGCAAAATTGTTAATAGGTATCTACCTATGTGTATTGGAAGGTACACCAGTCCACGTGGTGTGCCCGAAAATATACAAAATTTTCTCATATTTATTAATACTGATCCCTAAAATGGGGGAAAATAAACTCTGTCATCCACCTATATTAACACGTGCATAAGATGTACCATGTGATCATACTATTATAGTATTCTATAATTTCTCATACACAAGGAGCATTTCTTTGATGCACATTACTGCATTTGCATAAGAAAATTGGGTGATATATGAATTAAAAATAAAATATATCTCAAGATTATATAAGTGGAAGCAGAGCAAGTAAAAATACGCGACGAATATATAGTTGGCGAAGTATACATGAGATAATTTAAAATGGGAACTGATTTTTCCACTCCCTTTTGTTTTTTGATAGTTTTTAATTAATTTTATTCTTTCTATTTCCTATTCTACCATTATCCTACATTAATTTCTTTTTACTTCACTTTTATATATATATTTTTTTCTTCGTATACTTAATTTTTCAACTTCCACTCCATTTTATTTTTCTTTATACTTCTACATTATTTCTTTTTCTTTATGCCGTTAAATGAACATGATAATATTTGTTATTTATTTAGAAAACCTTTAATGCTTTATGAAGTTAATCAAAAATTGAATTAAACATTAGAAAAAAGAAAAGAAGGGCGTAGTCGGGAAGGGGAGGACATGCATTGTAGAAGTGGGAACACCCCAAAAACCCTGTCAATCTCTACCCCCAGTCACTTTCCCCACAGACACCCAAAGGCCTCAACTCTCCAAGCCACACTTACCTCCCCAACTCCAATCCACCCGCTTCTAAGAGCATGTCCAGCGCAATGAAGTAACCCGGGCAAAAGGCCCCCCAAAGCCCAGTTTTGCACTCCAGCGCAGCAACTGCAGCCCGGGCAAGCCCTGGGTCCCACCAGCCCGGGCAGGCCCAAGGGCAAGTTCTGCCTGGGCTTCAGCCCGAGTTTGTGACGTCAGTGCTGACGTCATGCTGACGTCAGCGCGCGGAAATTCAAATTTTTTTTACTGTTGTGCCACGTGTCGCGACAGGGACACTCCGATCGTTTTTTTTTCCAGAAATCCGACGGTCCTCGTTTTTTTGGCTTAAAAAATTGCAAAAAATTTCGAAAAAATTCTGAATTTTTTTTAAAAAAATACCAAAAAATTCTGTATTTTTTCCCTATAAAATACCTAACCATTTTATTTTCTTTCCACACCAAATCTTCATACAATTCTTCTTTATCCAATATTTTTTAGTCTCCACTCACATTATTCACTTTCCACACCAAATCTTCATTCAATTCTTCTACATCCAATATTTTTTTATCCAAAAATTTAATTACAAAAGATTATCAAAATTAATAGTTTAAAGTATAAAAAAATAGGAAATGAAGTACAATGAATAGTATTTGCCTTTGACTTGCCCTAGACCTTGCCCTCATGGGTGGAGTTGCAAATGGCAAGGCTGACACTATTCACGTGAATAGTGGCAGCCCTTGCTTGCCCTTGCCTTAGACTTAGCCCTTGTGGGTGGAGATGCTCTAATATATATAATAAAAGCCTTTACAGCCTTACCACTCTGCAATGGTCCTTCTCGCTTCTCCATCTGCTGAGCAGCTCCTCTCATTCCTGACTAGACTATGCCCTTATTTTCTTTTTCTTTCAAGTCTTTTTTATTTTATTTTTTCTAATGATATATTTTAGTTTAGTTCAACTTTTTATTAACTTCAAAAATCTTTATAGGGTTTCAAAGTAAAAAATTATCATATTCATTTAGCGGCAACTTTAACGGAACAGACTAAAATGACTAACAGTCTTGAACACAAGGATCAAATTGGCCAACGTGATAAAACACATGGACCATTTTGACATTTAAGCCAAAGAAATAATATAAAAGTGAAGTAAAGAGAAATTAATATATGACAAAGATAGAATAGAAAAGAGAAAGAACAAAAAGAAAAAAGATTGATTGATTAAAAAATATTAAAAAGCAAAAGGAAATGCAAATGAAGAAAATAAAAAATAAAAAAATCAGCTCCCTTTAAAATTATGTGTAATGTTATACACAAAATTTACTACGTAGCGGGAAAATTCGAATTGGATTTGGGCAAATTAAATCCGAAATCAATCCTCAACTCAAATTTCAAATAACGTAATTTCCCCGCGGCAATCCCACCTAAAAAAGAAGAAAAAAGAAAATATAATTCCCTGCGGCTGCGGGAAAGCTACAGATCTGAAGCGCGACAGTACCGTTACGTGGCATGCTTAGGCTTTAACAGGGCTTTTGTCCCGTCACCGCACACCGCACACGTGTGGTGACCTTCAGGCCAGGCTACAGACGTCGTACAGATACACCCACGATTTTGCGCCGTTTCACAGCAGCCACTGTCGCGCAGCAACGTCTCTCTTTACCAATACTTTACACCTCCGTTAGCATTGGCTGTTTCAGAATTTTTTTTGAAAAAAGCTTCAAAATTTCAGAAAATAAAAATCACAAAAGAACAAAATGTCCCAAATCAAAACCCCTAACTAATCAAATTCAATGAGATTAAGAGGGGCGTCGATTCGGTGGCGATCAGTGCACAGACATGAACGTTGGGGACGATGATGACGACGCCGTCAACAAACCCCAAAGACCTCGACAGCAGCGCCACTCGTTCGCCCAAAAACCGCCGTCACCGTCAGAGCCAAGTGGCTACCGCCGTCATCGCCGTCGCGGCGCTCGTGATCTCCACCGCGGCTTGGCTCTCCCTCGTCTTCTCCGGCGCCTCTCAGCCCTTCACTGCCCCTCAAACCCTCACTCCCTCGCGCAATCGCAGCCTCTCCCTCTCCCAACAGCAACAACAACCCAGACACTCCCAGGAGCTCACTCTAAACGACATCGTTTTCGGCATTGCCGGGTCTGCCCAACTCTGGAAGCAGCGCAGGGAGTACGTGCGGCTTTGGTGGCGCCCAAACGACATGCGCGGCCACGTCTGGTTGGAAGAGAAGCTCCCCAAAAATGACATCGATTTGTCCTTGCCGCCGATCATGGTTTCCGAGGACATATCGCGGTTTCGGTACACCAACCCGACGGGTCACCCGTCGGGGCTCCGAATCTCCCGAATAGTCTCCGAGTGCTTCCGCCTCGGCCTCCCCAACGTCCGGTGGTTTCTCCTCGCCGACGACGACACGATTATCAATGTCGATAACCTCGTCGCCGTTCTGAGCAAGTACGACTCGTCGGAGATGGTTTATGTGGGGAGTCCATCTGAGAGTCACTCTGCCAACACTTATTTCAGTCACTCCATGGCTTTTGGTGGTGGGGGAATCGCCATTAGCCACCCTTTGGCTGAAGCCCTCTCTGAAATGCAAGATGAGTGTCTCGAGAGATACCCAAAGCTCTATGGAAGTGACGATCGTCTCCATGCCTGCATTACTGAACTTGGGGTTCCCTTAACCAGAGAACCTGGTTTCCACCAGGTAATTATATATTTAAATTTACCCATATATATTTCTATTTTACTGAGCATTCCATAATTGGTGAAATTGGTTTGCCATGTAGTCATAAATCTTTCTGTTTTAGAGAACGTTGCTTAATTGGGGAAATGGGTTTGTTATGTATTCATAAATCTTTCTGTTTTAGAGAGCATTGCTTAATTGTGAACTGGGTTTGTTTTGTTGTGGCAGTGTGATATTAGGGGTAATGCTCATGGTCTGTTATCTTCACACCCAATTGCACCATTTGTGTCCATTCACCATGTTGAAGCTGTTGACCCTTTCTATCCTGGCTTCACCACTCTACAAAGCTTGGAGCTTTTTACACAGGCAATGAGACTCCAACCCACCAGCTTTTTGCAGCGGTCTATTTGCTATGATCATAGACGCCGTCTCACATTCTCAGTCTCGGTTGGTTATGTGGTTCAAGTATTCCCAAGCATGGTTCTCCCTCGTGACCTTGAGCGCTCGGAGCAGACTTACTCTGCTTGGAATGGGATAAGTCACAGGAATGAATTCGATTTTGATACCAAAGACCCTTATAGGTCTGTCTGTAAGAAGCCTATTCTGTTCTTCTTGAAAGATGTTACAAAACAGGAGAATGCTACATTGGGCTCATATGTCCGGCCTCGAGCAAAAGATGATTTCAAGAGAAAAGTTCTCTGCTTTCCCCGGTTCAGAGTTTTGCGCAATCTGCGGAAAATTCAGGTTTTGGGATATCCACTCACCAAGAAATGGCATCTGGTGTGTTTCTTCACTCAGCTGTTTTTGCCGTATGCACAGAGACTGATTTCTTGACTTGTCTGTTCTAGTTTTAGTGATTAGTGATATACTGATTTTCCTTTGCACAGGTACCACGACGTTTATGTTGCAAACTGAACCAAACAAGTGAGGAAGTCCTTAGACTAACAGTGGGGCAGTGTGCTAAGGGAGATTTTGGCTCTATTACTGATTCTAAATGACTATGTTAGCAGCGGGGTATTCTCTCGATCAATTTGGATTTTGGACATGAACATCGCTGCTATCTATTAGGATGGCCTCCAGCAAATTGAAAACATGTGCTTGCAGATATGAGAATGCTTCATTGTAAACAGAAAAGTTGAGGACAAGCATGCCAACCTACGGCTCGGGTATTACATTCTTTGCCTTCGATTTTGTTCAGAAGGTATCAAATCATAAATTGAGATCGAGCATCTCCTGGCTGATTAAGTGAGACAAACAGTAGTTGTTCAAAACTTTGATATGCAAATTAGTAAACCCTAATGCCTGTGTGCTGAGCTTCTTCTAATTTTTTACTCGTTTTTGTAACTCAAGGCGAACGGTTGAATGGATTTGATGTGACCAAATTACAAAAAGTTGTGAACTGCTAAGCATTTCTTACTGTGTTCATGGAGCTGTTTGAGTGAGAAAAATTAAGTCAAAAGTTACGCCTGCTGCTTTGAAAATGATGTAATGATTGAATTTACATGCCGTTAGATTGAGGGACGGTAGGACTTTCTTGTTGATTGACCGTCAAGACTTATATGCAGAAACTTACAGTTGGGGTAGACTTCATCTTGGACTGGATTGCGCCGAGGCACCTCAATATTTTTGACCTTTTGGGTGTCGCTCGGCCTATGGTGCCTCGCTGGCTAGTTGGTCATTGTCCACGATTCAGGTTGTGGGGCCCATGTTGAAGTGAGTTATAACAGTAGGCCAAGATTTAGACTGGTTGGTATACTAGGCCCAAATTGGTTTTTTGAAGTGGCCTAATGTTTTATATTTTTCACCTTCATAGCTGCAGATGTGGAAACTAGAAATGCATATCAATTTTGTTGGGTACCTCTCAATGTAGGAACCCTAGGTTTGGTTTCGTTTGCTACCAAAAAAAATAAATACAAATCATAATAATTGTAAAAGAGCAATTTCTAGTAATATACCTTTTCTTTCCAAATGCCTATTTTGCGGAAAGAAACGAAAGACGTTACAGGGACTGGTGGGAGTAAAAATTGAGTTGCAAGTTGCCGGATTTGTGGTACAACTAAAGGTTAGTAGGTCTTGAGTTCGACTTACATCGAATTCATTGATTCGTGCCAGAAAATACTGAGTTGATTTTTTGTTGCCCTTATTATCATGTAGAAAGGGAAACAAGTGAATTCTAAAACGAGTGAATAAAGCAAACACAACACACTATCGTGTGTCTGAGGGTAGGTCAGTGTAAAAACAAGCTAAGATAGGATAGGAGAGAGCATGTTAGGGTCCAGCTCAGAGGTGAGAAGTAAGATGTAGAGGGGGCATTAAAAAAAAAGGAAATTAATAATATAAATATATATAAGTGGTTAAAAATAAAAATGAGAAAGAAAAAACAGAAAAGAGAAGAGGAGCAAGTGGCATGTGCAGTGATCGGGGGGCATGGGGTAGATGCCAGGCAGTTAGGGGTTTCTCAAATCCGGGAGAAACGCCACGCACGTTCCACCCCTCCCTCCCTTCCCTCATCCTCTCATGTATTGGGCCCCTTTCTACAGCTGTGCCAATCTGTTCTTGTCTCCCCCTCAACCTAAAATGCTTAATGCTCTTCTCTTCTCTTCCTTACCCTCCCTTCTCTCTCTCCCTCTCTCTCTTTCCCTAAACTCCTATCTCATCATTCTTTCACTCACTTACCCATCCACCTCTACTTTTTTGAATTTTAAATTTCTACTTTTTTTAGTTGATTGAATCCTCAGACACAATTGATAAATTGATAACATAACATGTTAGACTAAGTACAAGTGGTTATTGAACATTCAATTGATAGAATAATAACATAACATGTTAGACTAACTACATGATTATTTCACAGTCTTTATTTTTGTCTGCCTCAAAACTTAAACCTAGTGCTTTATCCATGTGGGTTTCTTTCGCCAACATATTCTTTTTCTTCCATGGCATGATTTGGTGATTATATTAGTTAATTCAACATTTGAACACCATTGACATTTTGATAACATAACATATTATACTATAACCATATGGTTATTTACGGCCTCTCTTATTGCCGGCCCCAAAACTTCAACCTAATGCTTTATCCCACATGGGTTTCTTTCACCCACATTTCTTTGTACTTTTTCTTGTTTTTCTATTGCATGATTTGGTGATTCTGTGGTATGGAACAAATTAAACAATGCTACTACTCCATTTTAATATAAGTGCCGCTACCCTTTTCTTACATGGGCATCCATCCATGTTACAATCCGGTGGTCTAAATCTAATAACATTTTCATGTTAGCAACATAATGGTTACCATGTGAGAGTAGCCAATTGTTCCTTACCTATTCGTTAGGGCAAAACAAAAGAAAGAAAAAAATTAAAAAGGTCCACTTCTAACTTGTTGTTATATATATATATTTACTAAAAAGAATCACATGCAGCGAATCGAAAACTTGTTGGACAAATAATATCACAGAATAAGATCCCTTAATTAATGACCATTTATATAAAAGTCACCAAATTATAATTTGGGGAGAGCTCTAATTTAAAACTCTCTAGCTGGCTCATTAACTCTAATACCTTTAATTTGTTTTAATTAACATATAAGCAAACACTACATCATGCATATATATATATATATATAGAAATTCTCATATGCGGACATTCAGACGTTATTATTGTGAGGATGCCATGTATTTTGTACTATCTCTCTCTATTTTCCTGCCTATCTATTTACAATAGTATTCACACGATAATAACGTGCGGACATCTAAATAAGAGAATAACTGTGTATATATGATTGGTAGAATGATATATGGATATTAGGGTTTTGCAGGACGATGAAAGAGAGTTGAAGGATGAGAGTGAGAGCGTGTGATGTGGCCCACAAAGAGTTAATGCGATTAAAAGCTGGATGTATATACAAATGGGGAAAATGGGTTACCAGTTGAGGCTTTTGTTTGTGTGAATGGAAAAAGGGTTTAGAAAAGGAAAGAATAAGCTGCAACAGGAGTTGTGCGCTGTCAATTCGTGTAAATTTTAAGCATTATATAATTAATTGCTGCTGGCATTGTTGGTGTAAAATAGGCCTCATTAAATAAATTAAAAATTAAAAATAAATTATTTGTGTTTAAATTAAATTTAAATGTATTTATGATGAATTCCATCGGCCTCCCTACGGGCTCCAATCACATGGGACTTATTGAGCATGTCAGATGGGAGATGGGGCCGACAAAGCTTTGTTTAAACTAAAGTCATCTGACAACATCACAGGTCCTCCAAGCCCTCCTCCCTCCAGGCTAATTCAAAGTTTCGATGTGGGATTAAAATTTCCTCCCTCTTTCTCTTTCTTTCTATCATTAGCAAATAGTCACTTTATTCATTTTTAATTCTATCATATAATATATATATATATATATGTGGATTGAGGAAGAGGAGGAGCGTCTTGTATAATTTAATTGGTAAGCTAAAGATAAAGATTAAAGATTAATAAAGCCGCAGATCTTAGAGTATTTGTGTGGTTGGGTTGGATTTAAACTAGGGTTAGGTTTGATGAGATCATATTCTGATTCCTGTGCTAATTAGTGTGCCTCGACAATTTGGGTTTGTTCCAGCTCAAAAATTTTGTACTAAAAGGGTGTCATCAATTTGAATGTAAGCAAAGCAAATTACCAAAAGGAATATGCTACTACGCTCTTAGCCGCATGTACGCGAAATTTGACCGTTAATTTCATGTGCTACTATTTATGTACGCGTGAACGACTGTTGATAAAACAGTTTGGACGATAGAAACTAGAGAGTGAGGGAATTGAGGGGAAGGGGGCAAAATTTTGGTGGTGCCAAAGGTTATAGTAAAGTTAAAGCAAAGTCCAACTGTACATGGCCACAAGCACAGAGAGGGATTGTTGGGTCAATTCAATATGACATTATTGGAATGGCAAATAAAAGATGGCCCTGGACTGGATTTTTATTCCTAAAGATGGATGTGAGAGTTGCCCAGCTCTGCCTGCTGCCCCCTTGGTCATTTTTATTTTTTTTTTTTTTTTTTTTTTTTTTTTTTTTTTTTTTTTTTTTTTTTTTTTTTTTGGGTGGCAGGAGTAATATTATAATAATTATTATTATTATTAAAATAATAATTTAAGGAAAAAAAGAGAGTAAAATATGGTGGTAAATGGTTTTGACAATTATTAGCAGCAAAGTGAGAGCCGCTGACAACATAGCATCTCTTCAAGTTTTATCTCTCCTCTCTCTCTCTCTCTCTCTCTTAATCATCATCATCTCCCTCATAATCGTCATCTCTCCATTCATTCATTTCTTTCTCTCTCTTTCTCTTTCTTCATTTATCTCTCGCCCCCCACAGCCCATCCACTCTTTCTGTCTTTTCTTTTCTTCTCTGTCTGTCATTTTTTGCAGGCAGAGCGCAGCAGGAGAGAGTGCAGTTGAGATGGGGATGATGATGATGATGATGATGATGATGCCCTCCTTCTCCTCATCAACCTTATTTCTTTCTTCTTTACTGCTTCCTCTTTTTCCTTAATTATTATCATTTCTGTTTTCTGTTTTTTATATTCTTTCTCCTTTTTTTTTTCTCTGTTGGTTTAAGTAAACAAAAACAAAGGAATAAAAATCAAATCTGAATGAAGGACTGGAGGTGAAGGCCAGCACTAACTCATAGGAATTCACTTTCTGCCTTTCATCTTTCCAGTTGTCTAATCTCTTCCCTTTTGCTTCCTCCTTCTCTTTCACCAAACCTCCCCTTTTGCTCCCACTTAAATTTCCCTCAATATCACTCATTACCCTCCTCTTCTGTCTCTCTCTCTCTCTCTCCATTTTCTCTCTCTCCTCTTTCACCCAACAAGGCGAAAGAAGAAGAAGAAGAAGAAGATCTACCACTTAATGCAACCCCACCCCCCAGTACAAGGACTTACAGCAAACACTTCATTGCCCAATTGGGCACATGAATTACCCACAATTTTGAAGACCCACTTGTGCTTTTTTGAGAATTGAGAAACCCATTTTCTCAATTTTCTCAATTCCCAATATCAAATATGCAGCAAGGAGCTGGAGGGGCCCAAACCCATTATGGAGTTGGGCCAGCTGAAGACATGGGAGCTGCTGCTGCTGCTGCTGGTCCTTCTTCTTCTTCCATGGCCGCCGCAGCAGCAGAAGCTGGAGACCAAGCCCAGCTAGTAGAAGCAGCCTCGCCAATCAGCAGCAGGCCTCCTGCTTCCGCGTCTGTCAATCTGGACGAGCTCATGACTCTCTCTGGAGCAGCTGCTGCAGCTGAAGACGCTCTCGCTGCTTCGAGAGACGAAGCAGATCGCGGTGGCGGTGGCGTTGGGTCCAGCGGCAACAGGTGGCCGCGTCAAGAAACCTTGGCCCTTCTCAAAATCAGGTCAGAGATGGATGTGTCCTTCCGCGACGCCACCCTCAAAGGCCCCTTGTGGGAAGATGTTTCCAGGTAATAATTACTAATCAAAAATTGTATTTTTCTTTTTCTTCTGATTTTCAGCATTTTTGGCATTCCCAATATTGATTATTGATGGGTTTTTGCAAAATTCCTTTCTTGAAAAAAAAAGAAAAGAAAAGAAAAAAAAAGAAAAAAAAAGGGGAAGAAATTATTTGATTTCTGCAAATATACATACACAGCCAGCCAGCCGCACATGGGACATGGGGGCTTCTATCTCTTTCCATCACGATTCACGAGTTGGGCATCTTTCTTTCTTTCTTTCTTTCTTTTCCTTCTTGGAATATAGAGCGGCTCAGATCCACTGCATGACTTGTACCCAATCCCCCCCTATCCCTCCCTCCCCTCTCTTTTTTGTTTTTTCTCTCCTTCAAAATATAATTTTATTACCCAAAAAAATTTGAAAATCCCGATAAGATTTCCCCACATCATAATTATAATATAGTAATTTTTTCCCACTCTTTTCTCTCTTAACCCCTTATTTTAATGCTTCTAATTTTCCACTATGGACAGGTAATATTACATTATTCTATAGGAGAGATAGAGACCAAGTGAGGGACCATTGGGAGAGGGGGAGCCTGGATTGTTCTCTCCCCTCTCAATTTTCTTCTTTCTCTTTTGTCTTCTTCCAACTCAGGTCCTAGTTGGGAATATGATCAGGATCAACATTTAATTTTTTTTATTTTTTATACAAGCAATATTCTCGCCATCGGGAATTTGAACACAAGACTTCGGATGCAGGACCTCGAATATAAAATATATTACATTTTTTTATAATATTGTAGTAGTGAGAGTGAGTGCATGGTTTCGTACACATTGTGCAGGAAGCTAGCGGAGTTGGGGTACAAAAGAAGTGCCAAGAAATGCAAGGAGAAATTCGAGAACGTGCACAAGTATTACAAGCGGACGAAAGAAGGCCGCGCGGGTCGTCAAGACGGCAAGAGCTACAAGTTCTTCAGTGAGCTAGAGGCTCTACACGGCACCACCGCCGCCACGTCCTCAGTCAACGCGTCAGCCTCTCCCGCTGTCCACGTCACCCACGCTTCTCCTAACCCGGTTTCTATCGGGTTCAGCAACCCCATGCCCATCTCATCCTTCAGAATGTCACCCACAATTCCCGTAATGCCCTCCCAACAACCTCCCGCTACATTTCCAGTAATGCCCTCCTCCCAACCGCCACCGACAGCAGCAACAACGGCCACTCATCCAATGGACATAAACTTTTCCTCCAACAGCTCGTCTTCGTCCCCGGGGACCGACGACGAGGACGACGACGATGAAGTCGAAGGAGAGCCTTCGAGTCGAAAACGGAAGAGAGGGGGTGCTAGTACTAGCAGCGGCAGCACCCGAAAAATGATGGAGTTTTTCGAGGTTCTGATGAAGCAGGTGATGCAGAAGCAAGAGACCATGCAGCAGAGGTTTCTAGAAGTAATAGAGAAGAGGGAGCAGGACAGGACCATAAGGGAAGAGGCGTGGAAGCGTCAGGAGATGGCTCGGCTGACTCGAGAGCACGAGCTCATGAGCCAAGAGCGAGCCATCTCCGCGTCCAGAGACGCCGCCATCATCTCTTTTCTGCAGAAAATTACTGGTCAGACTATCCAACTACCTCCGCCCGTCAACGTCCACGCAGCTCCGCCGCCACCTGTCCCCCCGTCGGTGCCGGTTGTCACGCCGTTGGCTCAGCAATCGGTACAGCCGCCGATACAGACATCGTATCATCAAACGACGCCGCAGCAGCAACAGCCTCCGCAGCAACAACACGTGCAACAGGTTCGTCACCATCAGCAGCAGTCGCAGAATCTTCAGGTGGTGATGGCTGTACCGGAGCAGCAGGTGCAGCCGCCGCAAGAGAATATTGCTAGCGGAGGAGGAGCAGGAGGGAGCTTAGAACCGGCGTCGTCTTCGAGATGGCCCAAGGCGGAGGTGCTTGCACTGATAAAGTTGAGAAGTGGGCTCGAGTCGAGGTACCAAGAGGCGGGGCCAAAGGGTCCACTTTGGGAGGAGATTTCGGCTGGGATGGGGCGGATGGGGTACAAGAGGAGTTCCAAGAGATGCAAAGAGAAATGGGAGAACATCAACAAGTACTTCAAGAAGGTGAAGGAGAGCAATAAGAAGCGGCCCGAGGACTCGAAAACATGTCCATATTTCCATGAACTTGATGCTCTTTACCGGAAAAGGATACTCGGCGGCGGCGGTGGAGGCGGCAGCAGCAGCTCATTGGGTAACCAGAACAGGCTGGAACAACCACAACAACAGCAACTGCAGCTGGAGAACCCGAAATCAGATTTGGCAACGCAGCCGCAAGATAGGAGCTTAGAGGCCCAACCAAGTGTGCCTGTAATGCCACAAACACAAGAGGCAGTGGTAGCTACTGATCAATCAGAAAACAAGAACGGAGATCATAGCGCAAATGTGGAAACAAGTAACGTGGGTTTGAGAGCAAATCTCTTTGAAGAGGCAACAGATGAGGCAGCCAAGAAGGTAAAGTTATTCCATATAATGCTTAGCCAAGAACATTTGTTATAGGGAGCACCAAATTTGTTGAACAAAATTTGATGTGACAAAACGATGTATTCATTTTATTTGTTAGAAATAAATGAGATTTAATTAAACTGGGTGCACATTATTTTGGCGAACAGAAATTTGTAAACAATTTTGATGGGTATATATTTATCACTTAGCTCTTATATATGCTGATTATTGTGTTTATATTTGAAGCCAGAAGACATTGTGAAGGAGTTGATGCAGCAGCAGCAGCAGCAGGTGCATGATCATCTTCAACAAGGGGTACAACAATTAGCGGTAGATGATTATGATAGGATTGAGGAAGCTGATAGCGACAATATTATGGATCAAGAGGAGGACATGGAAGACGATGATATTGATGAAGAAGACGATGAGGAAATGGAAGAGGAGAGAAAGATGGCTTATAAGATAGAGTTTCAGAAACAGAACACAACAGGCCCGTCCTCTAATGGGGGAGGCAATGGGGCGGCCTCATTCCTGGCCATGGTTCAATGAGTGCATGAGAAAGAGAAAAGAATATGCATTGCATGGCCAAATTTACTGTACCATATGTACGTATCTACTTCCTGTTCAGAAAAATCAGAAGCAGCTCAAGTAAGATTATACCTCACATGATCACATCTACCTGAGCAGTTGGAAATCCTGATAGCATATATTTCTTCCAATTTCTTTTCTTTTTATAATTTGTTATCTTAAATTTCTTTCATTCTCCTTTGCTCATCACCCAATTCATCATCTTCTTCTGATTTTTGTTGTTCCTCTTGATCTTCTTCTTCTTCTTCTTCTTTTTCTACTTCTTGGGTAGGATAGCTTTTCTGAGATGAATTAATATCTTGGATCAGTTTTCTTCCAATTTATTGATTTATTGGTGAATAAAGAACCGTTTCAAGGAAAAAAAACGGAAGGGGGATTGGATTTAGACACAAGCAAAATAAGTTGCTTGCTCTAAAATTTCAAGCAGCAGCATCTTCATAAGAAAAACAAAACAAAGCCCGGAAAAGAGAGGGAGAAAAGTGACAGTCTCATCAGAAGCAGAAGCAGAAGCAGATGATTCAGCAGTATTCTTTTTTTACTTTTATTTATTTATTTTTGTTCTTGTTAATTAAGCTTTCGTTTTACTTCTTCTGTAACTTGCTTGGTTTATTTGAATGAATGAATGAACAAGCTGGGCTCTCTAGAATTCATCTTCCCTATTCAAATTCTGCAAAAACCCCATTATTTATATTTTCTTTTTGTAATCTTCCTATTTTCCATAAACTCTCCATAAAATGTATATCTATTATCTATTATCTATTATCTATTATCTATTATCTATTATTTGTTATCTATTCTCTGGTTTGATGTGAAACTGAAAAAGTTGCAGATAAAGATGAGCATGGTGATAAAAACAACCAGATAATTCATTTATGGTAGTCAGACAAATGGGCTTATTTATTTTTATCGACAACTTGCGTCACTGATGCCAGCTAAATGGAGAGAGAGAGAGAGAGAGAGAGAGAGAGAGAGAGAGAGAGAGGTTTTTCACTTTCAAGCAGGACTTTTTTTGAGAAATATGGGGCTTTCAGCTTTCAGCTTTCAGCTTTTAGCTTTCTGCTTTGGCCGAACATGTGGTGGTGGGAGTGTTAGGCATTTGGCTGCTGATCGCCACGTCAGCTGATAACAGGATTTACACATAGCTTTGTCTGCACTCTCAATCTTGTAGCCCATTATAGCCCAGTTGTTTTGTTGCTGCTGTTGTATTCCAAAGGGTTGACTAGCTTATCTTAATATAATCACTTAATTACCTGTAATTTGATAACAATCTTGTTTAATATTTGTAAATCTTTGATTAGTTTTGCTTCTGTTATTGTTAATTATCTGAATTCAAGGATGACTTGAGGCCATCATTTTGATTACTTGTTCTCATCAACTTCTTAATCACCTTCTCTTCTTTAACAAAACTAATTTATCTCATAATTAGTCTTAAACAACTTTCACCACCTGCTACAGTTCTCAAATATCATGATTCATTGTATCCCACATGCCACATGCCATTTCTCTTTCACTTTTCAAGTGTTTGGGTAATAATGAGTTTGAAATCATACAGCATCCTCTTCACAAAATAAGTCATTCATTGTATCGGACTCAACATTAATAATTGACTGGTGTGTTTGATGATATGAGCTTACTCACGATAGATAAAATAGATGTGCTTCTCACTCTATATCGAAGTTCGAATTCTTTTTTCTGTAATTTATATTAGATTAAAGTAAAACATCGTTTCTAGTGATGAGTGTTTATTTTTCTTTCGATACTTTGATTTTTTTGAAGTATTTCTCACGAACATTAACAGTTATACGGGGCTACGCTAAATAAATAATTATATAAGCACATACCTGATAATCTCAAAGTACAAATACATAAAAGAAGTTCACTAATTAATACATACACAGCACATGGGCAAAGAGGTGTGCTTGGTTGGTGTGGGTGGAAGGATGAATTATTAACACCTACTTAATGAAGGTCCACAGGGCTGTATTCTTTTCTCGTTCTGCATCCATCAAGTAATAAAGGTTGAAGGAACCAGGGAACAAGCATGTAATAAAGTTTGAAGAATACATGCATCTTAATTTAGGTGTATACATTATTATTATAACAAATAAATAAACATTTTAACGTGACAGAGCAGTGTATAATTGAATTGATTCTCATATCCAAAAATAAAAATAAAAATAGAATTGATTCTTTCTTGTTTTCCAACTTGATTACATGGTAAGTCTTTCTACACACTACATTGTTGGATAAAAATGATGCTTTAATAAACAAATAATTAGAGACGTGAGTTGTGCCAGTTAGTTACGATAGTGAATTTACATTCCTTGTATCTGAATTCGAATCCCGCTTCCTGTAAATTTTCGAATCCCTCTCTATATAAACTCGATTAAATTTAAATAATATCACTTGTATCGAAAAAGTTCATAAATAATAGGTTATTTTATTCAATATTTCATGATGGCATGGCGTCCTTTCTAAGTTCCAATTTGAAGATGAAGTCTATGAATGAAGTGAAAGCGGTGTGATGAGATTCCTTCCTTTTGCACCACGCACGTGTACTGTCTGTCTGTCTGTCTACCCTATCACTTTTCTGCTTTCATCAAACTCATCAACGTCGTCATCGGTAACAAAAGATTTGTACCCTGTTTTTTCAGTCACTTTATTTTCCCTTTTACTGCTCCAATTTGTTTTTTTATTATTCATGGCCAAAATTACTAGCTTGCAGGGTAAGTGTCATAGCTGCAGATTGGTAACTAGGAACTATTGAAGGAAACCAAAAACAGAAAGAGCCTTTTATGGAAACATGGTGATACATGCTTGTTTGTATTATATTCATATGCTTATTCAACACAAAAATGTTATAAGAAATCCTTTGATTAAAAAAATAATAAAAATATAAGAAATCTTAATTCATTTATGTAACTTTACTCTTATGTATAATGATTTATCATACGCATATGTGTCTCGGGTCTCCTTTCAATATCACCATAGGTGTTAGCAACCCTCTAGGGATTAGGATTATGAATTATGAATTATGTTAATGCTAACGACTCTAATGCGAAGATGCATGTGAGTCTCACATACACTGACCAATAGTTTACAGCCGGAGGTACATGTAAATCCCACATACATGGCTATAGTTGATTCCACAATGGTGATTGTCTCTTTAGATGGAAGGGGGTGCTTTACAATCTATATCTGTCAGCAGCCGACAGAAAATTTATCTGTGTAGAAGGGAATGCAGGAGAATATGGGCCAAGTATCAAACTAAGTCAAAAACGTATCAAAGTTTTATGCTTCTTTTCCAAATGATTCACGGCCAGACGCATAAATTGATAAAAAAGACCAATTCTACATTCATAAAAAGCTCAAAATGAAAGGCAATTTCCACTGCCTGTGTCAAAACATCTTCTTTTGATAAACAGAGACAACGTTACAAAAATGAGTTCCTATGGAGCTTCAGGGTGATTAATCCTAGTATTCAGGGTCGCCCTTCCCAACTACAAATCCTGCTTGCTCTTAGTTCTTTTCATCTTTGCCTTAAACCTTGACTTCACCATAAGCGTCTGTACCGTATTTACAAAGTTCCCAACTGCCATCAAAACTAGCAGTACGCCGCAAAAACTTACCTGCAAAAAATATATTTCCCATTACATATGCAATGATAGATATGATTCTCCTTTTGAGTTCTCTTGATCTTTAGTGAAAATGTGATATTAGGCCTCCTGGAAATCAGAGAGCTCCCCACTTTGAGTGGATTTTAGGAAAACCTTTTATATTGCACGTCCGCTCGCTTGTTAAGTCCAAGAAAAGCTTTATAATATTTTTCGGATTAGGAATAAAGTTACATTTTTGTTTGGCTAGGCTTTGACAGTCACAGCGACAGGAGAGAAAAAAAAAACAAATATTGAAGCATCTGATAATCTTTCAAAACCCATTCTTTAAAAAATCACTTATGTTTTGGTTTAAAAAATAAAAAATCAGGTAGAACAGAAACAGGACATTTGGCAGAGAATCATCAAAAGTAGAATGAAAAGGGGGGCCTATGTGTAATATTTCATTTCAATTCTTGTTCACATAAATCAGAGAAACCTTCTAGCACAAATTACCTGCCATTCAGAAGCAACGCCAACCAAAGCAGTCTTAAGCAATTGTAGTCCAACATATGCCTCAAAACCCTAAAACAATGTAAGCACAAACAATTATTCAGCTATAATTGCATTCAAGTCATTCAGTTTGATATAGAATAAAGATCTGGAGCAGACCAAGCTTGGTCTGGATTGCATTTCAATGCAAGAAAGAATCACTGCTTCCCACCCACCCACTTTCAAAACATACATAGATGCACTTGCAACACAGGTCAGCCTATTTCAGTTTATCTGAGTTGTAGCAGTCCAACCCCAACCTTGTATGAAGGCATGGATAGGTCATGCAACCAATCATTTTGTATTACCTTAAAAGAAAAATTCTCACATGAATTTCTATGGCCTATGATTTTTCTTCACCAATTCATTCAGCTGGATGTCTCTCAAAACTTCTAAAAGGCATAATAATGAATTTGATGCAGACAAACCATCAGTTAATCAGGTTGCATTAGCACGAGTTAACTCATATATCTATTTGCCCGTGAGCTCTAGCTCAAGTGGCATTGGGGTAGTTCAAATTCTGCTGTATGTAAACATAATCATGTCCACTAATCTCTTTAAGGAAAGATGTGAACATGTTGCCTAATCACCTGCAATATAAACAGTATTGGACATAGAAGCCACAGTTGACCATCTACACCAGCTGTTTCTCCCCAGACAACATCCATTCTTTTGGCCTGAAAATTGCAAAACAAATATATAAACAGTGAAAGAAGCAGGCTTAAATTTTTTAAGTAAACAATTAATCTTTATAATGGCACCTTTCCCAACGCAATTCGAGTATAGAGTCTCTGGCGTTGATATCTATTCTGTAAAAGCATAGCAACTCCTTGCATCATAGCCCATTGTAGGAAAAGTTGGACGCCTCTCTGCACAAGATTTAATGAATCATGAATGGTTCCAAAGCCATTAAAATTTAGAGATATTTAGTAATATACCCATTCTTAGCACTAATATTATAGATAAACCCTACACCATTGAATTTCTATAAACAAACCCAAAAAATGATAGTTGGCCTTATTGAATTTTATGTTGATTATTAAATTATTTTGGTGCCCTATTGAGTGTTTTGGGTATTTTTATGAGATTTTGGGGTTGGGCTTGTTTTAAGAAATTGATGGCAGTTTTGTAATTTATAAGAAGTTAAAAACCTTTTTGTTATGTTGTAAATGAGCTTTGGGTGTGTTTCTAAAGTTCATTTCATATAGGGTATTTTTATAATTTGAGCCCCTATATTGGTTATAATAGTGAATCTCCCTAAAATTTAATACACAATAAAACAAAAATTTACCTGCTTTTGGGAACAATCTGGTTGTCCTTTGATCTCCCATGTGAGACTAACAAGGGCCATAAACATAGCACAATAATGATGGTATATCCACCTGCAAAAGCATATCAGTATCTTTCTGCAGAAATTTGTATGTTCAGTCATCACAATGCCAATCAACTAACCAAGATAAATGAAACAAACCCGCATGCTATGAAACTTTTTTCTGGTTGAAAATAAACACACACACAGCTAAACTTAATTCAGCTTCATTATTGAAAATAAACTATGGTTGTGATCAACCCAAGTTGAGCATAAAAGGTCAATCACACTTGGTCCTTTTATCTTGTAAAGCAGTGCAGAGGAATAACAGCCAATACAAAGGAAAAAAAGATGTAGGGAAGATGGTGCGCATTTACCATGGACGAATATCACTTCCATTTACTCTTAGTATGTTTTCTCGCAATGCCAAACCGGTGTAGAGGAATAACAGCCATGCCTAATAAGCAAAATTCAAAAGTCAAATCTATTATGAAATCACGCATTTAGAAAGAAATATAAGTACATTCTTCAAATCAGATGGGAAAAGTGATTATCATGTACCTGGTAAGCCTGAACTGGGAATGTTGGCAAGCATCCATCCCAAAGCCAAGATCTCAGAATAAGTAGTGTTGCTGGAAAAAGAAGGAATAGCAGGGCAGTTCTATCCTGCTCCAAAGTAATATATCATTGTAAGTAAAGCTGCTCGAGCTATTTTCGTTTGACATTCTTTGTAGTAACAGAAGATGGACAAGGTAACCATATGAAACAAAAAGTAACCAAGCAGCATGAGGGAAGGCATACTATATAGGTAAATTCTACTAGAAGGGATCAGATTTTAACGAAAATCAAACGGAATAATTAAAATAGGGGGGGAATATAACATTTATGAGATATGCTTCCTGTTGGGGATATGTTGAGTTGTCATGCCTCGACCCAAAGACTAGCATGACCCACTTAACATGAAAGATGAGAATTTACAAGCGAACCTACTTTATCTGGGATGGAAGCATCTGCTCAATCAACTAGAAGAATTACTAGTCAATTCAATCTCAAGGGCCTTATTTTTGTATCGGAAAATTACACCTACCTTCGTAATTCAAGATAGCTTGGTAAGAAGAGAGACTAAAAAGAAGAAAAGAAAAAATTCAAAGAAGGAATAAATCCCACTTATTCCAAATTCATAGAGATCGCTTGTCTGTGCAGAAGAGAAAGTTTGAACCTCTGGGTGTCAGTTGTGTCATGAAAACGCTGATTCTGTACTTCACATATTTAAGTCAAGTATATTACTGGTACCTCTAATGTGAGGTCAGCATATTCTTTCAGTTTCCAAAAACTTCAGAGTATATGAAGCTTACCCAAAAGGATCTGTACCATAAGCAAAAATTAAAAATGGGGCAAAAGCATAAAGCAATTAAGAACATACGTACTCTGTAAGCATTGTATTCCTCTTTAACCTTGAGTTGGATGTCTTTGCTAGAGGAACGCACGGTTATAGGACCAAGAAACATCCTCAGAAACCTCCCTCCTGCATAAATGTTAACCCGTTAACATACATCCAACGGACCCCAATCTTTTTAATCAACACAAAATTAAAGCAAAACTCTCAAAATTAATGATCAACGAGGTAATTAATAAAAAGGGTACCCTGAGCTTTGCCAGGAAGAAATGAAGCGGCATCACCATCCGCCAACACACATGTAGCCCTCTGCAAATCTTCTTCCAGCTGCCATTAACATATTCACCAAAAACACCAATCAATTTCAATCCAATTTCAACTTAATGCGTAATTAGAATCCCAGAAAATAAATTACAAAAAGGGTGATCAATGGATCCATGAAAGAAGCTAATTGAGCAAATTCTGATGTTGGGTTCGCATGCATAGACATGCACAAGCAGCAGGAGCAAATGAAAACGAGAAAGGGGATGAAAGAACTCGCCTTTTCTGCTAACTTGGGATCCAAGGCCTTGCTGGAGAGCAGAGAATAAAGCTGGGACCTTAGGCGGCGAATGGAGGAATCGAGAGATTGGGATCGCTGGCGAAGGGCTTGCTCATCAGTGGAGGTTCTGGAGATGAAGGTAGCAGCTGAGTCCTGAAGCTCCTTCACATCCTCCACCGCTTTGGCCACTTGTGCTTGTATGTCCTCGTCACTGTTCGAAGAAGAAGAAGAAGAGTTCCTCTTCGCTTCTCCCATCCTATCTTTTGCTCAATCGATTGTTTGATTGCTTTCGTCCCTCAAAGCTCGCTTATTTGTTTGGTTGGATTGTTTCAATCTCGAGGATTCAAAGCTCTAGCTTCCACGGTCCACCCAAAATGCCTTTATATTTTTTGTGTTTCGGTTTTTGTTTTTGGGAAGCATACATAACCCTCGAAGACAAGCCCCCTCTCACAAACTGACTGGTAGCCAACAACTAGTAGCGTAGCCCAGTTGGATTTTGCACCCAAAGGTCCTACTTTTATATTCTTTTTCTTAACCATATTGTTCTTATTCTTATTTTCACTTTCTTCCTCTCCTATTCAAGCAATGAGAGACCAAAAAAAAAAACCATTTTTCTTTTGTGAAAGGTCTCAAGATAAAAGTCGAAAGTACGGAATAAATTGTGAATTCACGTTCTTACTTATTATCTTGCTAACTGAATGTATTTATATGTAACTATTTGTAAATCATACGTAAAATAATTCGGAGTGGGTTTATGTTGATAAGAGTTTCAAATTTAAGACTTTTTTAGGGACTGTTTGATAACCATTTCGTTTTCACTTTTCATTTTCACTCTTTTTGAAAACTGAAAATTGAAAACATATTTCGTAACAAATTTCGTTTTTATTTATATAAAAAAAATCTAGTTTTCAAAATTATCCTTAATTTTAAAAATAACTTGAAGTGTTTTCAGTTTTTGTTTTCTTTTTTTATTCCGCTCCTATTTGCTTGATTCATACTCATCATTTGTGATTGGATTATTTGCTTGATTTCTTTCTCCTTTTTTATTAGGTCTAGGTTGCTGGAATTTTAATCCTGGTGACGTGAAGTGTCACTGTCATATTCAAGTGGCCTCCCGGGTGGTTCCAATAGACCAAAACAAAACAAATCAGGCTGACCAAAGCCCTTTCACAACCTGGGCCTCCACTCCACCACCCTTTTGAATTTTGTCCTTTTTTTTTTTTTTTTTTTTTTTTTTTTGTTTGGTGGGTAAAATCCTTTTGAATTTCTGTTCAATTTGATTCTTTTCTCTTTGTTTGTTTTGGGGCTTTTGCTGATGGCCTCTAGCCCTCCTAAGGGTCTTAATCCTGGTATTAAGGACATATACAATGAATGGGGCCACTAATCGCCGACTTCAGCTTTACTTAAGAGCCTCCTTATGTCCCATTAAGTTAATACTGCGGCTGTAGCAACTACCCAACCATTCACTATACCTAATTATCCTGTCCAACTCTCCCAATTCTACCTAATTGGCCATCATAATTATATTTTCGATAATAAACCAAGAACCAAAAGTCAATCTTCACAAATATTAGGAATGCCTTTGATCTATGAAATTTTCAAGAATATGGATGACCTAACGGGCTAACCACTTAGCTTACCGGTTTTTTACTGTTATTTTTCTATACAAGTGATATTGAGGGATGGAAGAATTAAACATGTGAAGTAACTTCTCTCAACCACTTGAGATACCTTGCCAAAAACTAAATCCGTACATATCTCAAGTGAAATTTGTTGACGCCCAAAAAATCCATGGTTGGGCCCGAATAAATTCCCGGCCCAATACGACACATCATTGAGAAAATACCCAATTTGGAGCACGCAAAAGTCCGCCATGCACGAGTCACACTCCACGTGCCATGCCAAAAAAAAGAAAAATCCGTCATACTAGGAATCGAGATTAAGATTATAAAATGCATTAGCTTTGCAAATTCATGCTAGTTATCTCGTCAAGCATCATAATTAAAAGCATGTCAAGCGACATGTCATGCCAATCAGGAAATCATTATTGCACACCCAACCACACTACAAGCCTAAGTGGGCCCAAGCCACTCGAATGTTCGGGGCTTGCTTGAGTGAATTGTGGTATGAATGGTAATAAGTTGTCATGAGGCCCATTGATGGGCCGAGAAATGGAGGTTCCGGGTTGCTTGGGAGCCTCGGAACTCAAGCCCATTTCTTAAGCCTAAACATGTGGGTGATCACAAAGGAGAAAATAGTCCACTACCTCAGCCAAAATAGCCCATTAACTTAACCAAATTAGCCCAACACCTCAACAAAATAGGGCAACACTTGGTGAGGTTAGCCCATTTATTTGATATACTAACTCATTGTCCTAGAAAGCCCATGTAACTAAAATAAAGACTTGCAAAAGCCTCAACACTTGGTTGATAAACAAAAGCCACAAAGTGAGCAAGGATGGGGGGGGGCAAATCAAAGGCATTCAAAAGGCACTAGGGGATTAGCACGCAGGCTGCCAGAAAAAGGGGCACCCTTCGAACCAGCATGTATACCCATTTCTTTCCTTCATCAGATCTGGCCATGAAAGAAGGAAGGAAAGAAAGGAAAGGGGACGGTTGAGAATAAGAGTTCTCCACTAAAGTAGCTGCAGGAAGAGCATTGAGCTCCCAAAAATCCCTGATTTTGTGAGATTGGGCATATGAGATTTTTACCATTATAAAATAAGTCAAAGGAATGGAGAAGAAAGAAAGGGAAAACCTTGGCCAAATTGAATAGAAACCATTAGGGTTTCTTGGAAAAGAATAGCTTCTAGCGGCTATAAATAAGGTCTCTTCTACCCAACAAATGAATAACCACATCGAGAGAGCAAGCTTCCTCTCTTGCCTCCAAAACTTAGCAATTTCGTGCTCAGTTTATCCTTCTCCCCCTTGTTTTTCCTCTTGGCAGATCGTTCTAATATTTGACAGAACTTCTGTCGAGTTGCCGGAAAAACACTTAAGCCACCCATTGCCTAGCCTCTCTCCTCTTCTCAGCCAAAACCTTTGATAATCATTTCCTCATTTTCCTTAGAACCTTTGTTTTTCATATAAACTCACAGCTTTTTCCCTTTAAGGCTAAACTCATGACAACTTTGCTCCCATGCCACAAGTCTCTCATGCCAAGCTAAGATTCTACTTGTAAGAACTAAGAATTCATCTATAAGCAACCATTGTTTTTGTTGGTGAAGGTGACTAGGGTGTTTCCTAAGGCTTCACTATTATTTTGAAACATTTTTTGGGTATGATCTTTGAACTCATACACAGGAGGTAATTTCATCCATTTTGCTCCTTACGGCAGCCCAACCCATTTGTAGTTGCCAGAAGAAAAAAACCCCTACAAAATTCATCATCACATTTTTTTGCATCATGTGCATAACAATGCTTCTTGTAACATATAGCCATCCATCAAACAAAATTAGAGCATCAGCACTCTCCTAACCAATCCTATTATCAGCAAGGAGTCAATCATGAAAGGAGATTTTCCAGTTCACTATCTTCAATGAAGCAATATCACTGAGAAAAACTATCCAATTTGCCACTTAGACGCAGATATATTCTTTTACAAAATCCCAGAGCATAACATGACGATGCACCAAGAGAAGAAAGGATAAAAGAACAGGGGGGGGGTGGGGGGGGGATGGAGAAAAGAAAAATAGAAAAAGAGAATTGCAAGCAAAGAGAAAAAGAATACACTACTACTAGCTTTCTTTTTTGGCTTCACCAGTCCAGTAAGTTTTGACAGCAACAAGAATTTTCTCTGGATTAAAGGGTCCACTTTCATGGTCCATAATTTGGCTCTTCCACTTCATGCCGTCTGTAATGCCCTTTATTTTCACAAGGAGCTCTACAGTATCCCTAAATACAACTGTTCCTTCTGGTCTCAGAATTCTATCCATCTCCAGCAAAATGTATGTTATGTCACACCTGCAACAATATACAAAGCACATGAGGTCTCCAAATCACAAATTAAAATACCAAAGGAAAATTATCACGGAATGAGATTTACCTGTCCTGATATATACTGAAGACACCGCCAGCATGGATGAGATCATATGTTCTAGGATAAGTTGAGAATGCCTCGCACCAATCCTGGTATGTACCGATGAAGCCCCGTTCATAAATCACACCAAGAGTATCCTGGTTTGAATTGGCAGGGATAGTGTTCATGACCCACACAGGATATTTTGATATTGCTGCAGCAAATCCACCAAGGTAAGCATTCATGTCCATTACATTCCGATATCGTCCTTTAGAGATTGGTATAATCCGCTTGTAATGTTCCACCCTTTCCTTCCACAGTTGATCATCCGCCCGGAGTATCTCCGCGGTGACGCCTGGTATTGAACCACTGCTAATTCTAGGTGGGACAGCAAATGCACGGTCAGGCCATTTCTCCAAAGCCCCACCAGCAACATCATCGGGATTGCTTGTCTCTGGTAGAGGAGTAATGCAATTTTCCATGTCTCTTTCCCTTTTAAACACGAAAAATATCACAACAAACAGAGTTAACATCAGGAGAACTTGTGTTTCAAATCAAATAAATGATATCATGAATGAAGCTCAGGGAGTACCAAGCCATATCTGGATTGTCTGATTTGCATATATGTGGTGTCTTATATACCCTCCTGCTTTTAATGCATTCAATGTGATTGATGGGTTTTTGCCAGATTGCAAGGTCATTCTTCTCAATCACTTTCTTCCAGCACAGACGCTTGGCAACAGCCTCAATAGAATCTTGCTCTTGCTTCAAATCCTCTTGGGTTCTCTCCCATCCCCTCCAGTGTTTTTTCCAGTGAATAGGGGGCCCAGAAAGAATCCAATAACCACCGGGCCTTAGAACTCTGTCCACTTCAATTAGATACAAACCATCTGGCCAAAAGTGCAAAGGAAAATCCTCATGTATTCAAAACCAAATCATATGAAATTAATGGTGAATTTTACTTCTCCTTTTTTTTTTTAAAGTATGTTTAAATCCAAATTGAATACACCAAGATTTTTAAAATCTTTTTAAACACTCTAGAATCCTAATTGAATACACCCCCTAAGAACGCTTCAACTTGTACATTTTATTGGGCACAGACGCTTGGCAACAGCCTCAATAGTATCAAATCAAACCCAAAAGTTGGTTGAATAGGTATATATCTGGGTTAAATTATTAATCACTTAGTAATATCCCAACCAATGTACGACCATTGCTCACACCTAATACCATAGTGAAGTATTCAACCCAAAAACACTTTAACTCAACTAATGTGAGACACTAACATGTCGAAGCAAACTAACAGGGATACATGGACACATTACCATAATTCTGCCAAGGGATCAAGCAGCGGGAACAGTGAGCCATATCAAAAGCCCTCGCCGGGTAGGGAAGCCTCTTCGAAGCCAAGACACCAATCATAGCCGGAACTCCACGCTCCAATGCAAACTGGACCTGTGCTGCATGTGTATCTCTGGGAGCGAAAGACATCGCCAAGATGTCATTCCTCAACAGGTAAGCACCCCAACTTGCCACCTTCATACCCCAACAGAAAAGTGTATTAGCATTTACTGGCACCATACATAGGTGTGTGGATTCAATTATATGTTCAAATATGGAATTCAAAATAGTGAGACATAATGCTATTATGCAGTATCTATAATACTTACACCACAGCCTGTATCAATTGCAGTTCTGATGTTGCCCTTACTAAGAGGAATGAGAGCATCAATGTCATCTATATATGCACCAGCTCCCCGTGGAAACATGGTGCCTCCACCAGGGAATCTAAACCTGTCACCCTCAACTTGAATCCAATTCTGAACAGCTTTCTCAATGCTGAGCTCTCTATGGGGGATGTTGTCATACCAAGCAAAATCTCGGCTCTGAGGCCACTTGAAAGGGGTCTTATACTTTGGTGGAGCAGGTATAAGGCAAAGCAATTGTTCTTCCTTGGTGGGGCAATGCCGCTCTCTGTATTTCAACATTTTTCTGTCAAATTTCCTCCCCCTTTGCGGATCTTGGCAGGGAGTGTATTCACTGTAGGCCATGTCGCATGCTGGGAACTTTTGGACTGCGTCGGATTTGTTGATATCCACTTGATGATGACTTTCAAAGTCCAAGTGAAGTGATGATGATGATGCTGATGAGGGAGAGGAGGAGGAAGCGTTGTTCCCTCCTTGATTTTGAGACGTTTCATCACAACCCACCTTTTGGTAGAGCTCAGATCGATTGACAGGAGAAGAAGTGGTTTGCCAAGCTCCTAACATGTAGCATACTACGCAGAGTGCGCTAACCCCGAAAATCCAAGTAAGCCTCTTCTTCTTGGATTCTAGGTGGTGGTGCTTTGGTGATCCACCAGTATAGTCCCTGGCCATTTTATTCTTTCTGCAAAAGTTTCAATTCAAAGAAAGCATTCAGATCACACTCTATCATCAATTAAAATGCCAAGAATTCAGGTCTTGTTCACAAATCACAGGTCCCACTCATAACTATCTAAAAATAAAAAGTTCCCAACCCACATAAATTAAAACTTCATAATTTATTCGAAACATCAAAGATCACACGCTATCAGTCAAATATGTAAAGATTCAATCTTTATTCGTAAATCATAAACCCCACGTATAATCATTACCCCACCTCACCCTCCCTCAATAAAACTTAAATATATTATGTGAAAACAGAAAGAAAGAAGTAAAAGGCAAATTTCACAGAGCAAGTCCAAGATCCAAACACTGGAAAGGCAAAGCTACAAGATCAGAGCATAATGGTGTACATAACGAAAACAAAAACAACAAAATCAAAGAAATGAAAGGAAGAAAGAAGAATATGCAATCAGAAATGTACCTATTTCCAGCAACAGAAGTTGAAGCTAGAAACAAAATAAGGTACTCAGCACCCTACTTAAAGAGAACTCCACTGAAGTCTGAATCTTTCTTTTTCTTTTTTTTATTCTTTGCTTGTTTTTGCCCCCCAAAGTTTATTGGCATAAAAACACAGAAAGAAACAGCCTAAAACCCAATAAATCCGCAGAGAAATCCACTGGAAACATGTAGATTAGTGTACTCAGCAGCAGCAGCAGCTGCAGATGGGTAACTTGTATTTCTCTACAGAAAGAAAAGGCTTCTAAAAGGACAGAGCTTTTTATTACCTGATAAGAAAATCTCAACCAAGGCTCTCTCTCTCTATCTCTACTTCTATCTTTCTGACTCCCCCAGTGCAGTATTACCTCAAATACAACCTCAGAACAGTAAAAACTAGAAAGGGTGTTTTCAAGTCGTATTTGTTTTCATATTTCTTTAATTCACGATCGAGGAAATATTAAAAATTGAAAAGAAGAAGCAGAGGGAAGAGCCAAAAAGGTTATATAATAAGAATAGGATACATGAAGAAAGAAAGGTTTAAAAGTCTCCGCGATTACAGGAAATGGGCAAGTGGAGATTGGTGAGTATTTTTGTTCAAGCAATAATCTCTCTTTCGTTTGTTTATTTTCAAATGGAGGAAAAGTGAAAGAAGAAGCACAGAGAGAGAGAGAGAGAGAGAGAGAGAGAGAGAGAGAGGGGAGTAGTTGTGATTGGGTGTTTGTTTGTTTGTTTGATTCAGGTCTTTGAGTAATTTGTTTTATCTAAAAATAGATAGAGAAGGAGCTAAGAGACTCATCGGAGGCTATTGAGAGTGAGCAGAAGGAGGAGCGTGGATTTTGTCCACTAGACGACATTTGCGGCTTCTCAAAACAGAGGGAGAGAGAGACTTTGACCAAGTGACCACCCTCAAAATGCTCCTCACCAATTTTTTTTTCAAAATAAAAAAAACAAATTAATTTTAGTTTTCTTTTTATTTAATTTAATGTATAAACTGTTACCATATTTTTAGGTTACAATTAATAATTGATAATCCAAAAATAATGCTAAAAGCCACTGACAGACTGATAGTTATATAGTTAATTAAGCTTCACTGCAAAAGTAGCAACACTGTTTGATATTTACTTATTTTATGGTTTCTGTTCACCTCCCCCCTCCGCAATATGCACCCACAGCTGTCTTCTGCATCCAATCTGGGCTGCATTAAATTGCTAAACAATCCAAACCTGTTCATCTCACATAATAAAATGGACATCCCAAGAACCACAATCTTTTTTTTTCTTTTTCTTTTTGGTTCCACTCTCTGAGCATCTGTTTTATCACGAGTCATATGTTGAAGGGCATCTTCTTCTACCCAATGCTGGAGACTTGCATTATTAACTCTCACATCAATACTTGTTGAGAAAAGCAACCGGTTTATAGTTCAGATGATTAAGAATAGTTATTTCTACATATGATGTCCTGTGATTAAATCTCTCTCGTCGATATCGCTTATATAAAAAAAAAGGAACTTAATCAGAAAATAAATAAATAAGCTGTCACATAATACAAGATGTGCGTGCAAAACACATAACCCCCAAAATATATGTACGTACGTGCAAATTGATAAGGATGGACCAACGTAATAGGGGTTGAGAGGGACAAAGGGAGGTGCTCAATTGCAAAGGAAGATCACGTGATGCCTTGAGTGGCAAATATTTATGTTTGTCAATTGTGTCCCATAATGTTGGCTGCATTATTATCAGTACGGCCTTTTGACCCCACACGTAGATGCTGACGTGGGATTCAAATATTAATGCGCTTGTATGATTAGCAAAAACCTAATTCAATCATGCAATTATGCAATTGTGCCATGCAACAGTCTTGTTTTGGAGGGGAGCAAGCATGCATACATTCGGAATTGAGAAGAGAGTGATGTGATGATGATCTTAAAGTTGAGATAAAAGGGGGGCCTTTGAGGAGGACTGGACTTTTCTTCCCATTTTTAAAAGTCATGACACGATCATAATTTTGTTTCCTAACTTCCCTTTCTCCTTTGCATTAATTAGGACACTTGTATATTCTCGAATGGAGGTGGAAGAACACTTACATGTTGGTCGTCTAATAAGAAACTGAAAATACGAAGAATTATCACTTCGTCACATAACGTTATTAATCCACGTATTATAACACAGGTGAAAGATGATTTATATTTTAGAGTACTGTATTAGATAACCACGCCGACGTACATCCATCAAAACGAGAAGAATCAAGATGAGGCATAAAAGTGACTGAAAGTTTTGGCTACGTGACGCCTTTTTCATTTCTTTGGTCAAAAAGCAAACGGGACTTTTGGGTACTTCTTTTTCCCTCAATAATTATCACCTGGTAGTTTTATTATAATTTATCTATGAAGTAATTATCTTCATTCTAAAATTTATCCGCAGACCTTCCTCCACTACTTCTCCAGTCCAAACACGCAGCATATTTATCCTCACTTTTTCACACACACCAAGTTTAACTGGTAAAATAATTGTTCTCAATCAAAACCTTTCTCTGGATCAATAAATAATTAGTTATAAATTAGTAGCTTCTACACTTGACAGATACATTTGGATGGGGAAATTTGATCGGGATTTGATTTGAGCTTTCATTTTCTGCAGCGTTGCTTCTGTAATCGTGGAAGGATTTCAATCACTCCTACATTTGATCCATGGGATGGAGAAGGAAAGAGAGGGACAGTCCGTTCCGGGGGTTAAATCTATTCATTATCATTTATGCGACTTCCAAAAATTTCCGAACAATTTCTATTGTAAGTTTATTGAATGGGACCCAAGTAGGTAAGTTGATTGAATGGGACCCAAGTAGGTAAAAAAATGGGAGGAATTCGGAAGTCCGGACCAAGTGGCAAGTGGATACGAAACCACTCTCACAAAAGCTGGACCACCCTTGTGATTTTGTTGTCGTATATAAGAATCCGCAGGGAAAGGGGTCCATAAGCTTGAATGAGTAATCATTAAATCACCATCCAAAGGTCACCCAAACACTACACATTTGTTGACACTGAAACACTGAAATGGCTGGCTTCTAAACTTCGAGAATTTATAGCCGAAAGGAACTTCTATATTTTAGTCCACAGAAACCATACAATAAGGTCATAAATTAAATAAAGGACAACCATAATATTATATATGCACAACAATACAACAAATTTCACCTATTTAGGATCTTAACCAACCCCATCCATACCCATACCCATACCCAAAAAAAAGGCACCAAATAAGGAAAAAAAGAAAAGAAAAGAAAAGGAGAGAGCTACAACCTAATTAGCATATGATCCTGAAGAGCCCCCTCGTATGTCCAACAGCCGCCCGACGGTGCTTCCCTACAATCTCATATCACAATTAAATATTTGTCTTCAAAGAGCAGCATTTCCCGTAACTGAGAGAACTCACTGGATGCTGTTCACTAACTTGTCAAATTTCTGCGCAATTGCATGATGCTTCCTGCAATTGTACAATTGAATTAGCGACCCAATTGCGTTACGTATCATCTCTTTCTTCGGATTCTCGATGAACTTATCGTTTTCAACTTCCGCTTGACAACTTGTCTCTCCTAGTGACGAGCACAGTGCCTTGAACCAATCTTCAAGGAATGAGGCTTTCTATATGCAGCAGAAAGAAAAATGAGTCAGAAACAGACAAAAGAAAAACTCATACCTAAGTTTCCACACACGCTATATGGATCAGGTTAATTTAATGTACTTGTAAGAAACACTTACTTTCACAAGAAAATCTTTGACGGGTTCATGATCAGAGCTTGAAGCGAGGATAAGAACATGCAGCATGGTTGAGGTCAACTGAACCAGGCACAAGAAAAAACTATTAAAACACATCATATACCTCAGGCTCACACACACACACACACGCACATGTAACCAAAATGAATGGTTTTGACCAACATTAACCCATATATCTGCTCAGGTGCAAATGATTCAGATTACTGACCTGTTTTTCAAGTGCAACTCTATATTTGAAATTTGATGGTGATGCAATATGGTCTGAACCTTGATTCTCTAATATATGCACCAGACCCTGGATGACATCGGAGAAGGATTCCCCATAATCTGCAACACAAACCAATAGCCTTCTATTTCAATTTCCATAATTATTTATTTTTGGAAACGATCAATTTCTAGATTTTACGAAGGAATGATTAAAAAACCCCTCACACAAAACAAAACAAGCAAGATATCTTGATCAAGAATGTATCAATGAGATGGCAGTCAACCAATGCAACCGATAATAGTCAAAAATTGAACTTTGGTTGAGACTGATAACTGATGTAGAATAATAAAGTTACCAAGAGAACCATCAAATCGAAGAAGAGTAAACCCTATTACTTACCAAGTACTGATGCTGGCACCGCCAGAGCAGCAGCAGCTTGGATCCTGATCTTAAAGTTCGAAGAATCACGTAATAGTAGTAGTAGAATACTAAATACAGACGAAGCCCTGTCAGAAAATAATGCATACTTAG